TTTTGGTTTGTGCTTCAATTAAAAATACATTATGTGTATATGTACCTAATTAACATAATTGTCAAATTTAATTACCAACTACTTGTGGGTTTTCTTAAACAAGTTTATAATGTAAAAGAATGAAATCAGTTTCATGTATATGGGACTTAGAGAGAGAAATTTGTATATATTCAGAGAATTCTAATTATTTAAGTTGTACTGAAGTGAGTTAATAATCTGGAAATTAAAGAGCATGTATGAATGTTGAAGTATAAGGTTAATTATGTATTTACAAAGATGAATAATGTACTCTCTTTTTATAATAAGAAAATATTAATAATTGTTTAGATTCAATTAATAAAAATGCATGTTTATAATAAACTATAAATGATTGTTAATGGATTCAATAAGTATATTAAGTTAAGAAATTTGAATATTCAGATTATGAAGATGTAGTATAAGGTGAATGTAAACCAATTTCTAATATTAATTAAACTCATTGTTCTTAAAATATTAGTTATACAGCTTGTATGAAAATAAAGAAAATTGGATAATTTTGTATTTGGAAAGATTATTCATGTTAAGAATTAAATTAATTAGAATTATATACACCTAATTAATTGATATTAGTTAATTAAAATGCATGTAGTTTAGTAAATAATGGAGATATAGTAAGATATAATTAATTATTTAAAAATTGTGAAATTGTTGAAAATCTAAATGAATTAACTTGTAATCCTGAAATATTTGGAATTAATAAAGAAGCATGTATTTCCATAAAAAATTAACCATGTACTTGGTATAGTATTGATAAAAGATGTTAATATTAAGATATCGAAAATGGATCATAAACTTGTGAATAAGCTGATAAGAATTCAATTTCATGTTCAAAATTTGATATTGATTAACCTTGTGGATATTCTAATTTAGGTTGTAAATTTGTTGATATAAATTCTATTCCTTGTACTTATGCTGGTTTAAATAAATATGCATGTTTAAATATTTTAAAATATTCTTGTATTTGGAAATATAATGAACAAACTTAAAATTATTATTGTGATGAATATATTCCTTATACATCATGTTAATTGATACCTAATAATGTTAATCCAAAAGTTTGTTAATTAGTTGAATAAGATGCTTGTTATTATGATATTAATTAAAAATAATGTAAAAATACAGAATTAAAAATTATAAATTGTGAAACATTAGGCTTAAATATTAAAGGTTGTATTTAGATTGATGGATGTATATACTAAGAATCTTGTAAAAGCTTAAATAAAAAATATTATTTATGTAATGAATATCCAATTGCTAATTATAAAGTTTGTAAGAATGCATAAGATAATTGTAAATTTAATGAATTAACATCTGGCTGTATATAATCTAATGAAGAATTATGTGATACTAAAGGATTAAGTTAATAAGGTTGTATTGAAAATAATTGCTAATTTATTAATAATTAATGTAAATGTAATGAGAATTTTAAAGATAAAGATTGTGATTAAATAAATGAAATTGAAAAATGTAATTCTCATGATCATTGTATATATAATTAGAATATTTGTAAATGGATATAATGTGAAGATCTACCCTATACTAATTGTAAGGATCAATAGATCAATTAATAATATTGTTATTAAAATACTTTTTAATAATGTAAATCTGCAAAATTATGTGAAGATATTCAAAATCCAGCTTCAATATAACTATATTTAAATAAAAAAGCTTGTATTTTTAATTCAGATTTATAATTATATTAACTTATAAATTGTTAAATACTTGATCAATAAAAATGTTTAAGTTATCCAAAAGATTGTAAATTTGAATAATTTTGTCAATCTCTAACTTGCTATGATCTAAATTATAATAATTGTACTTCAGATAATTGTATTTGGAATCATAAATAGGGAATCTGTGAAGAATAAATTCAATGCTTTAACATATCAGATTAGAGTTAATGCATATTAATGAAGTATAAGAATAGAAAATGTTAATGGGTTACATAAAAAAATGAATCATTTTGTACAAACTCATATTGTAAATTCTTGACAACAAAATAATAGTGTAATGGAGAATAGGTTAATGGAGAGATTTGTGTCAAAACATATGGTGATAAATGCATTTCTTGTGAAGAAATTAAAAATTCTTGTATCTGTCTATAAAACAATTAATTATGTGATTACGATTTTAATAAAAATAAATGTGAATCCAAAATATGCTCAAATTATCTAGAAAAAGAAAAATGTCCCAATGAACATTGTGAATTTTAACAAAATGTACTATTTTATATTTATTAAGTGTATTCCAAAATGTAAATATATTATAGAAGAAGAAATATGTCATAAAAATAATAAATGTGATTGGTAGAATTCAGAATGCAAAGAAAAGATAGAAAATATTAAACCTAATATCTAAGTTTGGGGATTAATAAACATATTTACTTTAAGCATTTGTATTCTTTATTTTTGATTTTATACATAAAAATTATATCCAAGTTGATTATTTGATTTCTCTTATTGAAATATTAATATCAATTTATCAATCTCTTTTTACATGTACATTTTAGAGATTGATGATTCTATCTTATACAAGAATGTGAATACTTATAATAATATATGTGAATAATCTATTAAACCTTAATCATTCTAGACTCTACTTATTATTTTGCATTAGAATATATTTTACTATTAAATTATTTTAATAATTTATAATCATATATTTAGTAGTTCATAGTTTATTTCATAATTAAACTAAGTATATTAAAGGATATTTAAATATTAATAATATCAAATTAAATGTTGTTAAAAATATAGAAAATTAATTCTGAAAACTAGATAACAAATAAATTGTCTAAATCTTATGAAGAAAAATAAGTAAAAGAACTTCTAAAAAATTTAAATTGAATAGATGGAGATATTTATTTATATTAAATATTAATCTATGTATCTAATCAATTATTTCAAACCTATAATAATTTTATGTAATAATGATAAATTTAATATTAAATTTCTTAAACTTTAGTTAATCAATTCAGAATTAGAATGAGAGTTAATTAAACAAAATATTTAACAATAAAATAATATTATATTGATTATTAATGATCTCTCTATATATTTAATTAAGAAATAGTATTTAAATCATGTTTAAGTAATTTTTTTAAAGAGTTTTCAATATTAATTGAGTAATTTAAATAGAAAAATTGCATAATAATTTGATTTAACGGTTAATGATATAAAAATGTAGACTACATTTATTTAATTATAAAATATTATTAATATTGATTTAGATAATCAATATTAATAATTTTCTATCATCAATTGATTTTAGATAAAGTTTTTCATACTTTACAATTATCAATAAAGTTTGTTATATTATTCAAAATTTAAATAAATTGTATTACAAATAGGATTAGTTTAATATAATTTAATGAATAATAATAAATAATATTATGATTTTCAGACCATTACTCATTGAAACTTGTAAATATAAATACTAATCGGGAAGTGAAGAGAAATCATTCTCAATAAAAAAAAAAGTTGATTACTATCCTAACTTTAGATAAAAGGTGGCCAGTCAATCATTTCATATAGAATCTCATACTTCAAATAAAAAGAAATCAAAAAGATAAATGACATTGAATCAAAAATTAGGAAATTCAGATATTAATATATAATAATATATTGAGTTTAATGTATAAATTTGAAGAAATTAGATTAAAGAAAAGCCTTTGAATAGTCATATTAATTAAAGAGTTAGATAACTTATTATATAGGATAACAAATTAATGAGAAAATAAAATAAAATAAAAACATTTGCTGAAATACTTACTCAATAACATAAATCAATTCATTAGAAATAAATGAAAAGGTAGGTTTTATCAATGTTAGATTAGGGACCACTTTTTAGAAAAGTTGAAAGTCCTTAATTAAGTCCAAAAGCTTAATCATAATTATAATAACAATAATAACAATTATAATTATAATCAAAAACATAATAAAATAATGCAGAATAATAAATATAAAATAAAGTTCAAAATTATTTATCTAGAAAAAGTGTTAATCTCTAACGACTTTCATAAAGAATGGATGATATTAATATATCCAAAAGATCTATTTTATACACTAGTTCAGCTGAGAGAGATTTAAAGATTTCCTCTAGATTTTTTAAAGATTTTATTGGTGTATCATAATAATTAAAGAATAAGGAGAAATAAGATCCAGAATTATTAAAAGAATCATATAAATATTGGGCATAAGCCATAAAAACTAAAAAGGACCCATAAAAGAAAAAGAAAGTAGGAGCAGTATTTAGTACATCAGTAAGAATGAAACTAGAAAAAATGAGAGCTTTAATTTTAGATTGTGTTAAGAAATTAAGATTTATGAAATTAGATCCTGAATTGTTAATGTAAAATAGAACAATATTAAAAAATCCATATTAAAGAGAAGGTTCTTATGTATTTTTTAAAGGAGTTGCCAAAAATGATTTGGATTTAGTAAAATTGATGCTTGATAAATGTAGATTTTATGCTTTTGATGTAAATGAGAATTTTTAGACAGCATTACATATATGTTCAAGAAAAGGACATTTATAAATAGCAAAAATGTTATTTTAACATGGAACCTACCCTGATGTAAGAGATGTTAGTAATAGAACTCCATTATATTATGCACTTATAAATAATCAAAAAGAATTAGTATAACTATTATTATCACATAAATGTAATCCTTGGTCATTTTCTGGATGTACTTATGAAACTGATGATCCAATATTAATAAAAATGTTAAAAATAGCCAGAAGAGTAAATATATAATTATATATGAGTAGTTGGATATGTTATTGATGATGACACCCTATAATACAAGATAATAAACTTGGATTAATTATTGTAGAGTTTTCTATGAATTTTGATTATAAATTAATAATAAAATATTTAAATTTTTATCGTATAGAAATGAGTAAATTCAATTATGTTTTCAAACCATTGTCAATAGATACATATGAATATAGTTATATGGATGGAAAGACAGAGAAATCATTTACAATTAAAAGAAAAACATCATTAAGAGAAGGAAAGAGTGTAATGTAAAAAAGTGAACCTATTGCCTAATTTAATGTATATGATTATTATATAATTATAGAATGATACAATTAAACAAAGTCATAAAAGAGCTTAAACAAGTAGACGAATGTAATAATCTTCGTAACCTAGAAATTCATCTATAAATTCTAATACTCCTAAAATTGCAATTAGAAAAATTGATAGTAGAATGGAAGATGAATTTGAAATTTCAGATAGAAGAAAATCAATTTAAAAGAGATCATTTAATATACCTTAAATAGATTATCTTAATTTTAATGTATATATTATTTAACAAAATAGTTAAATAGATAGCTATTATGAATGGATAAACTAGTAGATCCTTTCCAAAAGCATTAGAATTAATAAATAGAGACAATAAACTTTTAAGAAAAAAATAAGTTGATACTTCTAAAGCTTTGTAGACTATTGAAAATGAAATCAAATAATATGAACGTTTAGAAAATTGTCATCCTTTAAATATCAAAGAACATATTGGAAGAATGCTTGTCATTAATGAAAAGAGAACTCCTATAAGGTAAAGAAACAAGGAAAGAGAGGCTTTTACACGAAATTTATAATTTCTTGAAGAATCTTTTTAATAATAAACAGTTCCTGAGAAAAGATTACAAACAGTTATTTAATAATATTTTGATAAAAAGAAAACATTTTTAGAAGAAAAAGCAAAATAAGAAGAAATTTAATAGACTTAATTATAAGAGGAAACTATTAGAATTAATATAAATAAAGGTAAAATGAGAATGTCAACAACATTTTTAAAGAGATTTATTCATTAAGTTGAATAAGAAAAATAATTAAAGGTTGAATAAAATTAGAATATTGAATAATAATAATATAAGATTTGTGAATCATCATAAAATATTGAATCATAATAAAATGTTGAATAATAATAATAAATAGAAACTTAAAAGAGTCATATTTTATCTATAAAATCATCTCAAAAAAATAAAAAAAGATAGAATTCTATATATAGTGGACAAGTTAGATCTATATTTAAAAAAATGTTTCATTTAATTGTTGATTGTGTTAAAAAAATGAAATAAATGAAACTAACAATAAAAGAATTGTTTTAACATGGTGTAATTTAAAAGAAACCTTATGAAAGATAAGGATCTTTCTAATTTTTTGAAGCTGTTGAAAATAATAATTATGGTCTTGTTAATTTTATGTTACATAAATGTAGATATTATGCATTTGATATTAATGAATAAGGATAAACACCTTTACATATGAGTTCAATATAAGGTTATTATGAAACAACAGAAAGATTATTATAATGTGGAGCTTACCCTGATTCTTAAGATCTGAAAGGTTTTTCTCCACTCTATTATGCTATTTAATATTAAAATAGTTAAATAGTTTAATTATTATTATTTTATGATGCTAATCCTTGGTCAAATAGTAAATATAAATTAGATACTCAAAATAATGTAATAAAAAAATTATTGAAATAATCAAGAAAAGTATATATATATATATAATTTTAAGATTCATTTATTACTTTTATTAACTAAACATTCAGAAAGAGATCAAATTTGGATAAATTCAAGAGAATCTTTGTTATCTTGATTGTATTATTTTGATTCGGAATTCATAACAAAAATTAGAATTTATAAATATTTATTATAAGTTCGTTATTCCAAATTTTATATAATTAATAGATTATCTCTATAATTGTAAGTATAAGAGGTATAATTGAAATCTATATAGTATATTTTCATATAATAATAATAATAAAAACACAAAATAATAAACAAATAAACAAAATTATCAAGGCATTTCAATTTCTCCATATTCAAGCAATCTCTTTTCATATAGAAAATAATATTGTTCATCTATAAACAATTAATGGTCCATTAACTCCAAAAATTCTTATTCAAGAATAAATATTTCTTTAACACTTATTCCACCTACTTTTGCATAATATTCATTTTTATAATAATCATCATCTTGGTATTTTATGGCCATTACAATTGCTAACAAGAGGAATCTTAATAATTTATATAATACTACTACCTATGTATACATTTAGAATTAAGCACTAAATAAGGATGCTTTTCTTATAATCTATCTAAGTAAATTAATGCAATAACAAAACATTATTCACTGCAATGAGTATATTTTGCAATTCTTTATAAGTAATTGTGAATTGATATTGAAGGTGCTTTGTTAGCATGGAAATATGATTGTGATTCTTATTCAATTTCTAAAGTATCTGTTTCTTTAATTATTTCATCTAAGATATTTGCTACTGTAACTAGTAACTAATTTGATTGTTGCATTAATAGATATAATTTTCAATATTTATATTTTTACTTTACAATTACATTAAATAAATGGATCTTCAAATATCATTTCAATAAAAAACTTTTAAGCTTTCAAACTTAAAGACTTTGATTTCTCATTTATGACTTACACTAAAAGACTAATAATAATATAACTCTAACTTATATAAAATTATGTCTTAAATCTACAATATTGTTGAGCATATATAAATAATATGTATATTAAAAAAATATTATTTAGATTTTTCATATGAATTATCTTTAAAAAATCATCTAAAAGTAAATATTATGGATTATTAATTATTAATTATTGATTAGAGATTTATGAAACAGTTAATTAATTAATTAAAGAAGAAAATCATGAGTATAATAAAATATAACTCTTAAAATGAGAATAATTAAAAGAATTGAAAGATTTAAAACAATTTCATTAAGAAAATACTTTGATTAATCAAAATTTTTTGGATTAAAATTAAGTTGATAATTTATTTTTATGGACAATAAATCTCATAAATATTAAATATTGAATTATATGAGTAATAATCAATATTGTACTCAATTTTTGAGATTGCTGAAAAAAGTATTATAAATAAAAAGTAGAAGATATTTATATATTGATTTAGAGTACTAAACCAAAAATTCATTTTAAACTTATGATATACATTACTTATATTGTAAATAGCATTAATCTAATATAATTAAAATTATTATCATATTCTTAAATTAACTTTAAAAGAATTATTTAGATTGTGTGAAATCTGTTTAATTGAATGTGATTATTTTATAATTTAAGATTAGATATCTATAATCAATTATAAACTAATATTAAAGAAGCCTAGAAATTTTATAATGATTCTCTAAGAATATTGAAAACATCTCCAATTATCTGTTTTCACATCTAGTTTATTGATTATAAGTCTATAATAATCTAGGCTTTGGGTATCATTATAGAAATTAAGAAATTATCTAATGAATAATAATTTGTTGCCATTTATTTTAAATTAAAATCTTTAATTTTTAAAATGATCATAAAAGTTGGTCACCTCAATGGTGAAGTTAAACTATATGATTTGGCTGATTCAACCTCAGCTGGTCATTTAATGTAACTTATTCAATCAGAATTGGGTTGTGAAGTCTCATTGGTCAACTCTGGAGAAGCTGTAGCTGCATCTGCATTATTAGGTATTTACAACCACTCATTAATTATAGGAAGTGATGGAATTTATTATGTAACTGTTGATGCAGAAGGAGGTAAGAAGAAAAAGAAGAAGAAGAAGAATTTTGCTAAACCCAAAAAGAAGAAGCATAGACACCGAAAATTAAAATTGGCTACTCTTAAGCTATATACCATTGACAATAAAGGTGCTGTTTAAAGATCTCACAAACAATGCCCATAATGTCCATAAGGTGTATATATGGCTAAGCATTTTGATAGACACTATTGTGGTACATGCCATTAAACATTTAGAATGGATGAAGCAACTGTAAAAATTTATTAATAATAATTAGATCAAAGCCAATTTGGAAGCCATTAAAAAATAACAAGCAGCTAAAGCAGCAGCTGCAGCAGCCGCAGCCCCAGCAGGAGGAGCTGCAGCTGGAGGTGCCGCAGGTGGTAAAAAAGGAAAGAAAAAGTGATGATCAGTATAATAATATTAAATATATTATTGAACAATCCTTATTTAGCAGTTATATGTTATTAGAATTTAGTATTCAAACAAAACCATATAATTATTATTGTTTAAAGCTAAAATTTATAATGTTAAATGGATCTATATTCTAAGAATTTATGTCTAAAAAGTTTATGAATAGTATTATTTATTGTTATTGAATTTTTTTTGAATTCATTACATTTTTATTAATAATTATTTTGTTTTTTCGTGCTTAAATAGCAATAATAACAAAAAAGAAATCTGTCTTAATTATTATGATTGAATTAAAAATATTTAGTTTGATTCTATACTTATAAAATCATTTTATTACATAATTATTATTACTATTTAATATAATAATTTAATTTAGATGATTAAAACTATATATTAAAAATTAAATGATATAATCAATCATTACATAGATGTATATTAAATACTATATATTAATTTTTGAATTCTTTTTCCAGATATTAAATGTTTATAAAGAAAATAAAATATAATTTGATTTATTATTATATCATATGAGTGTAATTATAATTCATTCTTGTTCTATTAATTATTTATAATCAATAACAACTTTAAACTAATTTAAATTGTTATAATAAAATTTTGATTCAATATTCTCATACTATTATAAATCCTTATTATTGATACAATTATTTAGATATTGATCACATTATAAGTAGTTTTGATATTAGATATATTCTCAATAATGGATTACATAATTGAAATTGATAAAATAATTTTTATGTTAAATTGAGTTAATAGCTAATTAACCAGGATTCCATTTATTAATTCATTTAGAGATTTCCAAAGTTGATTTTTTAAATGTTTATTATACAATTCTTGAAAACATTTTATGAAATAATTTAAAATAATCCAAGCCTTCAATAAGTTTTAAATAACAATAATTGTAAATTTTATTAATATATTTATGAAATAGATTCTTTCTTAGAGTTTTACACCTGAAACAGCACCAACACTGTTTAGATAGCAATCAGAGAGACCTACTTTATTGTCAAAGTAGCGAAATCAAAAAGAATATGATGCAAAAGATTTATATACTTTAATTGTCAATAACCATATAATAAAAGAGATTGGGATTATTAATTTCTTTAAAGAAGAAGATAGAGAATCAATTTTTAAAAATCATATTGTGAATTACGTAATCTAAATAAGAACAGATTATATTGATTATACAATTCCTAAGAGATATTCTGAATTTGAGAAATTATATGATTCAGTAAATAAATCAAATGAATTTTAGTTACCAATTTCTTAGAAAAACATGCCTAAGTTTCCTTCAAAAAAAGTTATTTAAACAAATTCTAAAAAAACAATTGCTAAAAGATAAGAAATGCTACAAAGTATAATATAAAAGTAATTAGAATTTTTATAATATTTGTTACATCATTTAGACCATTCATTATATATGTTTTTGGACTTTATAAAAATTAAAGGTATTTATAAAAAAATAAAAAAATCTTAGAATAATTTTAGAAAGGTGGTTTTGATTAAAATGTGAAAATGCATTAATTTAGTAAAGATGAAAATGCATTGTATGATCTATTAGAAACAAGTCCAAAAAAAATATAACCTAATAATTAAGCTGAATCAATGATATTTCATTATTTATAGAAATTAAATGAAACTATTAATGAAAGAGGCAAAATATTTTAGTAAATCATTAAATTTATAATTTTAGAAAGATGGAAAAATATTATTTTGGTAAAATACAATAAATATCTCCTTTACTTTTAAAAGTATTATTTATTGGAGATGATGAAAGAGAACTTTAAGGAATAATATAAATGTTATCAATTTAAACTAATGATATGCAAAATCATATTAGTTGTATTAATGGATTCTAATTCTTTAGAAAAATTTTGGAATATGATTATAATCCAAGTAATATCATTAAAAAATATTAATTAGATGCTGAATAAGCAATTAAATTATTAAGTGAAATCAGCATTAAATAATTTAGAACAATGAAAATATAATCTCATATTTGTGGACAATAAAAGTTATGCAAATAAGATTCATTAATGATTCTACATAAATACATTCAATAAAATCAATTGAAAAATTAAATGATTAATTATTTATTAGTTGATGATGAAGCTATTAGAGAATATGATTGTTATGTTTAGAAATAAGTGAATAAAATTAATGAAGAAGTTAAATAAGTAAGAGATAGCAATGAAAATTTATAAGAATTATTACCTACAAAATCAAATTCTATTGAACATCCTATATTAGAATAAGATCCTACACTTGATTAATTAATTGAAATAAGTTAAATGAATTTAAATTGGAAATATGTTTAAGGTAATTTTATTATAATTATATAAAGAATGTGAAAGACACACTATGTATCATCTATAAGGATAATTTATTAAAACAATTCATCCAATTGAATGTTCTATTGATAGAGCTATATTAATATTTACTGATCTTAAATAATAATGGTTTCATGGAATGATATAGAAAGATATATTAGAATAGATTAATGAAAATAAAAGTGTTATTGTTGAATATTTTGTTTGGGAAGATAAATCAACATTTAAGAAAATGGCATTTATTAGTGATTAAGAGATTCTTAAAATTAATGATTCTACATATTAAATAACTATTGTACCAAATAATAAATAATAATTACCAAATCATTATAAATTGAAATGTGATTAAAAAGGTATTTAAAAAAGTTTAATAAAGTTTAGGTCAAAAAATGAGTCTTATTTTAATTAAGTAAATATAACCTAATCATATTGAAGTTGTGATTTATCAAAATATAATGGATCTTACTTTTAGAACTGCATTAACACCAGTTATATTGAAAGAGATTCCTTGGTTCAATAATACCATAACTAAACTAAAAGCTTTGCTATGAGAATTATCATTATTTACTAATTAATTGATAAAATTTATTTAGTTTTATTCATAAATAAATAATGGGCACTTGTTAATCTGATAATCAATATTAAAATGAAAGTTAACCATAATCAGAAGAGGAACATGTTGAAACTGAACAAATGCAATATGTGGTTTTAGCTAGTTGGAAACATGATTAATAGAATGGATCTAATAAACCTAATCATATTGTCTTTGGAAAATCAAATGCAGATTATTTATAAGGACATAATTAATTTTAGATTAATTAAGGTTCAGTTCAAAATTCTAGAATAGCTGTTTCATCAAATTAATTAAATGTTTCCAACATATAAAATATTACATCAAAACCTTTAAATTAAATTGAATAAAAATAGAGATTTTCAGCATTTAGTGGATACTCTTAAACTGATAGAACTGCTGGGTTAGTCAAAGATTAAGATATTTAAAGAAGACCTATTAATATAGCAAAAAGAAACATATTTTGAATAATATATAATTTAATAATTTTCTAAATTGCCTTATTTTTTAATTTTTTCATTTTTTTCTTTAAATTTCTTAAAGAAACTTTAATAAGTCTAGTTCTAAATTTTAAGACTTAAATTCCTTCACTTTTAAATTGCATAGCAAATTTAATAATATTTTTTATGCAATAGTTTCTGGTTCATTGGCTAAAGCCCTAAATTAATGTAATTTAAAATTTATTATCTTTATTTTTTCTTAATCATTTAATCCGTTTAATTGTTAAAAATCCATTTACCATTATTTAATTACATGTTTTTCAAACTTATATGCTTAATTATGTGAATTAATTATTTATTAAAGAAGCTTGATATAGTTTTCTGTATCACCCATATGTCCTTATTCTTAAAGAATTAGTTTATCTTTCAAAATTTTTGAACTTATTGTTAAATATTTTGATAAGGTACTTAATAGTAATGGATATATATTCTCTTCTTTTGTTGGAAAATGAAAACACAATTATAAGGCTATATAAGTTAATAGAATTTAAAATATTTCTTGACAAAAATTATTACAAATTTTGTTTGTAAGATCAATTTCATAAACAAATATTTTTTAATAATCTCTCTTTTCTGTTTATTTCATTAATCTTAAGAAATATGGTCCAAACTCATAATTACTATAAAAAGACTTCATTTCTTCTTTTAATTTAAAGTTTAATTAATCTAATACTTTGCAAATTGATATCCTTTATCCACAATTAATAGGGAGCATTTTATTTATCAATTTAACTAACTAATTGGGTTCCTTATTTTCATCAATATATTATGCATTTATCGCAAATTTTAAAAGATCCGATCCTAATTATTATATTGATTTTCCATAATATTCTCTTTTTTTATTATATAATTACCACATTATTTTAGCTACTAACCAATAATCTGTTTCATATGTATTTATTAATTTGTAAAGACATTCAGGAGGAAATTGAAGTTGATCAACTGAATGAAAATATCCAAAAGATCCATAATTAAGTGTTTTACCAATAGTATAAGTTATGCATTCTATTGAAATACATCTTCCAATGAAATTATTTTTATGCATTTCATATAGTCCTTCAATAAGTTATTAGAATATATCCTAAAAATGATTAAAATTTATCTAGTTTTCTAAATTGAGTTGCTCGAGATTTTTCAATTTTGTAAAATCAGGTTTACAATTAAACTTGATCTTTTTTTGGTTTTCTGATTGATTTTTATCTTAATAGAAATCAAAATCTATCAAATGTCTTAAATGAGGACATTTCTCAAGAGTCAATTAAGCATCAACCTCTTGCTTTAAGAAATCTGAATTATTAATCATGCTTTGTTACACTATTTAAGGGCTTCCCCAATTTTATCCCATTATTTATATTTTTAATATTTATATTTTTATATATGAGATGTTTTATTAATATCGTTTTAGAGGAAAATAAATGATTTACAAAAGATATTCAATAATGAAATCCATTTATTAATAATCAATAGATTCTATTAGTATTAATAAAATAATTAAATAGAATAAATTTTTATTCTTTATATAATATATATTTTTGAGATTATTGTTAATTATATTTCATTATTGAATATTGGATCAATTATAGAATATATAATTTGATAATTTTAATGATTAAAAATCACAATTAAACAATAGTTATTTATGAAATTAAAATTGTTTAATAAAAGAAAATTTGATAACAATTTTAATTGTGTACAACTTTGAAGATTTTAAATATGTAAGGATATAATAATAATAAAACATATTAAATGATCTAGAGATATTCGATTTTATTTTAATTATGATTAAGAAAGTCATAAATAAAATTTAATTGGAAAATTTTAAAAATTAATTGTATATTTGATTACAAATCAAAAATAATCTTTAAAATTTTTTATGTTTTGAATTAAAATTATACGTAATACGCATTAATGTGAGGTGATATAGTTGGATAAGTTTAAAAATTTTACAATAAATAAAAATAAATATTGAATGAAACCATTCTTGCCGATCAATACAAATGATAACATTCCCAGTGATAAAATAGATTCATATATTTCTTATATGGTATAGAATGTAATTACAATATAGTCTTAAGTGTACAATGTGTAATAATATATGCTGATTCAGGCTTAAAATTAGATCATGTAGGCTCAACTATTGAAATTGTAAAGTGGCACTATAAACTATAATGCCATTTTGCAACAAAAAATAATAAAATTGTTAGAACAGATTTTATAAAAAGGAGTATAGATTTCTATAAAGGACTTTATTCCATAATCTAAAATGCCTATTTTGGCTAAATATATAGCTAACATATTTATATATCTAATGAAATAATGTTCTTCAGATTAAGATGAGGTCACATTGAATTATATAAAGGACCCCAATTCAATTGTTATTGATTAAAAATAATGGGACTTAATATGTGAGATAATCAGTAAGAAATTAGTTTGTCTTGGAGCTAATGATATATTTTGCACTAATGGTATTGATTATAATTTTTATATAGATTCTTAAATTGGAATAGTTAGTTAATCATTATTATTTAGCAGTATCATAAGGAAAGTCATATTCAAGAAATTACATGGAAATACTCAATAAATAAGTTTTTAAACTTTGAATGATTTATTGGGATAAGAAAATAGATCAGATGAATTCTTATACAAATTCTTATGTGAAGAGGATAAGAATACAATGACTAAATAATCTTGTTAAATATCTTTAGAAAAGATGTTCTAAAAAAGTAATTAATATTTTTATCAATCAAATCTAATTGAGTAAATTATTGAGAATTAAAAATAATTTACTATAAATGGAAATTTTGAATATCATGCTTAAAAGGTATTAAAAATGTTATTATTTAATATAGTATTTGAACATAATCAAAATATATTAGAATTGTGATTAAAATAAAGTAATTGAATAAATAGTTAATGGATTATTCTTAAATTAATAGTAAATAGATAGTAAGTAATTCATATTCAATTCTAATCGACTTGAAGAGAAACTCAAAAAAATATTATTTATGTTTGTGGATTTAGTAAGAATAGAGAATTCCATAATTTAAATAGTATTGGAAAATAAAATGTAAATTAATTATTAATAATTTATAGATCTGAAGAACCATAGAAAAATCCTCTTGAATATTATGCTAAATTGATAGAAAGAATAAAGAATAAATGTAGAAGTAAAGAGGATGAATTTTGTAATTGTAAAAGGTGTTAATGCATTAAGAGAAATAGAGATAGTGCAAGAGAAGCATAAAAAAGAAAGAGAGAAGCTTTGGAGAAAATTGGACCACTTTAAGAGGAATATCAGAAAATTAATAAGAAAGTAAAAATATAAAAAATAATTTAGGTTAAATTGTTAGAATTTGACAATTCAAAATTGAAGGCAGCTTTATTTGAAGCTTTAAGAAACCCAGTTATAGAAAACATTATAAAAACATAATATTAAAGTGAATTTTCAAATTTAACAAATATCATGTAATAAGAGTCTTAAGATAGATAAAAAGAGGATTCTTAATCATAATCTGATAATAAATGATTTTTTAATTGTATTATTTGTTTATGTTTGAATCTAAATATTAAAATACTAACATTACAAATTCAAAGTTTTATTTATTTCATCTAGATTAAGATAAGATATAATTTTTATACTTATCCCAAACAAAATTGTTAAAAATCTAAAATAATTGTGGACAATCTATATATTTTCAATTTAGTATTTGGTTTCAGTAAAATACTTAAAATACTGAGTCCATAATTAATAATTTGCATTTAGTATATTAATACAGAATAACAATTACCTACTTTTATTCATATTATTGTTTTTTGTCAATATTAAATCTATCCTCTATTGGGTAGCTAGTGTATGACTTAACAACATTTAAGATATTATAATATTGATTTTTGATTTTAAAAATTAGAATTTATTCAAACAATAATTTAAATTAGTTTAGAATTACAGAAAGCACATTATTGTTTAATTTAATCATTGTTATATTAAATATTTAATTTATATATAATGTATAATTAAAATTAATTACAATAATATAAAGAAGATACTTAAATTTTTAAAAAGTTAAGACAAAATTTTTAAGAAAATATTTCATCTTTGAATATAAGTATTTATATTGTAATTTTAGATAAGAATTTTTCTACTGAGTATTAAATATAAATTGATTAACAATAGTATTTTCATTTCTATAGATAGATAAATAGGAATGTAAAAAATAAAAAAATCTTAAGAATTTATATTTCTTATTAATCATCTTTTTTAAATGAATTCAATATATATTATTTCAAATTAAAATAAATAAACATTATTGATTTTTATCATTAAATAAACAATTGGACATAGAAAATAATATAATTATTCTAAATCTAATTTTATTTATGCTTTAATAATTCTTATTTTTATGAATAAGATTTGAAATGTAAATAAGTTATTATAAATAATGGAATAAATAAAAGATAAAAATATTAAATAAGAATTTTGATACTAAATATAATGGATTATCATAAATTCATTAAAATCACTAGAAAGATGGGCATTAGTATATATGCATGATTTGGGGCTGGTAAATTAATTTATGGCGTAATAACATTGCTTAAATGTGAAGCACATATTTTATTAATAGAATCCCAAACACATTCATCAGCTTAATTACATTATAATTGATTATAATTATATTAGCATAAAGGTTAGCATATCTAAATTAATAATAAAATAAAATTACTTTTAATGAATTATTGAATCTACAATGAGTATTTGGACAATCATCTTGGTTGTGATGTTAACAACTCTTAGATTTACATTTTTGATTAAGATTGTCATAAGAACAGAATTAAGATTGATTTAAACAAATACATGAATCTTTGATTTCTTCACATGAAACACAAGAGAAATCGTTCATTTAAACACATACATCAGTTCCAATATGTGTACCCATACAATCTCCTTATGATATACCTAAATATCTACATCCAGTAGATGTACATTCTTCAACTTTATTAAGTGTTGGAATCCATGCACATTAAATTCCTTATTATTTTTTTAGAATGCAATTATCACTAGTAGATATTTATGAACAATCTAATTATATAGTACATTTTTCTTATTAATCATTCCAATCACAATCATTTTATAAACATTATGTTTTACCCATATATTCACAAGTTCTATTTTTACAATATCCAACAAAAACACATTCATTTATAAATTATTCACAATTAGTTTAATTTAATGAATTACAATCAAGATTTTCACAACCAGTTAATGTTAATTTATTTTTACATCTTTTATTCTTAATCTTATAAACAGAGCAATCAAGAGAAGTTGCAATAAGATCATTACAATTATAGGCAGGTAAACATTCTGATTTAGTATTTAAATAACAATAAGCATCTCCAATAACAGTTCCTGAACATTCATTAACAATAAGATCAGAACATTTTTTATCTCTACAAGTACCATAATTTGTGTTTTTTAAATATTAAGTAATATCTTTATTGGTTTTAGATTCTGAAACTTCAAAGAAACAATAATTCAAATTTTCACATTTACTATATTCAAGTATTGTTGAACATATAGGGAATTATTCAATATAAGCAAGACATTAACATTTTGAATCACTCCATTTACATTCATCTAAAACATTACAACCTAAAGCACTTAAACCTAGAGTGTTACAATTATCTGTAATTGTAGATTTAATACAACCATGAGTTAAATCACTATATTTACATCTGTCAATAGCAAGTGAACATACTTAATAATTAGCTTATTCAACTTAATTACAAAGTACATTCAAATTAAGATCTTAAGTTTAACATTTCTAATTTTTAAATATACAACCTTATATTAAAGAACAAGCAATAGCATTAATACCTTCTATTTCACATTGTGTATATTTTTCAGTAGGAATTTCACATTTATTAAGTTATTTATTATATACACATGCATCATCTAATACATAAGAACAAACAGAAGAATTCACATCTATAAATACTTATTCACAAGAAGTAAATGGAATATAATCTTGACAAACAAATATACCATCTTAATCTTACATCCAAACACATGGTCCAGTCTTTAAATTTAAACATGCATATTTATTAATTCCTTTATCTGAACAAATTGCTGTATTAATATCAATAAGATCACAACCAATTTCACCTGAACCACAAGGTAATTATAAAGAAAGTTAAGAACATAATTATGGTCCTAATCCATCTCTTTTGCAAGTTTATGTTTATAATAATCTATGAGATTATAATTACTCTTCTACTAAAAGTCTTTTTCCTTCAAATACACAAGCATGATTTTTTTCATCCCAACTACATTTCTAAAATTAATTTTTTATACAAGCCTATTTATTTAGACCTGGAGTCATAGGGGAACAGGTTAAATTATCAAAATTGGTTTCTTTAATACATGATAAAGTATCTTAATTATATCTAACCATATCTCCATTGTTAACTAATGCACAAGCATTACTATTAATTAAAACATAAGTATTAGGAGTAATTATATCTCCTTTAATTATAGGAATAGTTTAACATTATTCATCATTCCAATAACATTAAACACCTTTTTTTGTAATCTTTAAACAAGCTAAATAACTAAGTTAATCTGAACAATTCATAGTATCAAAAGCTGTGAATATTTTACATTCACCTATACTTAATTCAGTTTCTTATTTGGCTAATGAAGTTAACTTAATTTTAATAGTTTTGAATTCCCAAATACATTCATTTACAATTTATTATGTACATGATACTTTATTAATATTATCTAAACAATTATTAGAATTTGGTATTTCAATAAATGTTTTACATTAATTATTTATAAATTAACATAATTATCCTGGTCTTTCTACATCTAAACATGCTCTCATATTACCAGATGCATTTTCTATATCCTAACACTCATCATATAATTTTTTTTATTTGTATTCACATTACTCCACTATTGAATTCCAATAACAAGGTAATCCTTTTATTATTTTACATTATTCAGGTGTTTATGCTTGATCACAATTAGTTGGATTTATTGTTCTACATGTTTTTAATGTAGTATCAAAAATACAAAAACTATTTTAAATTGATGTACATATATTTCTAGAAGCATTTTCAATCAAATTACAATCAGTTTAAGTTGATGTATATTTCTAACATTTATTATCAATCCAAAGACAATTAAATTAAGATTAGAATAAACATGATTCTAAATTGGAAGCAAATGTACAACAATCATCAACTTATGTATAATCACAATTCAAAATCTAATAATTTGGTCCATAACAATAATTCCAAAATTTACATTAAAGTGATTTAGTAGTTTTATTTAAACATGCTAATTGATTTAAACCTCTATTGCAACTGAATTCATCTATTGGTTCTGTAAAAGCACAAACCTTTTTCTTAATATCATATTTGCATAATTAATCATCTACTGATACTTATTCACAATAAATAAAACTATTTATAGTTGTTAGTTCTGTACATGTTGTATCTTTCAATGTTAAAGGATTTATCTCTTAACATAAATCATCTATAAATCTGCAATATACTCCATCAGTAGTAATATTTTAACAACCAAATATATTAATAGCATCTTCACATCTAATTATAGATGTATCAGAAATTTTACTGCAATTATTATCTTTATATTAACATGACTCATATTTTACAGCTTAACAAGATGTCTTATTAGTATTTGCATCACTACATAATGAAAATTCACCCTCTTCTTTTAAATAACAATGATCACTGAATACACAATTGGTATTCTATTTACATGCAATTTCATTATATCCATTAGTTTATACACTACAATCGATTTCATCTTCTGGCTTAAGTATTAAACATGCTTAATCAGTATTACTAAAATAACAAGCATTATCAATAACTCTCTCACAAATAATGCTTGAATTAATATTAACATAACTAATGCAAGGTTATGTGAAATCTGTGACTTTTTCACATAGATTTTTTACTTTATTAAACATACATTAAGCATTAGGATTAGTAATACTTACACATCCTAATAGATTGGATTAACTATCACAATCAAGATAAGATAATTATTATGTAGGTATTTCTAAACACTCATCTTTCCAATAGGTTAATTTATTATCATCTTTATAGAGTTAACAAGTTTTAGAATTAAAAGAAATTCTATTAGTCCATTCTGTTATTATTTCAGATGTAAATTCTTAACACATTTTAACTTAATCATTATAATAACATGGAGTAGATGCTTCACCAGTAGCAAGAGCACAAACTAATGGATTAGTTTGTTTATTAAATTAACCACAAATAGATAAATCTGAATTTATTACTATATCTTGACATCCAAGAGTATCATCAAAATAACAATATTATTTTTTAGTTCTTATTGATAAACATTTATCTTTATTGATTTTATCTTTACAATTATTATTTCCATAACTATTTTAACATAAACCATCCTAAAAAATACATAATGAACCTTCTGTTTAAAATAAACATCCAATTAAATTTAATCCTTATTAATTACATACAAATATTTAATCTGCTTCAATTACATTACATTAATTAGTTTAGACATTCAATCTACATGGTAAATCAGTTCTTGATGAACAAACATTAGAATTTACAATAGCACCTTCATCTTATAATGTTTAACAAGTATCTACTATATCATCTATATCTTAACATCTATTATTTTTAAATTTGCATAAAGTGCCTTTGTCTGTTATTATCATAGAACAAGAATACCAATTCAAAGTATCAGAACATGTTAAAATTTATTAAAGTGAAGATCTAGTTTAACTTTAACATTGATTATTAATATAAATACAAAAAGTATTAGTTTTAGTGAGACATGCAAATTTATTAATTCCAAGTAAAGTACAATCAGTAATATAAGGATCTCTATTAGTAATTTATATGCAACTTTATAATATGGAATTATAAATAAAAGATTCTTAATAGGCTTCATTACTATTATCAAGTTTAGAACATACTGATATTGAATATGGATAATTTACATCTTCATTTAAAAAGTCATTTATTTAGGTTATTGCAAATTCACTACATTTTCCTTCTGTAAATTTACAAGTATCTTTTTAATTTAAACATGCACCAATACTCAAATTATCTAAACATCCAATTTCTAAATTTGTTTATAATTAACATTAATTATCTTCATATTTACAATTATCATCAATTATATTGATACAAGATTACTTATTTAATCCAGGAGTTGTACAAATAAAAGTATCTGTAATAATAGGTTCTCTACATTAATAATTTTAATCTCTAAAACATGATTTAACTGCATCCTCAGTTTCAATAACTAATTAACTACATATTTATGCATTAAAATATAAGTAAACAGGTAGATTTTCATCATTTCCTAAGAAATCTGAACAGCTAACAAAATTAGCAGGATCTAAAGTTATTGATTCACATTGATCACTATCTAACCATCCACAAGAATATACTTTATTATTTAAACAACCAAATTTATTGGATTTAGCACAAGTGTAATCTGAATCCATTATTGCATCTTTACATTATTTAGCTGTTGGATCCCAAACACAAGCTTATAGATTTGAAATTCTACAAATATTTTCATTTGGTAATTCATTACATTTTCCCAAAGTTTCTATATAAGTAGAACATAATTTAGTTGCTGGATTCACCCAACAATTATTAACAGTTGAACAAGAGAAATTATTATAAATTGAACAATCACTATTATTTGCAGTTGTAAATGATTCACAAGTATAATCTAACCATCTACATGAAACTGTTGTACTTTATAAACAAGCTATTTAATTTAGTTTATCACATGATGAAACTGTTGTGTTTTTTAAAGATTTACATCTCTAAGTAATTGAATCATAAATCATCAAATCTCCTTTGCATCTAACACAAGCTTTTTCTGTTACTGTTCGATCTAATAATTAACTACAAGAATATCCTGTTGCATCAACACACATATTTGTGTAAATACAAGATTATGATACTCTACCACATACTTATTCTGCTTTACCAGAATTCAATAAATTTACTTCATAACATAAGAAATATTTATTTGTTTTTATCTCAATTTCATCATTTTCACTTGTAAGTGTAAGATTAATTTTAGTTAATTAAGGAAACAATTATACTGGTGTATTTTAACAAACACCTAAAGTATCAAAATCACATCCACAATATGTACACAATTTTTTACTAAAACTAGAATCACAAGAAGGTGTACAAGTGCTATCTTTAGTAATAGTGCTCACACATTTACCAGCTTCATAACGACAACTATCTGTAGCATTAGCACAAGCACCTTTAGATATACTTAAAGATAGAATATCAGCACATTTATAAGATGACAGTAAAACAGAATTTGTAGTACATTTAATAACTGATCTCTCTAAGGTTTTACAATTAGTTGGATATTTGTCTGAACTAGTCTCTACTTTACATAATGCATATTTAGATTAACTTTCCAAACAATTATTTTACACAACATTATAAACATTGTCACAACTTGATAATTTTCTTTCATTTGAAGCAATAGGATTACATCCTCCTTAATTTAAATCAAAGTAACATTAAGCATCATTCATTTCTAAACAAAGAGCTTTTGAATATCTGTATGAACATTCTTAAACATAAAGAGCATCACTAATTTTATCATTATTACATTTAGGTACATCTTTACAAACTTCTTCAGTTTCTTTATTACCTTCCCCATCTACAACTGGATTACCATCTGAATCTGTTTTGTCCTTAGTTTCACATTCTTTATCAACTTGAAAAGATATGGCATGTAAAATTTTAATATCACATGTATAAGTGCTTGAATTCCAATAACAATACTTTTCATAATTACAAGTTTATTAATTATCTTTTTTATCGTAACATTGAAATTTTCCATCTGAATCAGCAATAACAGTACTAATTGATGAACATGACAATTTATTATAATAAGATCCAGATTTTTTCCTTAAATCTGAACATAAATCAGTTTCCTGTATTGTAGTACTCAAACATTATAAATTAGTTGTATTGAATTAACATTATTTAGGTATATCCATACAAACTGAAATATTGATCTAAGTTGAAGTTGTACATGATGTTTATTCTGCAGTATAAGGTTTGCATCTTTTTGATAAATCAGATTCACTTGTATCATAATAACAATATATTCCTCTAGTCTATAATAAACAAGCTTATTTATTAGCATAATATTAATTGCATGTACTCATCTAAGAAGTTAAAATTGAGCATTTATGTGATTTATTATTATCATCATCTGTAACTACATTATAATAGTAAGAATCTCCAATTAAAGTCATACAAGTTTATTTATTGTATTCACTTCCACTTTCAATTTTTTTAAAAGAAGTTGAATCAATTGCTTGTAGTCTATAACATTTATATTTAGATATATCCCAAACACATGGTTCTTTAGTTACTTATAGACATAATTTCTTATTTAAATTATCATTACAACCCAAGAGTGCAATATTTGTTTTATTTTCATAACATTCTAATGATTTTGGATCCCATCTACATTCTGCTGATGTTGTTTTATAATAACAAGTAATTGCATTACCTCCATTAATATTACATCCAACAGCATCATCTGAATGAGCAACACATTTATTTGATTCATCAAATTTGCACATTTATTTATCTTTTATAATTTTTAAACATACTGTTGAACTTACCAATCCAGTACTATCAAAATCTGTACATTCTACATCTGTTTGAGTATCAATGCATCTATCATTAGTGATACTAAATTGACATCCTATATTTGCATGACTAATACATGCCTTCTTATTTTAACCATAATTGCATGTATTTATTTATAAAAATTCATCTTTTGTAATTGTTACACATTTTAAATTTGTAGAATCCCATTTACAATAACCATTTCCTAAAGTAATCTAAGTAGCAAGACATAAATTTCTATTACCAATTACTTATTCACATGATTCTTTATCAACTGGAGCTTCTATTGAAGTACATGTAAATGTTGTTGAATCATAAGTAAAATATTTCAAATTATTTTTTGTTGTTTTTGATGCTTCAATACCTAAACATGCATATTCATTCATTATTTTAGGTGCAACAATAAATATACTAAAATCAACATAATTTCCATAATTTATATTAATACAAGATGAACCATTATAATAACATCTTTATTTGGTTGACCATGTAATCATATAACATGAATTTATAGACATCTAAGAACATTTAAATTGATTTGCATTAAAATATATTCTAGCTGTATCTTAATTTACTACACCAACTTATTCTATTGTTAATTATTGACATCTTAAATCATTATTAAAAAAACAATATGTATTCACATCTTTTGATGAATATTTACTACAAGAATGAGCATTTATTCCAATTTTATCTGGTTCTGTACAACAAGGAGTTGAACAACCATCTTTATTAGTTTCACAATTTGATGTTTTAGAATTGAATTTACAATTTGCTCTATTTATATCAACTTTAGCACCTTCAACTGGATCATAATCTGGAAATTCATTCTCTATTGCTGCACATGTATTAGCATTTACTACTACACTTGTTCCCAAATAGTTATTACAAAGAGAATTAAATGGAATAAATAGATTTTAACATCTATTTGTTCTAAATGACCAATTACAAATTTATCCTGGTGTTACAATCTAAGCACAAATATCTATTGTTGGAGAACTAGCATCACAAGTCATTGTATTTAATAATTCAGCTTTTGCAGCAGCAGTAATTTATGATTATTATTAATATGGATTTGAAACATATTAACATGAATTAGTATTTGTATCAAAATAACAACTACCACTTGCTATAGCACAAGCAAAAGAATTTAATCCAGGAGTTGCACAATTCATATTATTTACAATTGAATTAACACAACCTTTTTAAAGATCCAAATATCTACAAGGTTCTTTACCATATTCTACAAATCCACAAGCATATTTATTAACAAATTATAATTATATACACTAAATTTATGCTATTTATTCTTTTGATCTTATTTATTAACATGAATTCTAATACCATCTACATACTTAACCAGGAGTTGTAATTGATGCACATATTGATTTATTATAACCATATTTTGTATCTGAACAATTAATAGAATTTAAGAATATTTCTTCCTCTTTAAGAATAATGGATTTACACTATTAATATGATGGATCATAATAACAACCTAAAGAATTATTCTCATAAACCTATGAACAAGATATTGCATTAGCAAATCCAAGAGTTTCACATTTAGTTTTATTAGCTACTATTTTTATATTAACACATCCATCTTTTGTCCATTAACAAGCATATCCTGCACTTGTAATACTAACACAACCTTATAAATTAAGATAAGGTGAATTGCAATAATCTTTTTCAGTACTTCTAACACATAAATGAGTATTTGCATTATATTTACATGTTACTCCTGGTTTAGATATAGATTAACAAACATTTCCATTCACTTTAGATTCTGAATTCAAAGAATCTAATGGACAATTTATATCTTAATTTAATTAAATTCTTGTGCATTAAACTCCATCCCATTTACAATATTGAAATTAAGTCTATATATTAATACAAGCATCTTCATTCAATTCCATCTTACATTAAAATAACTTTAAATCAGATATAGATAATTCTTCACATATTCCTTTAAAGAAAGTACAATATTAGTTTTTAATTTAAAGACATGCTTATTTGGTTAATCCAAAAGTATTGCATTTAATCTTTTCTAATTAATTACTAGTAGGATTGATGCATTGCTTATTTATAGAATCATATAAACATATTCCATTAAATCCAGAACAAACTATAGAATTTACTTCAGTTATTTATTCACATGTCTATTTTTTATCAATGAAGTCCATGCATGTATTGTTTTTCCATTGACACTTCAATTTTGGGTTAATGATTTATAAACATCCCAATCGATTCAGCATTAAACTACACTTTTACGGGTATGTTGATAATACATTTTTACACTGGTTATTTTCGAAAATACCTATAGTATTAATATTTAAATATACAAGCTTAATCTTTTGTGGTTATTTAAATACATCCTTACTAGTTCAATCCTAGTTAATTACAAAGAATCTAAGATTATTACTGTTCTGTAACAGATACACATTAATAATCTCCTTCAAAACCATTACTCATACCTATATGTTAATGTTTATATATAATACATGAAATATTTTGAATCTTTTAACATAAAGATGGAGTCACAGATTCTCCAAAAATCTTTGAACATTCATCTCCTAATGGTATTTCATTTTCATATTCATAACATCCCTTATTCCAAATACAGTCTTTTTTTTACACATTCATGCATCCATATTTTGAATATTTTATTGAGCATCCTAAATTTTTGAAATGCTATTTTTTGGCAAGCTGACATTTAGAAGTAAAGAGACCTTTATTATATATATATATTTAAGAATACATGTTGCCTCAGAATCATCAGGATTAGTTAATTAATTTAGACAAGCTAACTTATTTAAAGTTGGTTCACAGCCATAACTGGTTATGGAAGTTTAAAGGCATGCATTTTCAAACTAACTAAATTCACCTAAATTTGTTTTAAAAACCGATTTATACACATAATTCCATCTGTTTTTGAGATACATGCTTTGGCATCCATAGGATAGTAATTACAGAACATTGTCGAACCCAAGTTGAAGATCAAACAAAGCAAAAAAAATCTTGGTAAAAGCATTTTTTAAATATCAAATAAAATTTTTGATACATAATAAGTATGCCTTTAAATCATATAAATAATTATAAAGTATAATAATAATGTCCACAAATTCAAGAATGAGATTAGTTAGAGATCTTTAAAAACTAAAGTAAATGATTCCACAAGGATTTTAAGCTGCACCTTTTGATGATAATATTTTATTATGGGAAGCTGTCATCTTTGGACCAGATTAAACTATTTGGGATGGAGGGATCTTTAAATTACTTCTTGAATTTACAGAAGAATATCCACTTAAACCACCTAATGTAATATTTAAGACTAAAATATTTCATCCAAATGTATCATTTATAATTCAATAATTTTATGTAAGGTTTACACAGATGGCAAGATTTGTTTAGACATTTTATAAAATCAATGGTCACCCATCTATGATGTATGGGCAATTCTAACATCAATACGTTCTCTCTTAAATGATCCAAATCCTGATTCACCTGCTAATAGTGAAGCAGCCAAATTGTATTTAGAAGATAAAATAACTTATTTTAAGAGAGTAGAAGAATGTGTAGAAGAATCATGGATTGATTGATACATATGATAATTATCATATAAAATATCCTTTATAAATACTACTCATTCTCTTTTTGGTCTATTAACAGGACTATTTGATCTCTATTTAACATTTTATTTCTAATCTACTCCTGTCTATTTTGAATGTTTTCTTTTGGCACTTAACATTTAAGCATACATAAAGAATCCTCCTACTATATATTTAATTATTAATTATTACATATCAAAATAATTTACAATCCTCTTATTTAGATTTAATCATAAATAGCTAAAGATTGATTAACAGTTCTTAATTCTCCTAAAATTCCTATTGGATATAAGACCATAAATGCATTATATCTTAAAGTCTTAAACAATGAATTATTCTTGAATAAATAATATGAAAATCTAATTATTTCAGCTAATGACCATGCAATTACTGCATTAATCAAACAACAAAAACATACTCCATCATACATAAATAGTAATGCTACTACAAGTCTTCCTCCTAATTAAAGTACATTACTAATTAATGAACCAGATGTCAAACTATCATAAACTTAATATCATACCCAAGAATATTAGAAATTAGATCATAGATCTATGAGATTTACATAACATGAACTAACCAAACAATCTATCCTGTTTTTTCAGTACCATTCATTATTTCCAACATTACTAATCCTAATATTGTTGACCATCCAATTAATTGTGATACATTATAAACAAGAGATATTAATCCAAACATTATATTTAATTATTAATAAAAATAATAATCTCAATAAATTTTATTTTTTATATCATCTTCTAACATCTTTAATTTCTTAAAATATCTTTTGCAAATTAAAACATATATACTACTCAAAATAAAGACAAATAATGCAATTATTAGTATAGCTAATAGAGGATGAACATATCTAAAAATAGGATATGGAATTCTATCATTAATTAAGTAATTCAACACAACAAAGAATAAATATAAACATCCAGATATTGTTGCAATTTTAATATTCCCTGAATATTAGAATCCAGAAGTATAAATAGCTAAAAAGAATCTAATTTTAAAGTTAATCTTACAAATAAAGAAAACTGCCACCATGAAAAGTTGATAATATGTAAAGTGATATTGGATGTGTTTTTGATATAACTGCATTTGGTTGTATTGAATAAATTAACCAAAAAGATATTGTTACCATAAAACATTCGTAGACCAAAAATGTTTAAAATCTTTTTAATTATAAAGATTGCTATTTCCAAATTAATGATTCTATTATAGACCATACTTGATAAATCACTACAGAGAATTATGTAAAATTAGTATAGAATGATAATATGGCTAGCAATTTATTTATTGGAAATCCTTCATAGTAATACCAGATTATCTCCAATAAAAGGATTACAAAGTTCAAATACTATAGTTATTAGTTAATTTTATTACTCCAATATTTTTTGAACTTAATTTAATATCCAACATTTGATCAATATTTATAATATAATTATTTATATTTTCAAAATTCATTGTTATAATTAATATACATTTATTTGGCATAAACAGCTCTTTATATTGTAGGTTTAACTCTTTTTGTATCTTCTATTAAACCTAATAGTTTGAGATTAGCTATTGCAGTCTAAAAATCTATCATATCTTATTTTTCAATTAAATTAGACAATGCTACTTAATATTATTATTAAATTTTTGCATAATTTTCTCCTGTCTATTTAAAATTAGATGTACAAGTATCAATTAAATTTGTATGCAAATGATTCAAAATATCAGGATTTGTAGATTCCAAATATTTATCAAAATCCTTAAATATATATTAAGAATATGATTTCTTAATTTCATTGATTATCATCACAATATATTAATTTAAGAATTCATTAACATAATCCTCAAATTTTACTTTTTCATTATCTTTAGTTAATTAACTAAATCGATCATTTGGTTTCTTTATTTACTATTTATCATAATTCTCATTTTCTAAATATTGTAAGATTGTTTAATCAATATTTTAATCATAACCTATTGAAGTAAGATCTTTAAATAATTATTTAGCTTTATTTAATTTACAATCATGACTCAAAGTAAACCATTTACTTGCTTAATTCGAACATAATAAACCAAAGAGTTTTTACTTAAAATCTTTGATGTCTTATTGATTCTAAATTTAATTTATTATATATTTACTTCTGATTTTAATTACTCAATGTATTTACTAAACACAAGGATAGCATCACTTAATTATTTTCTTTTTGATAAATATTTTGAATAATTCATACTGTTATTAGGTTAATTCTTCAAAGTGTCAAGTAATTCTTTCATGGTTGTATTCTTCTTATTATAGGAAGTCATAAAGTGTAAGGTTTCATACATGAGGAAATAAGCTTATTTAATTTTAAAAAGTTATTATTGATAATTTAATGTATAAATCTTAAAGTCTTTTTCCCATAAGGAATATATTTCTTAAGAGAGTAAAGGAATTTAAGGATTTGATATAAGTTTTATCAATAAATGTATAAACATCTTTTTAGGATCACTAAAACTATAGATTTTTGTAATTTCATAATTCTCTGTTGCTGTAGATTATAAGGGTAAAACAAATATAATATTTCCTATTGTATTTGGGTATCTAAGTTTAATCTCTTCCAATAGAGCTTTTTTTAAGTCACTTAATTCTTCAGATACAAAATATTTAGATATCAAAAATATTGATGTATGTGCTCTCACATTTGATTTAAATTATTTTGCACAATGTATTAATACATGATTTAATAAATCTGGTAAACTATAGTCAATTTTATCAAATAATTCAAAACTAAGTGAATGATCTATTATTCTTCCTCCTTCCATTGTAAATTCAACACAATCAGAATTTAATATAGGATGACCCTCTTTTTTTTTAACAAGAGAACTATAGAAAGAATATACTGAATATAGATTTGCTTGATCTACCAAAAGAAAACCAAACTTGATTTAAACATAATGATGTTGTTAATTTAGACTATGCAATTCTAAAATTTAAAATGTTGTGTTTTTTAATTCTTCCTCAATCCATTATAAAATTGAATTTGATAATTTTAGAAACTTCTTATCAACTATATCCTTAGACTCTAAATCAATTTATTCTACTGTCAAATGATATAATTCCAAAATCTCAGCTGATTCAGATTGCTATTTACTTTTTGATTTTTTTGGAACAAATGCTTAATAACAATCTTCTAATTCTCCAAATACCTATTCTTAATGATATTCCATTAATTTAAATAAATAATATTATCATATTTTTGAATAAATAATCATTTTAATTGTTTGATTAATTTCTGTTTTGGAAATACTTAAATTTCATCAAAATCTCCTTATAATTAACCTAACAATTCCTTTAAAGTATTATCATGTGTTAATTTATGAATGCTTTATTGACATTAAGGACATTATGCTAAATTCAAATCTAATTAACCTGTAGAACATAATTCAATAAGACTATTCTCATCAAAAGCTTCAGGATGTTGACAATATATACCTCTAATAGGATTTCTTAATTTCTAATTTGATATTAAACACTTAAAATTTAATAGATATATATACTCTTAATTTTAGATTAAATTAATCTAATTCTTAAATTGGAGATTCTAATTCTTCAAATCTCAAAGAAGGATAAAGTTTTTTTTATAAAAAGAGTTAATATTTTTCCTTATTTAAATAATTGAAATTCTTAATTGTATTTATGTAATTGAGCATCTTTGTATCCACATAGACTTATTCATGAACACTTTAATCCCTATGTCTTTTTTTAGGTGAAAAAGGATTATGACATAAAGGACAAGAAACTGAATAAGTCTTGACTCCATTTCTATTTTCTGGATATTACACTTAATTTAATATACAACTCATGAATCTAAGATCACATACATTTACTTTATCACATCTAATACATCTACAAGGTATTTCCACTTTACAATTAGTACTTTAATCTTTAATTATACTAAGATCACCATTTAATGGATGTTCATAAAATTTATCTGTTAATTCTTAGTTTTTTGTAGATGAATATATTCTATCTGTTAAATCATAGATAGATTTTATATAATTCATAGTTTCTGTTGTTGTTGGAACCAACTTCTTATAAGCAACAATTTGAGGATCATAATTTGTAATCGAATATGTATCTAATAATGTTTATGATTATGGATCAAATATAAAATCTGATGAAAAATTAAAACTTTTTAATCCTATTTCATATAATTCTTAATCCAACTATAATTCATTTAAATTAATAATCTCCTAACATCCCATAAAAAGACATTTTAATTACTTTTCTGAAAATATAATTATTATTACAATCTCGCTATTACATGTACCAATTTAAATAAAGAAAATCATAACATTCTAAATGTCGGCATTATTTTCCTCTCACTGGAATTTAGATTCTTATGTTTCCCAACAAACATACATGAGAATATTTAAAGGATTCATTCCCTTTTATTATCTTTCTTAAATTAGAGAAACTCTATTGAACATCACATTATTAACCAAATATTTATTAAATTTGATTATTGTATTGAAATTGTTCTTTTCCTAAAAAACCAGGATATAATGGAATCAAAGTTTGAGTAGTTAAGTAATATGTTATTGGTTTTGATTTATCATTTAACTACAAAATAATAAATTATTTATACTTGTTATCTAAGTTATTGGAAAAACAAATTTGGAATTAATGGTATATCCTTTTTAAAATGACTCTTTGATCTACATAGAGGACACTATATATATCCATCTTACATAAAATTACTGTCATTCTATATCAAATATTTCAATATCTATTTAAGATCAAAGCAATCATTCAAATGTTTTTTATCTAATATGCATTGCATAAATGACACCTTTTCATAATTAATTTAAATACTGGTTACTCTAACCATTCTCCACTTATGGAGCATGTAAATTTGATATTAAAAACGGGATATTAGGATTTACAATATTATAAAAACTAATCAAACAGTTTCTGATTTTCATCTTATTAAATCTTCCAAGAATCCTTAATTGCATATATGATCTTATCTATATTATTTAAAGACATTTTTATAGGTGATGACGATTTTTAGGGACTCTTTTAATCCATTATTTTAGATCAAATATATGTTTAATTAATTTTGTCAAAAATATGTATAAACAATCATTATTTTTAAATATTTTCAAAATTAATTGACTTATATATTTGTATCTAACTATTAACAATAAAAAAATACTTCAAAGTAAGATAATCTAATTTTAGGATTGCAATTAAAAATAAATAAAATATTTTTAGAATATATTTAATCTATAAATTTTAATAATGTATGATATAAAGATGTCTACTTAATGATGACTTTTATTAAAGGATATGATGCTAAGAAATCTTTGATTATATATAATGCATTATAAAATCAATATGAAATTAATGTTGTTTTATTTGTGAATACGAATTAACAAATAAATTAAATAATATCTTAAATATTTAATATTTATTTAAATTGCAAACGTGCATGACAGACAATTAAGCATGGGGAGATTTATCATCTGATGAAGAAAATGAGAAGCCTTAGGTTGATTCTAGAACCTAAAATTAATAGGGAGCCTATAAATAGAGAAACAATTAATCACAATAAGGCACATCTGGAAGATAATAAAAATAAAGGCAAGAATAAACATAGGGGTAAGTAGATCAGAATTAAGAAGGTGATGAACATGATAATAATATTAATAATCCTGATTAATCTAATTAATAGGGGAATTATAATTAAAGAAATAATCAATATAAAAAAAATAATAGAGATTACAAAGATAAGAGAAATAGAGGAGATGGTAATTATAGAGGTGAGGGCAATTATAGAGGAAATAGAGAAAATTAAAAGAATTTTAAAAATAGAGATTATAATAAAGATGATAGATAAGATAGAAATGATAGACAAGATAGAAATGATAGATAAGATAGAAATGAAAGAAGGTAATATTAAGAAAGGGATAATGCTGGTATATATTTTAAATATCTACTTAGGTTTTATCTAGTAAAAGAAGGAATAATTAAATAATTATAATGGAGATGGCATTAATATATTAATTCATTTTAAATTAAATGAAATTTAATTAAAAGAAACATTAAAAGAAATTGAAATTAAAAACTTTATTGTAACAGAGGATTAAACTAGATTTGATGTAGATAAAGAGAATGCCCTTAAACTATTAGAAGTTTATAAATTATAAATTGTATTACATATGTTATTTAAATAATTCTTAGGAATTAGATGGGAGAATCCAAAAACTATATATGAGAATAGGTTCAGATCATGAAAAAAATAATTATGGCAATAGAGGAGGATATTAGAAAAATAATTATTAATAAAGATAATAAAATAATGATAATTAAAATGATTTTGTAAATAGAAACAGAGATGAAAAATTCTAAAATAAAAGAAACAATTTTGAACCTCCTAAAATTATCAGAAACACATCCTCAAGAGTTGATGATAATGTAATATAATATTTATCTTATTAATAGTTATAATAAACTGATTAACAATAATAGGCTTAAACTGATGTTTAATAAAACAAAGGAGATCATTAACAATAAGAAAATGAAAATCAAGAGAAAAGAGTTGATAAGGTAGTTGGTTAAGAGGAAAACAATTAATAAAATATTACATAAGAATAAAATCAACCAAGAAATAATTAAAAAGGCTATGATAATTAAAATAGAGCCTACAAATAAAATTATAAGCAATACAATAAAAATAATAACTTTGATAGAGAATAGAATAATCAAAATTAAGATCAAGATGGATAAAATAAGGATAATTAAAATTAATTTAGGAATAACAATAATAATAATTATAATAATAAATATAGAGGAAATAGAGATAGATAATAAAATAGAAATTAAAATGATAATAATGATTAGGATGACTAAAATAATTAGGAAGATAGAGATAATTAAAAAGGAGGTCAAAGAAATTATTAAAATAATAGAGGAAATTACAGAAACAATTACAATAGAAATAATAGAGGAAATGATAGAGATAATGAAATTGATAATGATAAATAAAATTTTAATAGGAATACTAATGATGGTAATAATAATAGAAATTATTATTATAATAATGATCAAGATAATAATAGAAACTATAATAAAGATCATTACAAATAAAAGAATTACAATAATAGAGATAATTAAGGATATGAAAACAAATAATAAGGAGATGAAGATAATTAAAGAAAATAGAATTACAGAGGAAATTAACAAGTAATAATCATAATTTAACAATAGAATGAAATTAAAGAGTTTGCTTTCAGTTCACATTATGATAAGTAAAAGAAAGAATCTTAGAAAGTAGCTATTAAATCCAACAATATGTTCGACGTATTAAAGTGAGTGTACATCAATAAATTAATGTTATTTATGTTTTTTGATACGATAATCTAACTAGTTATTTCTTTTTTTATCAAATCTTAAAATCAGAGTTTTTAGAATCTTGTTTTACTTTCACTTCTCAATGTTTAGATTTCACCAAGTGTAGAAATTTCTTTTCTCTCAGATGTTACATATTTTAGAGTATCTTACCTTTTTATTATGTTAATCTTAGGTAATGAATTCAATTAAGGTTTATTTAAACCAGAATCAACTTTGGCTTTGATTTTACTAAGATCACTTTTTTCTTTTTTCTATTCTGCATTAAAGTTACCTCTTCTTATTAGATCGTCTGAGTTTTCACTTACTTTCTTTGATACTTATTATTTGAGCCTGTTAATAGTGTTTTTTCCATTTTGTAAGGCAGTCGATCTTCTCAAATATTGCCGTTCAGTAGGATCAGGATCTAATTGAACTTAATATTTATAGTAATTTATAATTACCTTGTTTAGTTTCATGTCTATTTGCAAGCCAAGAAAATGCTACTCCAGCAGTAAATTTGGTCTATATTTTTTCAATGATTTAATCTTCAATGATGGTTTCTTATTAATTTAGACTATGATCTTATTTCTCTTTACTATCTCTAGTTTGATCTGGCAATGTTTAAAGTAAGTCTTCTGTTGTTTTTTATCTCATAATGATGGTTCCTTTCTTTGATTAATTAGGAGTAGCACTTCCTAAACGTTATTTTCGCAATTTCCTTCTAATAACATTAAAGATAGGTTCTAATTTAACAGCTTTCAATTTTAATTATGCTATCATCATTTCATCTTTTCTTTCTAATATTTTATCAATTAATTGTATTCTAATTTATTACAAAAGATCAACCTCTCATCTGCAGAATTTAATGTCTTAAGAGATGCAATAATTTATTTTTTATCATTAAAATCTGATAATGAATTATAAGCATCTTAAACTCTTTATTTTTTAATGCTAATAGATTAAGATTTATTGGAATCATTTTTTTAATGAAAAGTCTTTCTTTAAGTTTCTATAAAATTTTATGGTCTATCTTTATTTTCTGTTTTATTCATAATAGGAGTTTATACAAAGTTCTGAGTACTGGCTGACACAAAGAAGGGTTATAATAATTTTCTTGTAGTATAATTTGGTCGATTTAACATTAGTTTATCGAAGCTCATTATTTTTGATAAATAAATTCATTAAATAAAATGTCTTAGCAATCACTAAGTTAGTTTTCATAACATAGTTAACAACAATAATAAAATTAGTAACCAGGTTAGAAAATTGGAAGTTCTATAGAAGATATAACATAGGATTTGGAGGAATTATTTGAATCTCTTAAGAGTAAATCATAATTAAAGATATTTTATAGTCGATAAATAAGGATAGTAAGTAGATTAGATAGAGAAATCTACATTATTAGCATTACTTCTATATTTGAATATTGATAAATCAGAAGCTTAATTTTTTAATTATGTTGTTAGAACATTAGATCAAATGTAATCTGTAATTAAATATTGAAACCATTTTAGACGACTTTAAATAAGGAGTTTTTCAAATCTTTATTTTTGGATCCTTAAATTAATACAGATAATTTAAAAAGCGAAGAATTTGCATAAATTTTTAGTGTTTTTGATTTACAGAAAAAAGGATCATTTAGTGCTGAAGATTTCTTAAGATTGTATAAAGAGACATCAGAATATTTGAATTTAAATGAGAATTAAAAATAATAAGTAGAAGCAAGAATAAGAAAGGATTTTGAAATTATTAGTCCTGAACATAAAGAAATTACACCAATTGAATTCTTTAAGATAATCAATAATTGAGGTTGATTCTATTTTTGAAATGAAAATTAATTCAAATATATCATTATTTATTTTTAGTATATATATATATATATATTGTCATAAATGGATTAAGACTAAGATATTAAAAGGAAAATAAGATCACATTCAGTTGAAAGAGGTATGAATTAAATATATAATTATAGAGAAAACTGAGAGTTAGTCATAATTTACAGATGAAATAGAGGATGATAAAATAGTCACAATTGGTGTTTGTTGTATGGCTAAGAAATCTTAATCAAAAGAAATGCAAGAAATACTTAATCGTATAAACCCAGAGTTTTTTTAAATTGAAATATTTTCTGAATAAATGATTCTTGAAGATCCTATTGAATCATGGCCTATAGTAGAAACACTTATTAGTTTTTATTCTGATGGATTCCCTTTGAATAAAGCGATTGCCTATGCTGATTTAAGAAAGCCATTCATTATAAATGATCTAAAGAAATAATAACTTCTATGGGATAGAGAAAGAGTTTATACTTTATTAAAGAAAAATAAAGTACCAGTACCTAAACATTATTTTGTATTTAAGAATCCAAATAAATATATCATAGATGATTATAATAGAAAAGAAATTGAAAAGAAGTACAAATCAAGAAAGACTGAATAAGAAATTATTGAAGAGGAAGATAATGTTGATAGTGTTATAAATTTTTTATAGAATGATGATTCATCTTAACATATGAAATCAGTATAGACAGCAAAATAATTACAAGAATTACTATTGCCTCCTAGATAAGATACAATTGAGGATAAAAATAAAAATAAAATGAAATAAGGAATGAGATCTTATGATGCTAGATCTTTATCAGCTGTAATTGATATTAAGAAAGATAATAAAGATCTTTAGATTACTAAGATAGAGGAAGGTGATGATTATTTATTGATAAATGATTAGAAATTAGTTAAACCTTTTGTAGAAAAGCCATTTGATGCAGAAGATCATAATATATACATTTATTATAATTCAAGAGATGGAGGTGGATGTAAGAAACTATTTAGAAAGGTTGGTAATTAAAGTAGTATATTTGATCCTACTTAAAATAGTATTAGAAATGATAATGAAAATTATATTTATGAAGTATTTCTACCAACAAATGGATTTGATATTAAAGTCTATACTGTAGGTGAATTTTATGCACATGCAGAAGCTAGAAAAAGTCCAGTTTTGGATGGTAAGGTAGTTAGATCTTAAAATGGAAAGGAAATGAGATATCCTGTTTGTTTGACAATGGAAGAAAAAATGATGGCTATAAAGATTGTGAATATATTTGGTTAAAATATTTGTGGATTTGATTTATTAAGAAGTAATAATAAATCATATGTATGTGATGTTAATGGTTGGTCTTTTGTAAAAGGAAATGCTAAATATTATTAAGATTGTGCAGCTATTTTATAGAATATGATATTGGCTAAATTAAGACCAACTTTATTTTAGAAATAAATTTCTGATATCAATTTAGTTAAAGGATTCTACAAGAATAGTTTTAGACCAAGTTCAAAAGATCTAGATGGAAAAGAAAAGAATTCTGAATTAAGATCAGTTGTAGCAGTATTTAGACATGGAGATAGAACACCAAAATAAAAAATGAAAATGAGATCTACTAATGAATAATTTCTATCATTTTTTGATGATGTACCTGATCCATCAAAAGAAATTAAATTAAAACATCCAAAATAATTATTAAAATTACTTAATTTAACTAGAGAATGTATTGCTAAAACATCTTGTTGTGATGATAATATTATTAAATTACTACAAATGAAATCAGTTCTAGAATTAGGAGGACATTTTGAAGGTATTAATAGAAAAGTTTAAATTAAACCATTAAAAACATAAAAAATAGAAAAAAATGGTTCAATCGTTGATTTTCCAGTTGAAGTCTTATTAATATTAAAATGGGGTGGGGAATTAACATAATTAGGTGAAGAACATGCTGTTAGATTAGGTTAAGTATTTAGACATGACATGTATCCAACTGAGAAAGATGGATTACTTAGATTACATTCCACATATAGACATGACTTAAAGACATTTTCATCAGATGAAGGTAGGTGTTAATATACTGCAGCAGCTTTTCTAAAAGGATTATTAGGTTATGAAGGAGAAGTTACTCCTATTTTAGCTACTATGGTTTAAAAGAATGAAGTTGCTTAGGAATTATTAGATTGTAATAATTTAGAGATTGAAGAAGAAGTAGAAATTAAAAATATTCTATAAAAAATGTTAACAAGTGATGAGGATATGTTAGTATAGATTTACAAGTACTTTCCAGATTTTAATATGACTTAAACTTAACATGATTTAATTAGCAAATTTAAATGTCCAAAGTCTATGCTTATTTAATTACACACATATATTAATTAATTAACAAAAAATATAAGGTAATTTTAAAATAAACTATTTAGATGTCATATCCACTTGGATAAAAACTATTATATAACTCCAAGTGATATGGAACAAGGAGCTTAAACTATGTTTGAATCAGAAAACTTAACTTTATTCTTCAAAAGATGGTACAAATTAGAATATGATTTCTTATAAAAAGAAAAATTCAATATTTCTAAAATTCCAGATATTTATGACAGTGTCAAATATGATATGTTACATAATTAGGATAAATTATAGTTTTATGAAAATTCAAAAGAGTTTTATTGTTTGGCTGAATTACTAAGTCATTTTATGGTTCCATTTGAATATGGAATCACAACAAAATAAAAGTTATCTATAGCTAAACGTGTAGTTGGTCCTTTATGTGATAAAATCAAATAGGATCTTTTATGGTGGAATAAAGCAGAATCAAAAAATTAATAATAGGAGGAAGATTATTGGAAGTTTAGATAATCTGATGAAAGTGATTTGAATAGTCCATGGAGACATGTAAGAACTAGATTATATTTTACATCTGCTTCTCATTTATATTCTTTATTTAATATTTTATATTATGGATTAGGACATTATTTAATTGAAGATGAATTTAAATAAAAACAATTGTAATAAATATTAATGCTTTAATATCTGTCAAATATTGTGATAAAACTATATGAAGATTTATCATCTGAAAAAGAGGATCCAAATAGATTTAGAATCGAATTAAGTGTATCTGATGGAATTCAAATGCAATTTCCAATTGACAAAAATATGCTACCCAAAAGTGACAATATTCACATTAACTAATCATTAAGATTGGATTAACTAGAAGAATTCCTTAATCAAATTATTGATTGTGCTTTTGGTGATGTTGTTCAATCTTTATGATATATATATATATATATAATTAACAATAAATTAAATAATGATCAATAAATTTATGGGGTATTTTAAGAATAGACCACCCTTTTAAAAGAGAGTTGCAAACTCATCCCTATTAAGTTAATCTGATGAGATATTGTTGGATGATCTATTGTTCTTAATATCTTGCTTTGAGAATAATCATTCAGAATTTATAACTAAAGCACCTTCATATTATATAGAATAATACTTTACATTAGTTAATGAATAGTAATACATAATTTATAAATGTTTAGGGAATTTGCAAATTCTTATATCATTCGAAATAAAGTATTATTAACATGCCATTTAATGCTTCATGAATTTCAATTAGGGATTGATTTTGCTGACCATTTCTTAAATTAGAAATTCATAGTTTTATAGAATAGAAAATCTCCTATACTTGTAAAAACTAGTGGATAGAAAGAAGAATGGCTATCAGCAAATATTTAATTAAGTTATTTCTAATATTTATAAAAATTGGCTGTAAATATATAAGTGTTCCATGCTTGTAAAGTGTAACAATATCCTTTGTTTTAAGAGGGATAAAAATTTATTGATATTCAAACAAAATTGCTTTGGCTCTTTAAAATTAGTAATTTAGTAATTATAAAAATTAAATTATAAGGTTAATAGTGGATTGGGTTAGATGGAAATCTTAAAATAAGCTTTGCAAATGGTACCTGAAGATATGTTATTAAAAGAGATTGTATTAGTTTACTGGTCTGACATCATAGTATTCTACAATTTTCTTAGTAAAGAAGTATATCAACATCCGTAATAAATAGATCTTATAATTGTTAGATTATTATAGACATCTAGCTACACATATTTGTCTATAATTTTATGAACTTTATTTATAATTGTTTCAAATTAGAAATTCCATTTCAGATCTTTATAAATATCGTAAACATTTTGATAGAGATAATGTTATTAAATAACCAAAATGGTTTGATGTGAATAAACCAGTTCATAAATAAATAGAAGAATTCATGTTGAAATAAAAATTGAATATGGGTAATAATACAGATAGAGCTACATTAAAACCATAAATGTCAAGTAGAGGATCTAAATCTCAAATTGCATTAGACACAAGAATTGATTTAAGTAAATTACCTAGATAAAATAATACAATAAAAACTCATAGAGCAGGAAGATAGGGAGAAAGTGAAGGTGATGATGAAGATTTTGAATAATTAAAATAAATCCTACAAAATTAGAATATTCAAACTAAATTAACAAAGAAAAAATAATAAAAATAATAATAATAACAAGATTCTTAAGTTTCTTTTTAAAAATAATCTCATGAAGAAGGAACAGATCTACCAAAAAAAGATTGAATTAACTAATATATATTTACAATTTTTCATATAATTATTTATATAAAAATATCAAATATAGATTATAGTATTTATTAAATTTGATTACATAAATTAAATTCATTTAACTTAAATTAAAATACAACTTTATATTATAAATAGATTATTTACTTAATATTCATAATAATATAACATTTACTTTATTAATTCTTATTAAATAAATATATATTATTTTAACTGAACTAAATTCTTATATTTTTTCAAATGTATCGTTTATGTTTATATTATAAAAAATTACTTAATTAATCTATGTAATATAAATATTAATTAATTGGTTAGATGGCTAAAATTAAATATACACTAGATTTCTTAATGTAATAATAATTCTTATTGTATTAATTTATATTTTTGATTTATAATTTATATATATTAATTATGTAAAAGACCACTTTAGTCAATTTCTTGCATAATGGGTCTAATTATTATCCATTTGGTGATAAACCAGAAAAATTTTGTTCAACTTAAGGAAGATTTGTACCTTTTATTTTTGAAAGGAATTAAGTTGGTAAATTAGCGAATGCTGAATTTTATCACTTTAATTCAAATCAGAAAAGTGTTAAACATAGAACTAGTGAATAAGCCAATTCTTTACTTGCAGACACAATTATTAAATCTAAATTGCATACTGAATAAGACACACCAAAATATGATCCAATCACAAAATACGTAACTTTGATACCGACAAGCCAAAAGATAGATGAATTACATAAGACAATAGATATTAAAACATATACTTTAAATCATACTTCTGTTGAGAGAGGATAATAGATGAGAAAACAACAGAAAGGTCTAAATCATAAACATTAATTAATTAGTAGAAGTACTAAAACTCTTACATCTCAGATTCCTGCAATAGGAATTTATGATCCAAATCCACTTAATAGACATTTACCAAACATTTAAATTAAATCAAAATCTATTCAAAAATTACCTGAAGTTTGGGAACGAACAACATAAGTTACTACTCCTAAAATTAATATAAAAAATAGTGAATCTCAAATGATGTTTGCTAAGTAAATAGCTCAAATTAACAGAGAAGTTGATTCATAAATGAAAAGAAATCCAAATCAAAAATTCTCAACATTATAATTTGATGTACATGAAAACATGAATTTAGAAGAAGCTGAATAAATGAGAAATAGAATGAAACAATATTTTTAAAGTGTTAAAGATAGTCTAACCAAAATTAAGAATCTCATTAACATTAAACGTTGAATTAAATTAGATTTTTTTTTATAGATTATATCTCAATACATTTAAATTTATAAATATAAATTACAATATAATAATTATTTATTGTCCAATAAATATTTAATTAATAATGTCTTCAACTAAAGTTCCTAATATAACAAGAATTAAAAGCAATCTAGAAAAGAAGTTTATTGATGTTTATGGAAATAATCCCTAAAACTAATAAATGTTAGATTACATAATAAAAGAGTTAAAAGGTGAAACTGCATAAAGTGAAAAGAAAACTAAATCATCTAAATAATAATAAATATATTCTGAAGATAAGGCAATTTAATCTGTACCATAAACTGCCCCTTAAATGACAGAAAAAACAAAAGAAAAATCTAAAGAACTTACTAATTAAAATCCTAAGCTTACAGAAAAACAATCTAGTCATGTAAAAATATATTGAAAAATATAGCATGGTAAATCTGCATATGAAGTTGATTCTTTAAAATGGGGTTAATATGCAAAAGAATAAGATTTAAAGTAAAAATTAGAAGATGAAGAAAAATTAAAAAAGTTAGCTTAATAATAAGAAGAATTAAGAAAATAGTTATGTGAAATCAAATTAAGGAAATTGAAAGAAAAAGAAGATGAAAAAAATTCAGATATTAGATTTGCAGAATAATAAAAATAATTAATAAAAAAATAAGAAGAGCTTTCAAGATAAAATAAAGAAATAAAAGCTAAATAAAAAAAGGAAGAACTTTAATAAGTTAATGCTTATTTAGATAATTTAAAAAAAATGGAAAAAAAAGAAAGAAAAAAAAGAATTGCAGAAGAATAATAAGAAATAGCTTAAGGTATTATTAATAAGTAATTAATTTTTTAGTTTTAAGAAAAATGTAAATAGATGATGAAGAGGATAAAAAAAAGAAATTAGAAAAACAATTAGAAATGTAAAAGGTGTTAAAATAATATGATTAGGATTAAATTTTGTAAAAATAATTAATAGAAAAAGAAAAAGAGGAAGATAGAAAAATTATGAAATAAAATAGTGAAATTATAAAAAAAAGGGATGAATAAAGAGAAAAAGAAAAAAATGATAGATTAAATAAAATTGATGGAATTGCTAATAGATTCTAATAAACAGTTGACAAAGAATTATAAGAGAGAATAAAAGAGGAAGAAAGAAAATGTTAAAAACATATGAAGGATTAAGAAGAAAGATAAAAAAGAGAAGAGGAAAGAAAGAAAAAGTCATAAGAAAGAAGAACTAAAGAAATGACAGATGAATTAAAAAGATAATAATAATAAAGAGAAGAAGCTAAGAAAAAAGAAATTGAAGAAGATAAGTAATTAGCTAAACAAATAAAAGAGAAAATGATTTAAGATGAAAAATTCTCTTTAATAAAAAGAGAAAAATATAATGAAAAAATTTAAGAAACAAATCAGAAGATAAAAGATTAAATGGAAATTGAATAAAATAAGAAAAAGAAAAGAAAAATATGAATCTATAAAATTTAAGTAGACTTTAAATATTAAAAAACATAGTATAAAATTAGTATTGATTCAGTACTTAGCTAATTACTATTTCAGTTTAGGAGCATCGAAATTATAAATTTTAACCTTATTTTCTAAACAAGCATCATCTTCTAATTATGTCATTCCACCTATATCAGTAGGGTTCTCATTTTAATCAAAATGATGTTAAATTTCTTTTACCTTTAAAGGTTTATTGTTCCTATGCTACTAATTACGCTAACTCTTGATTTAACAAATATTTACATAGATTATTTATCTTTTTATAATCTCTCTTCCAATTCTTCCAGATCTTAAAAATCTTCTTAAAATCTTGACATCATTTAACTATTATTATGTTGTGATTATTATTAAGAAATAACCTATTAAATTAATTATTAAGATTGATTCCTTTCTCTAAAAGATTTTGAAGATTATTATTAAATTATAGAACCTCTAGAATCAGAGTTTTTATGGATTATTCCTCTTTCTTATAATCTACTTAATAATTTTGAAGAACCTATTCTTACATTACTTTATGTGAATTAAGAATTTTAATAATTTATTATTACAGATGATTATTAAGAATTTAAACAAGATGAAGAATAGCTATTAACACTATTTCCACTTTTATTTACACATTATTCAGATTAATGTCTACTTCTATTTCTACTCTAAGAAGTACCTTTCTATTATTAATTCAATTCTTTTCTGTTAATATTTATATCAGAATTTTTAGGAGATTTATCTTCTAATTTATTTTTTCGTAAAATTTATTATCTAGTTTCTTATTAAGTTTATTCTGCTGATATTTTAGTAGTTCCTTAACTGAATTCAGTCCAATCAAATCTTTTATCATGTTTGAATCCATTTTAAATTGCTATTTATTCAAATAAAGAATATAAATAACGATAATCAGGAGATGATTTATATTGAAGTTGCTTAACGTATTGAAAATATCTAAAATTATATTATTAATAAATACTGATAGAATTATGGAGGACATTCCTTACATAATTCTTCAATTGATATTTAAGATTTCATTTGGCCAACTATTTTTACCTTTTCTTTCTCATTAACATTATGAAAAGTCTGCCAAGGTAATTTTCCTTTTAACATGTAAATAAACATGTAGCCTATAGATTCTAAATCATCTCTTCTACTTAACTCAAATCCTTTATGAGCATTGATACTAGCATATCTTGTTGTACCTACAAATGGTTTATTCTCTTTGAAAGGTCTAATAAATGTATATTTAAATGAAATACGCATGAGTACCATCTGGTTCTCGATAGAACTTTGCTATACCAAAGTCAGCAAGAAAAATTTAATTTAATTCTTAATCTTTACCAGTCATAATGTTTTCTGGTTTCATGTCTCTATGTATAATTCCTCTATCAATTTATAAATTTTATTAAAGATACCTTCTATGAACTCCTTCAATTATTTAGATTACTTATAAAATAATGTTAACTACACATTTTAAAGAAAATGTTCTTAAATCTTTCATATGATAAGATAGATCTCTTCCTAATAATTGCATGACTAAGCAATTGTGATTATGTTCATTTCCTGCCCAAATGATTTTTGGAATCCCTATTTAAGTAAATTTCAAACCTGGAATCTTCCTCAATTCATCTAACATTTATATTTCCCTGTCTAATCCTATAGCATTCATATCGTCCTTTTCAACTTTCATTGCAACATATTCTTTAGTTTATAAATCTTCACATAGAAACACAACTCCAAACGAACCTTAAGACATAAGTTGATTGTAAAAAAATACCTGCACTGATCTTCTTCTTTATAAAGAATCTATTATTGTATAATTTTTCACTTTCAATTTAATCGAAATTCATTCTTTTTTTAATAAATAAATATTTAGAGAATTCGATAAAAGAAAGTTGATATTATTTATATATTTATTAGATTATTAAATTTTATATACAATGTATTGGTTTCATCTATTTTTATATTTAATTATTTTTTATTGTAAGTAGTGAATTATAGATTCGTATTTATCAGTCAATTCTTAAATCTTTTAAAGATGGAATTGAATTGGTATCATTTCCAAAGTTTGACTTTATGTTGTCATAGAATTAAACTCATTTAACTAAAGTTAAGATTAAGTTTGAAATTATTATTAAACTGAAAATTATGTTTAATGTTTAGATTATTACCTAAGTATTTTGATTTATTGAAATTGTTATCCAAATTAAAGTGTTCCTAAAGCATCATCTATTTTTGTAGGAGCAAGACAAAGTATAATTTTTAATTGTGCTTATCCTAAAAATGAATTTGATAATAAATTAGTTAATTTTGATTCTCTAAATGGTATATATATTCTTTGCATCTAAATTATTTTTTTTTATTTTTATTAATCAATCAAACATTATATACATCTATGTAATGTAAAAATACTCTTATTATGAGTAACCATCTATCCTGAATATCCTTTGCTAATAGATCCAATTTAAATTATTTTAATTTTTGAATTCTGTAAAGTCTTTATTTCAATAACAACATGAATAATAGAATCATTTAGATTTTATATCACTTCACATAATTATTTAGCTAATTCAATCCATTTTGATTATCCATTAGTCATTAAATGATTTATAATCTATTCATTATCAATAATAAATATTTTCAATTCTGATATTTATTTTTATTAGTGCAATTACTATAAATCTAAAAACTAAATATTTACATGAATCATTCTAATAGCAATTCCACTTTCAATACTAATTAATCCTTGTTTAAGTGTAAATAAGGATCCTATAGTACCAAAAAGTGAATATGTTTTGCCGCTTCCTTATGAACCATATATAACCAAGTTTGAACTTATCCCATTTAAAGCATCTTTAACTATAGGATATGCAACACATAGATAAATCTATTCTTAATCACATTGTGAATCAAAAATTTGATTAAATTCATACTATTATTCATACATATTGGATTTCGATATAACTATTTATTTCTATTTAAAATGTATGATAATATAAATACATCAGTAAAGGATGAGATACAACTTTCCTCTTTGTCTTGATTATTTAAATAAGCTTTTATGCGAACTGCAACATATATTTAATTATAATTAATCATAATTTCATTTAGGTTGAATGGAAGCTAATTATTGTTTATAATATTCTATAAGTTCTTGCCATTTAGCTTTATTTTTGTCCAAGTTTTAAAAGAAAGGTTCATAAGCTGGAAGGAATCCTAAGACACATGCAAATGTAGGTTTCACAACATAATCAATAAATCTGAATATATAATTAAAAGTATACCCCACTTATGCTTCAGCCATATTAGTTGTATATCGATTACATAAATATGATATTGGTAAACCAAGGTCTCTCTCTTTATCTCCCTATTACCAAAATTCAGTTAAGACCTTTTCTGTCCATTATTTATAGATTTCATAGCTTTTTGTAGGATTGGATACATCTGATGAATGTACAATTAAGTCCATCAATCTTTGTTTATCTTTGCCATTAGGTTCAAAATCAGCTATTTTTGCATACTTAAATAATGAATACGGGCAGCAATTCTACTATTAGTGACAGCAAGTTCAGAAGCATGATGAGCCATATCTGTGGAAAGTACCATTAAGATAATGGATTCTCTGATTCTTCTATATTTATGAAATTATAGATTTTCAAAAATATTGACTTTTTGATTTCCCCAAGCAATTTTAAAACATTAAGATGGATGAAACATTTCTAATACACTTTAATCATTATATGTTAAAGCTAATTCATTTCTACTATTGATAAGAAATGCATTAGTAAGACCTGGATGTCCATAATCATGAATAGCTCCTGCAATTAATACACATGCAATATCTTATTCATCTAATTAACCTATTTCAATAAATTTGCATTTGCTTAATAAGAAATTACAAGTTTATGCAACATCTTAAGCATGTACTTTATTGTGATATGGATTATCTAGATATCCTTTCATAACTTCTTCAAAATATCCTCTTACTACTTTAGGTTTAATTAAAAACACATCAAAAAGATTATAATTTTCAAAGAAAAATAACATTAAATTTACAAGACCTTCTCCTCCACATAATTTATCACATTCAAAAGGATCAATATATAGATCATCATGTTATTTAAATAATATATCCAGTAACTATTCAATATTATTATAAACTTACTCTTTTTGGTATATTTAGTTTTTAAAAATTAGCAATTACTTTCTTTTATTATTATTATTATTATTATTATTATTCATTAGTTAAAATTCGTTTAACTTCAGTTTTACCTTATTAACTTTGATTTAACCATGCCATAGCCTATTTAATTAATTACATATTAATATTACTTCAGCATTATCTTCATCCAATTTACCCATTTAATATAATTGATTATTTCCTATCTTGTCAATACAATAATCAATATCTAATTTCATATTTTCATCTTCTAACACTTCCTTCAATTCAGCCAAAAATCTCACTATTTTTTCAGCTGGTGTTGATATAGTTGAAATAGTTGCCAATCTTCTAAATGTCTATGCCTTTCTTATTAAAAGAAATATTCTTAAGAATCGAAAAACTGCTTAGATTACTTTGATAACATTTGATGTCTTTTGATCAGCCAATTCAAATATCACAAAAAAGAGTGACAGTAATATAATTAGAGTGTCTAAAATCAACCATTTATCTTTATAATATTTCTACATTATATATTAAAATGTACCTTTATGCCCCATGCATATAATCCAACAAATATTTCTAAGATGAACACTATCAATATTCCAAGTTCTATCCAACTCAAAATTGATGAAACATTATTGAACTCAGTTTCATCAAGCAATTCCTCAAGGGCCACAATTATAAATATTAATATTGCATAAGCTCCCACTAATCCTATTATACTAATAGTAACAATCTTCGAATTAACATAATCTTATATTTTTTGTTCAGATTCTGTATATAATCTAACTGTTCACTGAATTCAATATACCTCATATTCAACTTCTTACGAGGAACCTCAATCAATTTATCAGTTCTTTTTGTGGAATCCACTCTCATTGTCTATTTATCAGGGTTTTCAAGACTTCTCTATTAGGAATCAGATCTTGATGGTAACATTTGTATTAATTCAATTAAAAATAAATTTAGTTATTTACTACACTTTCTTATATCAATAATTGTATAATTGTTTAAGTATATTTCTTAACATAAATTTTGTTCAGATCATATCTCTTTCATCTCTATTATATAAACTTTATTTTCTTTATATTAATAAACCTTATTAGTTTTATCATGTTAAATATCTGTTACATTAAATTATTAAATGAAATTGTCTCCTATATGTTAAACATTAATACACTCCAAATCTAATCCCTTATCTCCAGTCATACAAAACATCAAAAAGCATAGTATTCATACTATTGAAAATGAAAAAAAGGAAACTAAGTATATATTTCATTTTTATTATTTTAGCAATCAGTTAGAATTAAGAATCAATCAATTAGTAGAAGAGAACAAAAAAGTTAATCTCTAATTGAATGATAAAATTAAAGAAAATGAATAATTAAGAGCCTAAATAATGGAATAAGAAATTCAAATCAATAAATTAAAAGGTATTGAACATGAACTCATATTGGTCAAAGAAATATCTGATATAAGATTTCAAGATGTAATGCATTCTCATTAATATTAGTATGAAAAATCAAAATTATAAGCAGAACATTTATATTAAGAATTAACAGACATTCAATTAGTATTTTAAGATTCATCTAATAAACTTATGTAACAATCAGAAGAAATTCAATAATGGAAAATTAGATATGCTGAATTAGATTCAACTAGACTTTAATAATTGTAAGGTAAAATAAATTAATCTATTTCTAGAGTTTAAATAACAAATTTATAAATAATAGGAAGAAGATGAATAAAAGTCATCATTTCTTAAAGCTATTACAGAAATGGAAAAAACTATATAGTCTTTACAAGATTAATTGAAATAGAAGGATGATTCATTAAAATTGGCTAATGAAGATCTTAATTAATGGAAGATTAAATATTCTAAGGTTTAAGTCTAGTAAAAGTAAATTGTCAATGATAAAGAAAAAGATTAGAAAATATAGATGCTAATAGATGAAATTGAACGATTAAATGATCTATTAGGTTAAAGAAATGATGAAATATATACACTCAAAAGATTAGCTGAAAAAACTGCTTAACTTATTTCAATAAGTTAAAGAGCATAGAGATCAGCTAGTGGTCAAAAATATAAATGATATTATAATTTATTCTTGATTGATTACTTATAAATATATATTCAATTAAATTTGATAAGATTATATTTTCAATTTCTTAATTATAAAATCTCTAATAAAAAAATTAATATAAAGATGAACTTACTTAATTGAGGGATAATAAAGCAAAAAGAGTATAAAAGAAAGAATGGAATTAAAATTAATGAATAAACATATGACTGATATTTGGGTATATAACAGGATTAATAATAATTACTATTAATTACATAAATGGCATTCAATAATTTAAATAATATAAAAACGAAAAAAGAATTTTATATAATGAAGATAATTGTTAAGATTTACAAATACTAAAAAATATATTTGATTAATATATCAATTATTTGGCTGTAATTAAATATTAATTTAACTTTATTTTTATGTAAAAACTAAATAGTTTTAATTTTTTTCATTAAAAAGAGGTAAGAGAAAGAACTTTAAAAAATTTATGCTCAAGCTTGCATAAATTTATTTAAAAAAAATATTAATTTATAAATAAAATATTTTTATTTTAAAATGAGTAGGAAATCACACAGAAAGAATCAAATACCTCTTCTTTTATATTCTTTTTATTTCTAGCAATTATTTTGGCTACTCCTAAAATAGTTAATCATATGATATCAACTCTTTATCTTTTGTAAATGATTTAATATCTAAATAATTATTAATCAATTTTTATCTTTAAGCAAATAATAATGTTCTAAACCTTTCGATTAATAATAATTTTATACATAAGTCACGTATGTAATAAAATTTAATAACAATTTAGAAATAAAAAAAAGGGATTATTAAAATATATCCCCAATATTAGTAAAATTATGGATTATATACAATTCTCAAAATATATTGTAAATTGTAAACATATGGATTTAAAACAGCACTAAAAATATTATTTAAAGAATCTCCAAATGAGTTTTCTTGTAATTTTATGAGAAATGAATTAGTTTTATATATTAATACTTTTGGAAATATATTGAGTTCTTTCATGATTTAATGTATGAGAAAAGCGCATAATATCATTTTAATTTAATATTATCAATTGCAATTATTTGAGTAGTCTTAATATTGCTTATGATTATTTTGCACATAATATATAGAGAAATAAATAAGAAAATACAAAAAAATGTTTTTGTAAATGCTCTCAGAAGATAATTGTTCAAATGTTGGTCTTAAGATAAAGCGTGATTGAAATGAACCATTTATATATATTGTACGATTGTATGTATCAATTTCATTGTTATGCTGTTTCTGTTTATTCTTCAGCTCTTCTTGGTCCTCTATTTCCTCCTCTGCCGAATGGTTTGTTACCTCTTGGACCTCTTCTTTCAGGAACATCTTCTTCGAACTTTTTATCAGCCTTCTTGAAAGTAGCTGGAATAACATCTTCGACAATGCCTTATTGTTAGATAATTTCTTCATACCCAACTTATCTCTAACATATTTAACTCCTTCAGCCTTGAGATAATAGTAGTAATATTGCCATGAGAACACTAAATCAACAAGCTTCTTATCTCTCAAACTTCTTAAGAGCATCCAAACTTCTAAGTTTTTTACTCCTGTTTCAGAATGAAGTGGGAGAGCCATATCCTAATGAAATCTAATTAAAAATTACCTTCTTAATGACAATAACACCTTCCATTAATAAATATTCATAGACTTTTCTTCTGTCTTATCTCTTGACTTGAACCATGCAAAATAATGGATTTGATTTATTTTAAATTTTAAAATAAAAATAAACAAATACACTAATAATGCTTTTGAGATATCTTTCTTTGATATTAGTAATATATATTCATGTTAAAGAAACTCTATATTTCTTCATTAATTGAATTATCTCTCAATGTTCTATATTTAAACAACTTATAAAATCACTTAATTGATCAAATTGATATAATAAAATACTATTTAAATCTAAACTCAAATAATTTTAAACAGAATACAAATTAAATCCCCTTGTTAAAATGTATTATATAACTAAAGAGGGAATAGTTGAAAATAAATAAAGATAATGGACTTATTGAAAGATTTTTAAATAAGATTAATACAAAAAATTTAATTTTTTCATCTTTCATTTTCTTGAATCTTAAATTCTGGATGATTTATTCTAGTATCTTAAGATATACTTTTTGGGATAAAATTTTAATGACCACTTAATTATATATAATTATAATAAATAAATTGTATAGAAAATAAATGAGTCTGTCTTTTGGTTTAACTTAAGAATTTTCAATACAAAAATAATATTAAATTAGCTTATTAATTGATAATCTTAAAATTGATCTCCATATGAAGAATCGTTACCTATATTTATTATACTGTTTTCTCAAAGTTACATAAGCAATTAATTTATGAATTGAGAGAACTGTGTAAACTCATTGAAATACAATAATATTACATTATTAAATATGCTAAAAATATGGAGATAGATAGAATAATACAATAGTAATTTAAAAACATTTTGGTAATTTGAAAAGAACCATATTAAAGTGATTGAAATTGTTGAATGATAATAGAAACTATATTAAGTAGAAAGATATGAGTTTTAGGAATTAGAAAAATTCAAAAAGAATAAAGAATTATGATACTGATAATAATTTTTTATGAAAAGACATGAAAATTCAAATTATATATAATAAGGAGAATGAGATTTGAGTTGATATGATAGATTTAAGTTTAGAGAGAGAAAAGTTGAAAGATTAAGAAATGAATGGTCCATAAGAATACATACTTTAAAGAGTGATATAATAATAAATTTAATATATTAAGATATCTAACAACCTTCAATGGATGAAAACAATAATCAAGATGGGTATTATTTTGAGTTAAATTAAGTGAACAAATAGTAATATTTGAGGAGAAGATTACTAAGGTGAATGGAGAGGTGGCAATTAAACGTTATCAAAGAGGCAAGTTTTTAGGAAAGGGAGGATTTGCTAAGTGTTATGAGGCCACAAATTTAGAGAATAAGAAAGTGTTGGCTGCAAAAATCATAGCTAAATCATCTCTTACTAGAAATAGAGCCCGTTAGAAGGTATATATAAAAGTAATTTGTTTAGCTGGTGTCAGAAATCAAAATACACAAAAGTTTATAGAATTCAAATGTTGTCTAATTTGAACATGTCTTTGAAGATCATGAAAATGTGTACATTTTATTGGAACTATGTTGCAATCAAACACTTAATGAATTAATCAAAAGAAGAAAGAGATTGACTGAAATTGAAGTTTAATGTTATGTTGCATAGATGATAAATGCATTAAAATATCTACATAACAATAATGTTATTCATCGAGAGTATTTTTTATAATGAAAAATAGTTTAAAATTAGGTAATTTGTTTCTGAATAAGAACATGGAATTAAAATTGGGGGATTTTGGTTTAGCTACAAAATTGGAATTTGATGGTGAGAAAAAGAGAACTATTTGTGGAACTCCAAATTATATTGCTCCTGAAGTATTGGATGGCAAAGTAGGACATTCATTTGAAGTTGATGTATGGTCACTTGGAGTTATAATTTATGCAATGTTAATTGGTAAACCACCCTTTGAAACTCCTGATGTTAAATCTACCTACAAAAAAATTAAAATGAATCAATATTCCTTCCCAGATCAAGTTCAAATATCAGACAGTGCTAAATAACTTATTTAAAAGATCTTGGTTCTCGAACCTTGTAAAAGACCATCATTAGATGAAATCATGGCACATTCATTCATGAATTCAGGCGGTACCATTCCTAAGTATATTAATCATCTAATATCTCTAGAGTTCTACCTCTATCCACTTTAGCTTGTCCTCCCTCAATTTAATATAATAAATAGTTCCAATAACCAAGTAGAGCCTCAGAAACAGCTTAATCTAATCCAAAGATGGCCACTGTAAGACCTAATATATCATCGGAAAGACGTATTTGACTAATCTAATTTATTAGAAGATCAATTTGGAGCTACTTCTGGATTAAATACTGGATATAATGGAGGATACAATAGTAGTCAAAGACCATCTTCATAAAAACCATAAGATTTTAAATAATCAGTCAGCACTAAATCCCTTAACTAATTTTATACTAGTGGCACTATGTAAAATCAATAGAGTAACAAACAAAAAAATGAAATCTTTGTAAGAAGATGGGTAGATTACAGTAGTAAATATGGTCTTGGCTATCTTCTCAGTAATGGTGCTACTGGAGTCTTTTTTAATGATTCTACCAAAGTCATCTTAGATCCAAAAACTCAAGAATTTGAATATTTAGAAAGAAAAGGCACTGATAAATAGGATGCCATTGAAAAACATTCTATTAATAGTTATCCAAAGGAATTATAGAAGAAAGTAACACTCCTTTAACATTTTAAATCATATTTGGATGCTGATTCTAAATCAATTACATAAGCTGAAACTAATGAATATGATCCATTCCAATCTGTTTATGTGAAGAAATGGATGAAAACAAGACATGCTATCATGTTTAGACTTTCAAATAAGATAGTTTAAGTATTTTAATCTTCTCTCTCTTTTAGGTAAATTTCACTGATAAAACTGAAATCATTTTGTCTTCAGAAAACAAATTAGTCACCTATGTTAATAAATTAGGAGAAAGGAGTCATTATCCCTTAGCAACTGCACTTGATAGTTAAAATCACGAGATGGCAAAGAGATTAAAATATACAAAAGAGATCCTAACACATATGCTTAATGGAAATACAAATGTTGACTTAAAGAATCCAGAATGATCACTATATATTTGAATGTGAGATGATATAAATCATATAATATTTAAATTAATATAATTCAGATATGGAAAGTAGAAGTAGTAGTGAAGACAAGAAGGAGAAAAAGAGAAAGCGAAGTAGATCATAAAAGAAGGACAAAAAAAAATAAAAAAGTAAAAAATCTAAGGAAAGAAAGTCTAAGGAGAGAAAAAGGTCAGAGAAAAAGAAATCAAATAAGAAATCAGAGAAGAAGAAAAAAAAAGAGAAAGAGAGAGAAAAGGAGAAAGAAAAGGATAAAGAGAAAGAGAAAGATAAAGAGAAGGATAAAGAGAAAGATAAAGAGAAGGATAAAGAAAAAGAGAAAGAGAAAGATAATAATAAGATTGAAACATAAAAATAAGGTGAGGAAGTAGAAACTAAAGAAGTAATCAAAATTTATATTTCACTTTAGCAAAGAATTGCGAGATTAAAATAAGAAAGAAGAAAAAGATCAAGATCTAATTCTGCCGTCAAACATTATTAAAAATAAATACTTGCCAACAATCCTGTAGCTAAATCAAGTAATCAAAGTTTCTCTTATCCCATTTAGATGCCCTAGGTTATGATAAATAGGATTGCTTTTGGGATGGATTTACTTGGGTACCTAAAACTAATTTGCATGATAAAGTGAGAGAAGATAAAGAAAAAGTAATGTCATTGACTAGTAGAATGAGAAGAATTTAAATATGCAATATACCGACAGGTTTAACTAATCGAGATCTTTATGCTGAATTGAGTAGATTTATGAATAGAAATTACTTAAATGATGTTGGTAATGCTAAGCCTATTTTGTATTGTCACCTAAATGAAAAAGATCGAACATGCACTCTAGAATTATCATCTGTTGAAGAATCAAATCGAATGCTTAAATTAGAGGATATCAAGTTACTGGATGAATCATGTAAAATTTTAAGATTAGGTGACAGTTTATATGGTATATTATAAATAAATATTTTATGCAGGTTAATCAGTAAATCAATCATAATTAGTTTAATAAGCTCATAATATGGCCTAAGCATAAGCAGCCGCATATCTTGCTTTAAAATCCCTAGGCTATGCCAGAGGATAGAGAGAAGAAGATGAAATTCTGGCTTAGGCAGGTATCCCATCCAGGATTATAAAGGTTGGAAATTTCTTAAATGTTGCTATGGCAATAAATCTAAATAAAAATGAATGGAATGAAATGCGAGAAGATTTAATTGAAGGTTTTTCATAATGTGGTCATATAGAAGATGATTTCTTTGTTAAACCTTATTAAGCAGGTCTTGGAGGTAATTGTGTAAATTAACCTCTTTAGCCGAAGCAGGTTCTCTTTTTCTAGTTTATACAACGATTGAAGATGCTTAACGCACTGTTATTTCGATGTATGGTAGAACATATAATTAGAGAGGACTTAAAATTATATTTATAAATGAATAAACTTATATTAGAAGTTATATACCATTAAAATTAAAATAACAACCTGAGACTGAAGAAGCACAAATAAATTAAGAAAATGACAATTATGATAATGAACATTTTGAAGATTAGGAAGACTATTTAGACTAAATGGATAATGGACTTTTAGAGAATAATAATAATAAAGATAATTGATAATTTATATATTTAATATTTTGTGTTGGAACAAACGAATAAATTATATTGTCAATTAAGTTTTCGTTTACTTATTATTTTAGGTTCTAATTCATCCTCAATTTCTTAATTTTCATGATTTTAATCACTATCAATAAATCTAAGTTTTTTATTTTTTTTTTCTTCTAATGGTACATCTTCATCTTCTTAAAATACATCATTTTAATGTTATTCTATATCTATTTGATCATCAATTTTTAAATCCAATATATTTACATCTTTATCTTTACCATCTTAAAACAAATCAGATTCTGAATCAAAATAAATAACATTTTTTTTTCTCTCTCTTTAACCACGTCCATATTCTTTGATTTCTTTCACTTCATTTTATTTCTAAGTAATCCATTCTGGAACTTCATCATCTTAAATTAATCTATAATTAAATTATTAATCATCTCTATTTTGATTGAAATTCTTATATATTAATTTCTCTTCTTCATATCTTTATCTATCTAATTCATTAAACATTTCAAATTCTTCTTCACTTCTAGCTATCCATTCATTAATTTAAGTATCATCTGGTATATCTTCAGCCTCAAATAGATCAACTTTATTTTTCTATCTAAAAAAATCTTACAATCTTTCTCTTCTTTCTTAATCTGTAGATCTTTAATTATATAAACCAGCTTATATAATAATTGCATCCAAACCCATCTTATGTTCTGCCTTACTTAAGATATTTCCCTCTATTTATGTTGCAGTTATTAATCTTAAAACTCTTACTTCATTTTTTTATCCAATTCTATAGGCTCTATCTTAAGCTTATAGATCCATCATAGGATTCCAATCACTATCAAATAATACTACAGTATCAGCAGATTATAAATTTAATCCTAAACCACCAGCCCTTGTACTTAATAGAAAGATATTATAAAATGAATTTTCTTAATTAAATAACTTAATTCTAGCCTCTCTATCTTCTGATTTTGTAGATCCATCTAAACGTAAATATCTCCAACCTCTATATTCAAAGAATGCTTCCATAATATCCATTAATTAAGTCATTTAACTGAATATCAATAATCTATGTTTAAAGTAAAGTAATTTAGGAATTATTCTATCTAATAATTCAAACTTTCCACTTGATCTCCATATTTCATCTGTAATCCTATTCATATCTAAATTCAACATAAATAAATATGGATGATTGCATATTTTTCTTAATTACATCATTAAATTTTATAATGCTTATGATCCACTTTTTCCAGATTATTAATCAAAAGTCATTACACCTCTTTAATTAATTTAGTCATAAATCTTTTTTTACCAAGCTGATAATTTTATCTTTATAACATATTCTGTTTTTCTTGGTAATTCTTTCTCTACATCCCTTTTTACCCTTCTTAAAAGAAAAGGTCTAAGAACTTAATGTAATCTATTAATAATTAACAATTATTCTTCCTCATCTAATTAACAATCTTTCTCATTAGCTCCCATTTTGCTTAATGGCATCTAAAACCACTTCTCAAAATCTTCACAAGATGAAAATACTTTTGGTAATAAGAAATTCAATAATGCCCATAATTCTGCTATATTATTTTACAAAGGAGTTCCTGTTAATAGTAATCTCCTATCACTTTAGTACTATTAACCTAAAATCATAGCAAATTTGCTTCTAGAATTTTTCATTCTATGTCCTTCATCAACTATTATGTACTTCCATTCATATTTTGATAATGCTAATCTATCTTTTAATACATATTCATATGTAGTAAGACAAATATTCCATATTGTAGTCCTCATTTATTTAGAAATCTCCTTTCTAACTTAAGGTGAACCTTTATATATTACTTTTTTAATAGTTGGAGCCCATTTTTCGAATTCATTTGCCCAATTACTTAGAGTAGATAATGGGACTATAATAAAAAATGGTCCAAAATTTTTTTTGGTCTCTATCAAATAACATAATAAAGAGATTGTTTAAATAGTCTTACCCAAACCCATTTCATCTGCCAATATACCATTTAAACTATTATTATATAAACTAACTAACCAATCCAATCCCTAAACTTAATATTATTTCAACTATCCTCCTTCCAATAAGACAGGCTATTTAGTCACAGTTTCTTTAATTCGATGAGTTATGTTATAATATACTTTATTTGCTTGATTAAGTTCATAACCTAAATTATTCTTTGAATTATTATTATCTACAACTTCATCTTCTTCAGTTATCTCTTCACCTTTCTATATCTTTACTTTAGCTCCTATATCTTTTAAAAATTGATCTGTTTATCTTAAAATAGATACAACTCTTTCCTTTTTAGCTTCATCTAGTTTTTCTAACTTTTAGATATAAGTGACCATATCACCTTATTTAATATCTTTCAATCTCATTTACTTATCAATATGCTATTATTTTTGATCCTTTTATTCTAAAACAACCTTAAATTAAACACTACGTTTTCTTGCATGTTTATATTTTTTTCTATGAAACTCCATAAATTCAATTTAATGAGCAAAAATTGCTTACATAAATTCCTTTTATTTTATTCTTTTCCTTCTTGCTTATTCATGTTTTACCATACTTAATTCAAACTTATCTGATAGTTTATTTTCTGGTCTCCTTTATGGTTTATCTCTTTTAAAATAATTCCTATCAAGTAATAACCTCTCTAACATTCTAGATTGCATTACAGCTTAGTTTTCTTCTTGTAATAGTGGATTAATGATAGCCTCTTTCATTTTAAGATAAAAATCTTTAGAATTGATGAATAGCAACTCTATTTTTAAAGTCAAATATTTAGGATCATTTTAGTGAGTTTTTTTTAGCTCTTATTCTATAGTTTACCTTCTCTTTTCTACATATCCTTACATTTTTTCACTAAATAAAGTTGTATCCTTATATAATATTGATATATATGCTTACATCCTAATTAAGATCCAATTTGAGTTTAGGATAGCGGTCTCGAAAAATGGATTTTAGTTCTTCATTTTTGTCAATTTTGTCTTGAAAATATCGAATGGAATTTTAGAATATCTTTTCCTTTTCTACTTCCCACTAGTCTTTACTATAAGGGAACTTTGATTTATCATTTTCAATATGGTGATTTCTAAAGTGTCACTATCAAATTTACCTTTAAACTTGTTTGTAGCAAATGATTTGCTACCTCAATAGGTATACTTATTTTTCATCTTAATTCTAAATAAATATAAATGAATATTTACATAATCTGCTTCTTATTACATTTTAAATGATTTCTTAAATCTAATGCAAATATTTATATATTTTATGTATAAATGATCATCATTAAATACTTACAAATTTAAATCTCAAGTCTAAAAAATGTACTTCAAAACTTTTCCTCATTATGTTTATATTAAGAAATGTTAGTATAGGCGGTATTTTTATCTTAAAATAGTGAAAATTATCAAACCACTTCATAATAATTGTCAATTCGTATTAATAATTAAGTATGTTAAATTATTGCAACTCTTAGATGTATATTTGATATTCATAAATTATTAACTCAAACTATTATAGATATCAATATCAAATGACATTTTATGTAGATTAAAATTTAGTATGAAATTTTATTCATTTAACTTAAAAAGCATAAAAATTAAATTCAGGCTTAATGATATTCAATTCTCAAACATCTCTTATCTCAATCAAAAATCAGTTAATCAAAATATAAAAATTTACAAATTATAAATAAAATTTCTATAATTAAATACAAATATTATATAATGAATTATTTTAACATAACTAAATTATATTATAAATATATATATATATTTATTTTTGATTAATCAAATCTCAATTTTCTTAACTTTCTCTCCAAGTTCTGGAACTTCTTAAGCAATAACTTTAAGTTTGTCTTTATTTTAAAGCAATTCTGCTGTATTCATTTTATTTGTTTTCTTTTTAATTTTACTTTATTTCTCTTCAATCTAACTTTTTAATATATCTGCATGTCTTAAATTTACTTCTTTTATATACTAATTATTATTCTAAAAATTTATACATCAAATTTCTTTTTCTCATGATCATTATAATTATTCAAATCTTATTTCCAAATTTCAGCCTATCTCTTATTTAATTCCTCCTCTTCTTCTTATCTTCTCTTTTTTTCCTCTATTTAAGAATTTAAGAATGATCTTAATTATTATCTTTAATCTAGTTATTTCATTTTTTTCTTTTCCTCCTCTATTTTCTCTCTTTCATTTTATGTTATAATATTCCTTAACATTTTTTCATCTTCTTATTTTATTAATTCTTTTTAATCTCTCACAACACCTTCAGCAAACATTCCCATTACTTTCTTCATCTTTTCTTCTCTTTATTTCCTTTCCAAATCTCTTTATTCTTCTAATTGATTTTACAAATTAATGTATTGCTATTACATTTAAGTTTCAGCTTCTTTTTCTAATTTAGCATCTTCTAATGCCTTTTTTCTATATTCCTCATTTTCTTTCATCATTCTTAAAAACCTTTCTCTCTCTTTATTTCTTCTATTAAGTTATTCTTTTTATTCCAATTCCAATTCCTCTCTAATCTTTTTTACAAGTAAACTATCTAACTCTTTCTCCTTTTTTTATTCTAATTTTCTAAATAATATCATTTTCATTTTTATACTTTCTTTATTATTCATCTCTAACTTATTTATCTCTCTATAATTTTTCATTATATATTTTGCTTTAAAGATTATCATGTTTCTCTTTCTCTCTTTAATCATAAACATTTAATTAATAATGATGTAATTTAACATAAGCATCTTCATCTTAAACATCTTCTTATTTTTTATTTTATTTTTCATTTATTTACCTATCTAATTCAGATTTTATCTTCTTTTTGAATTCCTATTTTCTAACATTTTCTAGTTCCTTCTCTTTCTTATATAATTCAGTATCAAACTTAACTAACGTAGCCCATTCATCATCTTCATCACCTTCCATCATATAAACAGATTTTGGAGCCTAATTACATCATACATATAAATGAATACTTTTGATGATATTTCTGAATACACATCTTAGTTATATTATTATTGTTATTATTGTTATTAATTTGATTTTCTAGATTGACTGCTTGGAGGCTTTTATTATGGAACATGCTGTGCTTATTATTATTGAGTGACTTAAATTATTCATATCAATGCAATACTTTAGGATTCCTATATTGATTTTTCAACTTAAGATTATGTTGTTGATCCTGCATTTTGTATTGCTTATTAAACTTATTATTTTAGAGTCTTCAAAGTTACATCAGTGACTCTAGTTTTTGTAAAATAATCATTCACTATTTAAGTGATTATCTATTCTCTATAATGTAAGTTACTTATATTTTGTTTTTGTTATTCTTACCGAAATCTTTTATAAATCTTTCCAAAACTGTCTACTTTAATTGTTCCCTTTACTACTATATTAGTGCCTTATCAATAGCTTCCTTCTTCTTTGATTCATTAGTCACTGTGCTCATAATAATATTTAATAAAATTAATTAATAACTCATCTATTTACATATATGTTTATCAATTTTCTCAAATCCTTTTTTATTTGCCCAATATATTGATAGACATCTAAACCTGATTAGAAATCCACTTTTATAGAATCCCTTATTTGTTTAACAGATTTATACTGTTCTCAGAATTAAAAATGGTATAAATATTTGTATAATGAATTAACATTTATATCATTAATGAAACTTGTAGAAATTATGACTTTATTTTAACAATTAAATAATTAATCTCTCAAATTATAATTAATGTTTTTTTATAATTTGTTTACTAATTGGAATATTTTGACTTCATTAAATCCATAATAACTAATAACTTAAGTTTAATAAGGTTAGATAGGTTTATACAATTTTCTCATAATGGAAATTTTAATATATATATATAGATATATTATTTTTAGTTTAATAATTATAAAAAAAGAAGTATTTTTATAAGTGCTTATTAATAATCCATATAAAATCTAATTTTTCTGTTATATTTTATCATATTAATTTAATTATATCACTATTATCCTCAAACTTAAATGATAATAATATTTTATTATCGAATTTAACATACCAAATGAAATTTTTAATAAAATATTTCATCATCTTTTGTTTTAATTAGATAAGTTTGGTATTTTATTTGTATTTATTAAAAGACTTATTTTCTACTGTATCTAAAACTATATTTTGCGTGTATTTAGAATTAGAAAGTTAAAATTTAATAAATTTATTAAATGAATTTATGAATTTCAATTTTTTATAAACCTAAAATTTCAACTTTTTCTATCAAATGTTTAGTTAATGTTAACAATTTTTATCTTTAGATTTTTAATTACATAATAAAATTATATATTCATTTTGATAAATTTGAGATTCTAAAATTATTTTAATTTGTTGATTTGTTTTACTCTTTGTCTTGTTATTATTACTTAAGTCCTTTTGAGATTATTTCTTATTTCATATAATTTTATGTCATTTTTGATTACTAATTAGGTATATTAAAGTATAAACATAAATTAGTCATTTTCATATATTAATTTTTGGTTTATGAAATCTTAGAATTAGAATTAATCTATAAAATATATATATTTATTAAATTACCCTATGTTTAATAACTTTGTTGCAAGTATTGAATAAATTATAATGTAATGGATTGGATAATATATTGGATAACTTCAATTAATAAAGCAATTAAATAAAATTAAAAATTAAAAATTTATTTATTATAATAACAATTTATATATATTCTTTATTAATATTGACATTTAATTTAATTAATGAGGAATAAAATGACTATAACTCAAGATAATAATTTTAGAGAATATCCAAGTTTACTTGTTACTGACATTTCAGAGAAGTATATGGTTAAGTTCAAGAAAATTGAAATTTATGATGAATTTTAAAAATAAATTGAGACTAGTTTTGTTTTAAAGAGTTTACATAAGATAAATCATGAGACACATAGTTTTAGATTAATCAAATTATAGGATACTCTATTTAGATAAAGAAGAAAAAGTGAATGTGATGGAGTAATTTCTTAAAAAATTGTATTTATCTAAGTTATGATAAGCAAAACATAGATATGAAATACCCAAAAACAACAATAGAATAACACCAATTTTTAGATAGAGTTAAAGCTATGCGTAGAAAAGCAATAAAGGGAAGAATGAAGACTAAATTTTAGAAATCTTTCAAGAAAATAGATACAACAAAACCTAGCTAATTTAATCCTTAAAATCACCATACAATTTAAACTCGTGATTCCATATATGGAAGTTTATAAGAAATAAAAGTATTCAGAACTTTTGCCAAAGATCGTGCTTACTATAAACGATCATTGGAGAAAAAAGGTTCTGATTCAATTTGTGATTCTCCATGTACACCTAGTTTTCATATTCGCAGAAATACATAGAAAATAGGAGTAACACAAAAATAAAAATAATTTGTTTTACTCTAATTGAATAAGTTCAGCCCCAAAACTTTTGAATTATTAAAGAAAGATTCCACACTAAAGATATTATCAGAAACCAAAGAAAGTTAATCTTAAACTCATGGTATTACTTAAACTGCCTCAATAATCTTACATAAATTTTAACCTTACTTTTGCAATTAAAAGGTTATGAATCTAAAAAAATCTTGGATCACCTCTTCTTCTAGAGTTAAGACTGTGTTCTGATTAATCTTTATTGATCATAAATATAAATATATAATTAAGTATCAATTAATATGGCTTCTACTAGTCTTGGTGTCAAAAATATTTTTTTTACGCTTTTTTATGTTACCAAACCCAATTGTACTTATATTACTAATAATTATAATACTTAATATTATCGATTGAATGTCTATTTGAATTGATAGAATATCGATCACAAACACTTATAACTTTATCAAATTTATCTATATAACTCTACTTTAAACTGCTACTTGTAATCTTATCCAGGTTACGCAAACTAGTTTTTGGCAGTTAAGTTACATTATATTTCTTAGGTTCTCTATAGAAATTAAATATTTCATCTTATGTACATTGACTTACATTCAATTCATTCATTGTAGGAGCAAAATCATCTTCAGAAATTGATGGTTATTTTTTGAAAATTTCCTAATATTTAATACTTAATTTATTTGATATATTAATACTTGCGTGCTTCTTCCAACTATTCTTTTGCTTACATTTCAAATTTAACTAAATATTCTTGAATATTAGTTTTGATTATTTATCTATACTTATTTAAATTTTTCTCAATATGTGAATCACGTAAAGCTGTTGTTTAATATTTATCAGACCAAAACTCAGTACAATGTATTCTGCCACTATTAATTAATGGTATATTATGTTTTTAAGGTATAAGAGGTTCGAACTTTCGCTTTCTAAATATTGCAATAGTATCTTTTCTATCTTCCAATGCCTTGTCCTTTAATAAAAACTAAAAATTAAGATTTAATAATTAACCGGTAATGAAAGCATCATATTAAAATTAACCTTTCTTTTATTTGCTAATTGTTGTAATGTAAATTATTCAATTGGAGGTAACATACTTAATTAAGATTTCATTATTTCAGGATTATATGTTAATTCTTCTTACATTTTTAATATTTAATAAATTTCTATAGAAATATTATAATTTTTTTGTAATATAATTAAGATTCAATTATCAAAGAGTTAATACAATTGAGATCGTTTAATTGGTTAAAGAGGTACACTTCTTGGGGAATCATTAAATATCAATTCAGATTGTTATTTCTATTTCAAAGGTTTAACTTTGACTTTTCTACCTCTTTAAGTTGCATGAATTCTACTTGAATCCACATCTTTAAGAATATCATTTTTTGTTGATTCTGATTATCTTGCAGTACAAATGGATGCCAATTTCTATGGACTCTTTTTTAGATTAGATTTATGTGTATAATCAATTCCAGCAATTCCTTTGAGATTAAGTGTATAAATAGCATTATGTTAATCAATTAAAGCTTTAATTCTTTCACATTCTATTTTAGTATGTTTTGATTGTCTTTTAATATAATTGTTAAATCATATACTTTAAATAATCATCATATTTTTCTTCAACAATAAATTTCTTTCTAATTTTGGGATCTAGTAATTTTATATAGTTTGCTATTTTTGAAGATGCTCCAATAAAATTTTTATATCTACCCAAACTTGAAGGATCAAATAGTAATTCATTAAAGTTAGGTCTATTTTATAAAGATGATGTATATACAATTTCCCTTCATATTGTGTTAATTGACAATACAAACGTATTTTTGTATTATTCATCTTTGACATCTAATCAACATGTATCATTGAATCAAATAGCATATTCAATTCAGTATTGGTTTCTGCATTACTAAATGAAGAGGATTTATTGCTAAAATACATTATTAACTATAATATTAATCATTCTTTTTTAAATTTAGTTGGGAATGTCTTATTTTATTTATTATTCTATCTCTAATTAATTTTTCTGATCCTATCTTCCTTCATTATTTTTACTATATATAATCCAGTTTCTACTATCAAAGCCCCAATCAAAAAGAATGCTGCTAATGCTAATGATTAATCATATGTAAGTTGGAAAAAGTAAATTCCAAGATAATAACCTAATAATCCACTTGCAAAGATGCTAAAAATGAATGACAATCCAAAATTAACACTTTTTTCATATTCTTTAATGGACTCTTATTTTTTTTCTTGGAATACACCTTTAGTTAATTAGGATGATTTTTATATAAATGCTCTGTCTTTACATCTCATTTCTCTTGCTCTAATTTCATCTAAGATTTCTTTAGGTCTATGATCTGCTTCCCAGGCAATTTATAATGCTTATAAATCACTTTACATTATGAATTTAGTTCCAATGATTTCTTGAATTTTTAACTAATCTATATGATCATCATTATATTGATCTATATAGAGTTTAATTTCACTAAACTTAGCATAATTTTATGGATTAAGTGGATCTTATGTGTATTTAAAATGCTTTTTAATTTCTTATGGAAGCTAATCAATATAAACATATACCATATTTATAAAATATTAATTGAAATAAAAAATGGATTTTGGTATTTAAAATTAAACAGATGAATAATAATAAGCTAATAAAGAACCATCAAATTAAAATGGTAATGAAGGAAATAAAAAATAAACAGGTTGTTGTGCATTTTTGACAGTAGAGTAAATTATATATTAAAATTCTAGATTTTATACTCCTTATTTCAATGTGACTGAAACAGATGTATTATAAAGAATCTAAGGAACATTCTTACCACTTAGACCAGATTTTTTAAATTTAATTAGAGGAAATCCAGATTTGTATATTATTTATTTATTTATTTAAATCTAAGATGGGGACCAATTTGGATAAATGCCACATTAATTTTTATGATAACAGCCATAGCCAATTTAAGATAGATAGATGAAGAAAAAGAAAATCAATCTTTTGTTATTAGTTATGTTCCATAAGCAACTGCTTTACTATATATAATAGCATTTGGAACTCCTATAGTCTTAGCTGCTGTTATGAAGTTTTTAGGTGTTGATTTAAGTTTCTTTTAAACCATTTGTCTATATGGATATTCAATGTCTACATTATTACCAATTACTATATTGTGTTATTTCTAAAATGAATTATTCTTATGGTTGATAATTGCTTATGGATTTGCTAATTCATCATTATTTTTAATAATAAACCTAAAAGAGTATTAAATTTTATATAAAAATTAGAGAATTGGATAAGTTGTAGATCTAAAAGAAATATATCATAATTGGAATAGTGGTGACAATGCAACTATCACTCTATTTGTTTTACAAATTAGTTTTCTTCTCTTATGTAAAAGAGTGAAATATATTAAATATTTACATATTATTGTTGATAATAATTCATTCTCTTATTTTATAAAGATTATCAATTTTCTGCATTCTTAAGTGCTTCATCTAGTTTCTTCTCTTATTAAGCAAAGGCATAACCAGTATATTTCCTAGTCTTAACTGGTTTTACTGGTAGAAGAACTGATGTATCATCATAGATATCCTCTTCTTCTTAGAATAAATTCTCAAATTTATCAGGAGGCATTAATGATGAAGGAGGAGTACTTCCAAATCTTGACTTTTCAGATGAAGCAGGCTCTTATGCATCTCTGATTTTACGTATTTCAAATAATTATTATTCTGAGAATATTTACCATCTTGATAATGCTAAATCAAATAGAATTGTTAAAACTAATATTCCACTCAAAATAAAATAAAATTAAACATTTGAAAATAAATGAATGAATGTATGTGAAATATCCAATTTATTTGTAAATTATGATAGTACCATATAAGTTAACAAATAAAGAAATATAGACCCAAATATAAATAGCACAGATCCTATAGAATTCATATAAGAAAATACAAAGACTTTCAGATTTACTATAATGATGGCATAACAAAATACAGCCATACCTACTGATGAAAGAAAGAGGATTCTTCCTTCTTTATCAATACTTGTTTATTCCATAGATGGAAATACTGCATAAATAACTATGGCTGATTATATACCACCTGAACAAAACCAGAAAAAGAAGGTAAGCAATGTTACTTTATTATTAGTTTAATATAATTATGGATCTATGAATAATATATAAATAGAATACTTTATAATAGAAATTTAGATGAATATTATTAATCTAGAATTGCATAAACCATAATAGGTACACTTGTATAAAACATATTATAAAATTAATAAAGCCAAGGATCATATAAATTAAGAGGTGAAAATCCATTGTAAAATGAAAACCAAAAGTGTGGTAATACAATAAGTAGATTTTTATAAAAGTTATATCCTACTAATACTTGATTTCTTCTATAACATTCTCTTCCATGATAGAGTAACAATTATTGTAATATTTTAAATTCACCAATTGAATAATCTGCTGCTCTTGCTGCTTAATTACCTTCTACACCTTTGATACCTATTCCAATATTAGCTGCTGTTATCATATTTACATCATTGGCTCCATCACCTACAGCCATAGTCACAATATTATATATATTATCCTTAACCAATTACACTAATTCTTATTTTTATTTAGGTGATACTCTACAAGCAATAACAGTATGACATTATTTAGCCAAATCAATAAGTTTAATTTAATATTTTTCATCTAAATGTATTAATGAATCACCTGAAATAATTAAAGCAGTTGTATGATTTTAAAATTAAGATTTTAATAACTCTAAACCTGAATTAATTTTAAACTATGCTTCAAATTAATCATCTGCTGAAATTACAATTTTTTATTATGAATCATTTAATAAATTACAAGCATAACTAATATTTATAGCAGTTTCTAATTTATCTCCAGTTAATACCCAAATTTTAATACCTGCATTCAATATCTTTTACATTGTACTACCAACATCATCTTATAATTTATCTTCAATTCCAGTTCCTCCAATTAAAACTAAGTTGTTTTCTATTTGATCTTGTAAATTTAATAACTATTCATCTCTATTAATAGTCTACAAACCTGCTTACAAATAATTACTAATCCATTCATCATATTATTATTTGGTCAATTATTTTTAAGCTAACAATAAAGTTCTTAATCCTTTCTCAGCATATTATTCTAAATGTTACTCTGTGATAGATAATAACTCTTAATTTTATTTATTCTATTTATCAAGTAAATTTATTATCATTGAATCTGCTCCTTTACATAATAACATAATTTAATCATTTTAATCTTAAACAATAACAGACATTCTCTTTCTTGCTGAACTAAACTCCAAAACTTATAATAACTTATATTTTATCAACTAATCTTTATACTTGACAATCATCATTCCATCATCTAATCCAATATATTCAAATCCACAAAACTTTGCTCCCATAAGTAATGCTAATTCATCTGGTGAAGATGCATTATACTTAATTTTGCCTTACTCATATTCCACCAATATTGTATGACATAAAGTAAGATGCATAAAGTATTCTATTATTCTTCTAGAATGCTCATCATCCTCATTTAAATCTTTGAAGAGTTGTTTATCTTTAAAATCCACATTTGTTACTTAAGGCATATTTAGAAGATCTTCATTATTTAATATTTAACTTCTATTATTTACATTCCCATATGATTTACCATAAATTGATATTGTTTTAAATTCCATTAAATTCTTTGTAATAGTTCCAGTTTTATCAGTGAACATATATTTTACATTACCTAATTCTTCATTAAGATTTGAAGTTTATACTTCAGTTCTATGATTTTATGACTTACACTATTTATCATTTTCTATCATCATACCTTGTAAATATTTAACCTACACTAGATACCAAATTATTTTCATACCATTTCTAGAGTCACTAATAAAGATATTGGAACAAAATTTGTATAAATCAGTAACCAAGTTCCCCATCTTTCCATTGTTCTAAATACTATATTTGTTTAAAGATCATTCTCATCTAATTCCAAATAGGGAATATCCATAAAATTATCTAATTACCAAAACACTGAATATTATGCTGAGAATAAACAAATTACTAATTATCTATTTTAATCTGATGTTATTTTACATAAAAAATACTAGAATAATAAAGAAATTCATCTATGATTCTAAGGTGCTTGATTTAGGTCTTGCTTTTGTTGAATTTAACATAATCTTAGTGTCAAATCCTGTATAAACAACTAATCCATAAATCCAATGAGTATTTCTCAATGAACATCCTCTAAGAATAAAATTGACTTCATCCAATTAATAAATTTTTCTATGTTATGCATCAAAATTAATAATAGAATCTCTTGACTAATCCCCATCACTATTATGATCAGGAGGCATTGTGATTGTACCATTGAATTTATATAAATATGGATTTGGTTTATCATAATGGACTAAAATGTGCTCTTTTTATAAAAGATGATCATTTAATTTTCTTGTAAATTAAAGTCCTTTATGTTATTTCTTGATTTTAAGGTTAGTTTCTCCATCTAGATTTTTAGTTTCAATAAAACAAGTTCCTTTTTCACTTGTTTTGATAACTATCACATCTGCAGGAAAATATTCTCCTTATTCAATTCTAATAATGTCTCCTACCAATATTTACTACCATTTCTTTTCAACCAATCCATAAGGTGTCAATACTAGTGCTATTCTATAATTTAATAATAATCATAAATACCTATTATTCTCATCTTAATCAGAAAGCTATCTCTTATGATCTTCTAAAAAATCTTTGAATGCTGAAATTGCAATGACCACAAATAATGGAAACCAAATAACAGGTTATCCATCGGTAATAGAAACTAAATCTATTGTTTCCAAATATCCTACTATCAAAAAATAGATATTTGCCATTTTTGAAAATTATTCCATTAAGTTCAAAGGTAGAAATGTCCATAGAGTATATTTGCATGTTCTGATAGTGTTATCTGGTAATTCATGGTCTTAAATATTTGTAATAATAGTTCTATCTTGTTGTTAATGTTTTAATACCTTTCATGTCTCTCCAATGAGGTCTAGTTTTGAAGCAACATCCTTAGAGTTCGTATTTGTTGTCATATGGCAAATACAATGACCATGGATCATGTTGCCCCAATTCACTTTATGAATTTTACATGAATTTTTTAATAATAATATAAAAACGACATAATATGAATAATGATGCAATATGCATATATAAATGCTGGGTTCTTGATTAATATTGGATACACATTTTAACTAAATTTATATATGAGAGTTGGTATTAATTTGCATTAGAAAACTTTGCAACATACTAAATGTCCATTCTTAAAGACATTCAATATAAATATGACATCAGAACAGGCCATAACCAAATACACTAAATTTTGCCCATATCTCCATTACAAGGAAATGAAGTAGAAAATAATAAGATTTCTAGATCTGAGACAAAGAAGTGTCCAATCGACCATAGCTAGTTTTATAGTAACCAATTTAAGGGAGTGATTCAGTAAATTAAAGATGAAGGGCGATATAGAGAATTCAAGAGTTTGTTACGAACAAATGGTGAATTTCCTAGAGCCATCAATAAGACTCCTTCTGGTGACCAAGCAATAACATTATGGTGCAGCAATGATTACTTAGGTAATAGTAATGAGTTAACAGTAGGAATGTCTTAAAATCCGATGGTAACATAAGCCACAAAAAATGCAATTGATCTCACAGGAATAGGAGCAGGTGGAACACGTAACATAGGAGGCACAAGTATCTACCATGTTGAGTTGGAAAGAGAACTAGCTGACTTACACAGAAAAGATAGTGCTTTAGTTATGAACAGTGGGTATGTTGCTAATATGGCCACATTGGATACACTCGGTAAAGTTTTAAAGGATGTGACATTTTTGAGTGATGCCAAGAATCATGCATCTCTAATTGAAGGAATGAGAGCTACTAAACGAGATAGAGTCATTTTTAAACATAATGATTATAAAGATTTGGAAGAGAAATTAAAATAATTAGGTATTTTTATATTGTACAAAATTAGATATTTAATAAAACAAAGTCATAGTATTTGAATCTGTTTATTCTATGAATGGTACTGTTGCACCAATCTAAGAATTTATAAATTTAGCAAAGAAATACAATGCACTTACTCTCATTGATGAAGTTCATGCTGTAGGTATGTATGGTGATAGAGGAGCAGGTGTAACAGAAAAACTTGGATTATAGAAAGAGATTGATATAGTCACAGGAACATTAGGCAAAGCTTTTGGATGCTCTGGAGGTTATGTATCAGCCAGCTCAGAAATTGTAGATGCTGTCAGAAGTACTGCCAGTAATTTCATTTTCTCAACATCTATGTCTCCAATAATAGCAGCTGCTTGTTTGGAGTCTGTCAAATATCTCAAGACACATCCTGAAATTAGAGAAAGACATCAATATGTGGCTTCTCTAATTAAAGCTAAATTAAAGAGTAAGGGAATTCCTGCTCTCAACAGTGCATCCCATATTGTCCCAGTTTTTATAGGAGATCCTATTTTATGTAAAGAGGCTTCTGAAAAACTACTTAACGAATATAACATTTATATACAACCAATCAACTATCCTACAGTTCCAAGAGGGTAATATTACATAATTATTTTATTTTAGATAAGAGATCTTACGTATTTCTCCAACTCCATTACACACCGAGGAAATGATTGATGAATTGGTTGACTCTATTGAATGTGTATTTAAGAGTCTAAATTTAAGAATGGAATCTTAATACACAGCAGAACAAAGAGCAATCTTCTAATGATAGTAAATTATTTTCATTAAAAAAAAATACACAAAATTAACACTAAATTTCCCATAATGAGATATATAATATATATATAATTATTAAATGTGGAGGAGAGCCTTGTAAAATTGTCTTAAAATTGCATTTATTGGATCATCAATTACATTTACTTCTAGCTTTGTATTTTCTTAAGAATAATTATATGCATGGGTAATCTAATAAAATATACAAAGGGATGGAATAATTTTGGATAATTAGGCATTGGAAATTCTATATCATAATATTCTCCTTAATTAGTCCCTATTTAAAATGTTTTATTTGTAGCATGTAAATCAAGTGTTTCTGCAGCAATTGATAAATCTGGAAAATTATATACATGGGGAAGATCAAAATTTGGACTATTAGGAAATGGATAAGTCGAAAATATAAATGTTCCTACACTTGTAGAATGTTTAAAACATTTGGATTTCAAATATGTTGCATGTGGTAATTATCATATGGCTGCAATAACCAATGATGGATAATTGTATACATGGGGTAATTTTGATCATGGTAAACTTGGTCATTCATTTGATAACTCAGTCAAATTACCATCTAGAGAAAAATATGAATATTAAAAGAATTTGGGATCTGCTAAATTACCAGAATTAGTATAATTAAATTTTAAAGTACGATAAGTATCCTTAGGAGATCAATTTACAATAATACTATCAGATGAAGGAAATGTTTATTCAGTTGGATTGAATAAAAAAGGTATTTTAGGATATGAAACAAAAAATGCTGAAGAACTTAATTTTAAACAAATTACAAGTTTAAAAAATATAGTACAAATTGATAGTGGTACTGATTTTAGTGTTGCACTTGATTCTGATGGAAAGTATATATATAAATATTATCAATTAGTATGTTTGCATGGGGTAGTAATTACTTTGGATAATTAGGAACTCCTAGTCCTTCAGTAGTGTAAATACCATAACAAATTAAAGGATTGCCTAAAATTAAATAATTTTCTTGTGGTGAATAATTCATTGGTGCTTTGAGTACAGAAGGTGTTTTATATACTTGGGGTTTTGGAGGTGATGGTTAATTGGGAACACCAAGCAAATAAGATATTCCAACTCCTCATAAAATATAATTTGATCATAATATTGATAAAGTTTCATGTGGATAAGCTCATGTAGGTATCATAAGTAATAATAAACTATACATGCATGGAAGGGGAAAAGAAGGTTAATTAGGAAGAGGTTCAGAGACTGAATCCCCTAATAGTAGTAGATATTCTCCTTTATTAGTAATGGAAAATGTGATAAAGATTGCATGTGGAGGAAGTCATTCTTTTGCAATTGTCAACTAAAAATGAGTTAATTTTTAATATATTTTGTCTTAATAAAACAAAATTGATTCTATATTAATAATAATATCTTAATTTTTTTGAAAAATAAACTTTATATGTTAATAAATTGTAAAAAAACCATTTTCAACAATTACAAGAAGATGGTGGTGGTTGTGGCTATGCAGTTTCTTAATTTAATTTGAATTAACTTGTTGATTATTTCTCAGCATTAACTTATGGCTTTTGACTCTCATTTTCCAATCTTTTCTTCAAATTTAAACCTAATATATCAAAAATGTTTTCTAAAATATAATAAGTATTTTAATATTACATATATTTTTATTTTCTAATGCACTAGTCTCTATGAATGGCATTTTATACTTTGTTGCTAATGCTTAACCTTCTGATGATTGAACTCTTCTATCTTGAGAATCCATTTTATTTCCGACTAAGATTGAACAACTTAAGGGATTATTATTGCATATTACACTTCATCAGTTGTATTTTCGGTTATAGATTTGATCCAAGTTTCTACATTATTGAAAGAGTTTCTATCTACTATGGAATAAACAAAAATGATTCCAAATGCTCCTTTATAATATGTTTATGTAATGTTCCTAAATCTCTCTTATCCTGCTGTGTCCCAAATTTATAATTTGATTTTCTTATCTTCAACCTTTTTAACATATTTATTTTATATACAGTGATTGTCTTTATCTTAAAATCAACACCTATAGTTGCCATATAATTTTATGAAAATTTTTGATCACAATATTAAGTAAGGATATTGGTCTTTCCTACTCCTGAGTCTCCTAATACAATTACCTTTACCAACCAATCGTAATAACTATTAGACATTTTAACAAAATTTATAAATAATATTTATTATTTAATATTTGATATTCATTTAACATTACTTCATAACATTAAGAATATTAGAATAATTCTATTATTCATTTTAATACTTTATATCATTTCAAATTCACTTTTGTTTATTACTATCTTTAAAAGTAATATAGAATTAAGAGTTAACTAACTTAATTATAGTATTTAATTTTTTAATGTAATGCATTAAAATTATAAGACTTTGTTCTTATTGTAATTAATGGTTTTACTTTAAAAAAAAAATATTAGGATTTCATAAAATTAGCAATGATTATTTTTATTAATTTTTCTTAATTACATATTAAGATTCAAATGTAATTAATAAAATAATTATAATAATAGTATTTTTAAAAGAAAAAAGAAGAGAATTTTATTTTTAATGGGTGTTTTTACATGATATATATAATAATAAATAAGACAGTTCTTAGTGCTTAAATTATGATTAAATAGGGTTGACCAATTTAATTTAAACTATCATTAAAATAATATGAACTCTGGATTGAACAACTAAAATTCCTTATTGCAGCAACTAACTCCAGCCCAACTTGAAGAGTATTAGCAATAGTTGAGGTAAACTTCTATCTTCATATTCTTTATATCATATTACTTCATATGCTCTAATCATATATTTGGCAATTAATTACCTATTTTAGATAGCAACAATTTTTCACCAATCTTTTGAGTAGCAACATGAAAACCTTACAATTCCCTGGCATCTTTCAATAGTTTTAGGACAATCTTATAAGAACCTCATAACCACAAGATCTGTTCAATTTTAATCGTGGTAAGATATCATCAATTCTACATCAATTATAATATTGTGACCTTATAGTTATTTGAATTAGCTTATATTTGCTTAGGTTTGGGAGGTGCAATGAATTAGATTGATTATATGAAATTATTATAGAAAAGCTTATAGATGAATACAAGTGCCATAAATGCCTTCAATTAGAATTAGTTTTTCTGCTAATTAGGAATGATGGGTCAAAAGAAAACAAATACTTTGTAAAATCCAATTACTGTTGAAGATGATGACCCCCCTTAAATTTAGAAATGTCAGAATTCTAAATGCAACAATAAGGGAGATCGTAAGACAAAGTCAAAGAAAGGTGAAACCCTTTAATTCTGTGAAAAATGTTTAAGGATGTACAATCGTGGAAATTTTTGTGATTTTTGTGAATAAGTATTGAAAGAATTTTTTTAAGATTTGTAGGTCTATTCAAATGGGTCATATGATCATGATGAATAAGAATGGATACAATGTGATGAATGTGAGAAATGGGTATATTTCAAAAGATATTGATAGAATCATCTAAATTGTGAAGCTAAATGTAGGAATTCGAATATAAAAGAAGAGACTGAGAATAAAGTTTATTATTGTTTAAATTGTTCTAAAATTAAAAAACAATAACAATAATAATAATAAATTCAGTAATAGAAGAAATAAGAAAAGACGACAGAAGAATATCAGCCAAAATAAAGAACTATAATGGAATGTGAGGATGCTAGAACAAGAGAGAAGAATATCAATTTTGTAGCTACTAAAGATAATAAAGTTTAATTTAGTAAATTTATAAATTTAATAATTTTTAATAGCATTTCGATTGAATCTATATGATGATGAAATTAAGTCAGATCTCGATTTTCTGAGGAATTCTGGCAAGAAGAACATTAAGAAATAGAATTAATAAGATTCTCCAATCATAAAATAAATTATAATACCTTAATAATAATTATTATAATAATAATCATAATAATAATAATAATAATAATAATAATAATAATTAATATAAGAAGAGAAAGTAATTATATAATCAAGTCATTATTAGAATTCTGATTAATAAATGAATAGTAGGAGAAGAACTAGAAATAATAAAAATAGAGTTAATTATAGAAATTTAGGGGGTGAATGAATGATATGAAATATATTTAATTGAAATTTTAATTTAAATAATACTCACATATATATCCAAATAATTAAAATGTCTGATTTGAGATTTGATAATAAGGTAGTTGTCATAACAGGAGCAGGTAGAGGATTAGGAAAAGCTTATGCCTTATTTTATGGGTCTGTTGGAGCCAAAGTATTAGTAAATGATAATGGTTGTGATTTAGACGGAAAGAACACAAATCCTAAGTTTGCAGATGAAGTAATCAATGTTCTAAATTTAGGTTGTGGCAACAATAAAGAGTAAAGGAGGTATAGCAGTGGCTAACTATGATTCTGTGTTGAATGGTGATAAAATCATTGCACATGCTATAAAAGAATTTGGAAGACTTGATGTTCTTATTAATAATGCTGGTATCTTAAGAGATAAGATATTGGCTAAGTTGACTGAAGAAGATTGGGATATTGTGATTAAAGTAAGATTAAAGTTTATATGATTTAAGACTCATCTATATGGAACCTATTCTGTGACTAAGGCTGCTTGGCCAATCATGAGAGATTAAGGTTTTGGTAGAATAGTTAATACATCAAGTGGATCTGGGTTGTATGGAACTTTGGGTCAAACAAATTATGCAGCTGCAAAGGCAGGAATAGTTGGACTTACATTAACATTAGCAAAGGAAGGGGAAAGAAGAAATATATTGTGTAATGTTTTAGTTCCAGTTGGAGCATCTAGGATGACAGAAACAATTATGCCACCTGATGTAATGAGTGGAATTGATCCAAATAATCTCACACCAATATGTATCTATTTAATAATATTTTTAAGTGGCTGTTTTAACTCATGAATCAAATAAAGAATATAATGGTGGAATTTATGAATGTTCTGGAGGATTCTTCTCTAGAGTCAGATGGTAAAGATCTGAAGGAGTTTCCTTAGACTTACCTGTTAAAATTAGTGAAGTATAAAAGAATTGGGCAAAAATTAATGATTTCAATGGAAAGAATGAATATCCAACTGGAAATGCTGACTTATTCAATAAGGTTTAAGAAAATCTAGAAAGGTTAGAATAATAGGCTGCCTAAAAACCAAAGTTATGAGTTTAGAATTTACATTATTAATATTAATAATATATTGAATTCATCATTAATTTAAATTATAATGGTATGTAAAAATTAGTAACTATCTTTATTTTAAAATTAATAAAGAATTTATATTCAAAAGAATATCTCATTTAGATCCTTTAAATTTTTAGAATCAATTCTTAAATTAATCTGGATATAAATTCAAATAATAAGAATTATAAGTCTATATTCCCTATGAAATAGATTAAATTAAATACTTTGTAATGAATTTGATAATTAAGACTTTTTTAACAGATTTAATTTATATATAACAATAAATATTAATAAACAACTATAAATTCTTGTAATTCTGTTTCTCTTGATGACATTTATATATAAATTTTGACAAATACTTAAAAATATTAACCAAAATTAATTTGAAAGTCTTTTATTAGTTATTTAAAATTTACATATTTAATTTATAATGAAATCATTACAATATGTCAAATATTATTATATTATGATTGATTCAAATAAATATTATGTGTTGTTGTCAAAATATTATCAATTTTTATTTTTTTGAAATTTAGACAGAAATTAGAATCTAAAAATGATATTTATATATATAATTAAATAGTTAATAATTTTAATTGGTTTAAAGGATGTATTTTTAGTAATTTATATAAAATTAAAATTCATATTCAAAGAGAAATAATGGAAATGTTGTAGAAACAATTAATTAACTACATATATGAGGAAAGAAACATTGGAGGAGGATAATTCAGTGAAGTGTTTTTGGGATATGAAATATATACAAAAGAGAAAGTAGCAATAAAAGTACTAATACATTGAGTTAAGCAAATCGACTGTTCACGAATGAGAGATTAAGTAATGATACAGATGATGAGAAATGAGATTGGAATTCTTAAAATTATACCTAAATAGTAAAACATTCTGAAATTATATGATGTATTTCAAAATAATTAACTCGTTTACATAATTACTGAGTATTGCAATCAAGGTATAAACTGTCAATTTAATCAAAGGGGACTTACAATAGTTTATTTAGAAACATTAAATAACTGAAGATATAGCAATTGATTTAATCACCCATGTATTGAATGGTCTTTAACATTGCAAGAATAATTGTAAGTATTGATCATAAGAATTTAAGATATTATTCATAGAGACATTAAACCTGCAAATATATTTATGAGTAATGGAATACCTAAATTGGCAGATTTTGGATTTGCTCTATGTAAAAATGTTTAAAATGGAGTTGAAATACAAAATTATAATGTAGGTACTCCTATGTATATGGCTCCAGAAACATTATTGAATAATCATTATAGTTTTAAAAGTGATTTATGGTCAGCTGGAGTAGTTTTATATGAAATGATATTTGGATAATAGCCATTTAGATCACAAACAGAACCAGAATTAGTTTAAAAACTTAGAATTTATTAATAGAATGGTTTACTTTATTATCCATTTTAATGTTCTCGGTTTTTAGATATTCTGATATAGAATATGCTTTAATGTGATAAATAATTGAGATGGTCAGTTGAATAATGTTTGGATTATTTAAGATAGAGAACTTAATAAAGAATGATAACAAGTCAAAAATATATACCTTAATAATCTTAACATGCTAGAAGTGTTACTCCAATTTAAATAGTTTAATAATAATAATAATAATAATAATAATAATAATAATAATAATAATAATAATAATAATAATAATATTAGTAATAATAATAATTGTTATAATAATAGCTGTTATTATAATAATAATAGAAATCAATATTACCTATTTAATATTAATAATAATTCAAAATTTAATAATATCCAATCTAAGTTAATACCAGTCAATAATTATCTTAACTTCCTATGTAAAAACAAATCATTTAATAATAATAATATTTACATTTTTCAAATCCCTCTCCCCATTCCAGCAGAGAAACTCCTTAATAATTTAATGGAATAAAAACAACTCAAGAAATTTCTTATCTACCTATGAGATTCCCATCAGTATAGAGAGAAAGAAATACAACATTATAAGATGAATCACAACGGAGTAATGTAGAACCTAATCAACAAAATAAACATAAACATAGTTAATAGTTTGGCAATTTACTGTATAAAATTGCAAAGCTTTTTATTAATACATAATATTTTGAATAATTCAGTTTAGGTAAAATGTATACAAGAACCGAATGCATGTTTTTGCAACTTAAAATATAATTCTGTCTATTATAATGTTGCATTCAAATAGTATATTCAAAATTATATAATTTAGTTTTAACATTCTAATCCTTGTTTACCTGAATGCTAAGTCAGATTATTAAATGTTAAATAAACAATACTCTAAATGCCTGATTAATATATCCAAGATCCTAGATTTATGTCATTATTTAATAACAACTGGGTTTTGGAGAATATTTTAGAACAATTGAGAGAATATAACTATGTAGCCATACATTTAATTAATGATTACTTACATAAAGATTGCAGCTATCCATAATTGATAGTAATATTAGATTATTTGGTTATTCTACAATAACTATTGAAACGCTTTGCTGCTAGTCTTACATGGATGGAATTTGATAAGAGAAACAATATTGCTGCTATAGTACAGGCAACAATTAATCCAAATCCAAATTAACTTTAATGGATGAATATTTGCAATATAATACAGAGAGATATTGTTAAATGAAGTAACATTTTTTGTTTTGAAATTATTTTACATTTTTTATAATAATTTGTTATATATCTGAAAAATTGGATCACCTCTTATAAGAAAGTAAAAGAAAATTCACTTATTCCTTATCATAATTAAGTCTAAATATTATTAAATTTGAAAAAAAAAAAATCAATTTATCATAATCAATTTTATATTAATTTTCCTATAAATTAATTATTTAAATAACTAATAGGTTTATTCTAAAATAAGGAAGGATAGAAGATAAGAAACGCTTTTAATTGATTGCAAATTTCATAGATATAATAAAATGAGTCATTAACTACTTTATTTATTATTAAATATTTGAAATTAAATAATCCTTTTAAACTTTAGATAACTCTGTTGACAACTAGAGTATTATGTGGTTAAGTATAAATCTATGAAATTGAAGCGTATTTTAGATTTTGCAAAACTCATAATTATAATTTTCAGAAATTGGTGATAATTTTATATTAATTGAAATAAAATCAAGATTAAAATAAATAAAGTAAATAAGAGAAAAATAATAAAAAATAATTTGAATCATATTGAACAATATTAAATTGTGTAATTCAATTATAGATATCTTCTATTTAAGCAAGAATTAGGAATAGATTATCATTAATAATTTTTGGCAATAGATATGGATATATTAAAATATTGTAACATATTATTAGTATCATAATTAAGTATGAATATGAAAGTTGGAGTGGTTATGTATATGAATTATACTCTTGAATTTAATAATCAGTAGGATTACTATGATTTACATATTTATATATATATATATATTTATTATAAGTTAATTTTTGAAAATGGGTAATGCAGATAGTAATGCAAGTATTAAGGCCATGCATACAAATTATATTGTTGTTAGAAATATAAAAGATGATACTCGTTATGGAGAAGGAAGGATTGTAAAATAGAAGCAAACTAAATAAGAAGTATTTTAGAAGGAAATCAATTTAACAGATGAAGAAAAATATTCAGCATTAAAAATAATGCTTGAAAAAAAGGAAAGCAATTCATATGATAATTTGATCAATATAACTAGTATTTAAATTAGCAATATAATTAATAGAGTTGTTTTATCACGAAGAAAATCAATTTTGTGGTTAATTTTTTAAGATCTTCATTTTAATGGAATATATACCAACAACTTTGTTTGATATCTTAGAATAAAGATTAGCTAAGAAATTAGAATTTCAAGAATCAGAACTATGGACTATTCTAATAGGATGTATAGAAGGATGTTGTATACTGGAATCTTAGAAAATCACTCATCAAGGATTAAGATTAGATTCAATCTCTTATATAGATTAATTTCCATATGTCAAGATTCTAGATCCAATTTTAAGTGGAGTTCCTACTACTTATCAATAATTATTATAAGATGATACTAAATAAATCAATTTGAATTATTTAAGTCCTAAACTCATGTAATCACTTAATGATGATATGTAACCATAACATAATCCATACAAAAGTGATGTATATTCTTTAGGAATGATGATGTTGCATTTAACAAGTTAACATAATTGTGAAGATTGTTATGATATGTAAAAGATGAGAGTAAATCATTAATAAGTTTAAAGGAGATTATTAAATTTAGAATAAAAATTCTCATCTTAATATATTCAAGTCTTGAGAACTATGTTATTACTTAATGAAGATTAAAGACCAGATTTTCTTTAATTAAGATCTGAAATGTAATCTATGTCACCTCCAGCTTCTCCTAAAGCTTATATAGAAGAACAAGAAGAAGAAGTCATCCAAACCAAAAAGAGTCCAATTATTTAAGTTGAAGCATATGAATAAGCTGTAGAGAGCTTTGCTATACCTTAATAATAATATCAATTATAAACTTCATAACAACCATAAATATTTGTTAATCCTGAATAAAGTGCTAAATTTATATAATAATAATAAAGTTCAGTACATAATTCTTAAGTTCAAGCATAACGATCAATTTAATTAAGACAATCTTAGCAATCCATCTAATCCAATTAATCAATGTATATATAAAGAAATGGTCTTAAAGACTTGAGACCTGATATATGTGATCATTTAAAAATTGTAGTATTATCATTTAATTTAGTTACCTTTATCAGAATAACCTGCAGAATAATCATAAATTGATACCAATATAGGTAACCAAATAGGAGCTGAAGAATTATTGAATCGTTCTAATTTAGAATAATAAGATACTTTAATGCCAATCACATCATTCTCTAATTCCTAATAATATTAGTAATTTTTACAATCTAAATCTAATATGCCAGTTTCATATGAATCTTACAAAATGGAATCCACTTATAAAAATTAATAAAATGTTGATCCTGTTTCTAAATATGATTATCTTTATGATAAACAAATGAGCAATCAATAAAAATTTTCAAATTATCAAAGTGATTTGAAAAGAACTTTAGAATCTAATAGGGTTTAAACTGTTTCAGAATCTTATCCTAATGGATCAAGATATGAAGGCCAAAAATTGAATGGAATGAGACACGGTCAAGGGACATTTTTCTATTAAGATAATGGTGGAGTTTATGAAGGTTAATGGTTTGAAAATAAAATGCATGGTTAAGGTTATAAATTCAAAGTAACATCTATTAGGTACTTTATTTTATGCCTCTGGTAAACCAGCATATGAAGGAGAGTGGTTGAATGATAAATTTTAAGGTAATGGCACTTTGTACAATGAAGAACCTTAAGTACTCTATGGAGATTTTGATTTTGGAGATTTTGATACAATTGGAGAGTATTTATATATTAATATAAGTTATTGGACAAGATATGTTGGTTAATTCAATTAAGATAATAAAGAGGGTCAAGGCACCTTATATATATCAAATGGTGATCGATTTGAAGGCAACTTTCTATAAGATTTAATAAATGGTCCTGGAAGATATATCAAAAAGAATGGTTAGATAATTTAAGCAAAATGGTGGAGAAATAAACTATAATAGTGATTTTGATTAAAATTATAGAATATTGTTTTTCAAAATTAAATTTCAAATTTATGAGTTACCCTTATGGATTTTGCTCTCCACAACGTCCCATGCACCCTTAAGTATATTATCCTAATCCCATTCCACAATAAAGATAAGCCCAATATTCTCTTCCACCCTCTGTAATTTTTTCAAATATCATTAATCTAGGTTTACCGCCCATCTATTGGAATGAGACCTCCTTAATAACCTTATTATCCCTAATATTAAATTCAAAATCCAACTCCACCTATTAATTATGGTCAAAGTCCAGTTAAACCATAATCAGCTTTACAATAATCTTATCCAGTCCATTAACAAAATCAAAGAATCCCAAATTATCCACCTTAAGTTTATAAATAATAATAACAGATTGCTGTAAGACCACCAGTAGGATAATAGTAAATTGCTCCCTAATAAAGAGGAACAGCTCAATATCCTTATTAGCCATAATAATAATAATTATCAAAACAATAACCATTGTTATCACCATAGTAGTAGCCATAGTTGTTTCCATAGTAGTAGACATAGTTATTACCATAGTAATAAACTCAAAATAAAGTTGTCTAACCTCCTAAATAATCTTCATAATAATATTTACAAAGTTAATCAAAACCATAAGCACATCCTTCTTAACATAGACCTGAGTAATAAAATTAATAAATTCCTTAACAATAAAAACAATAAGTTAATAAACCTCCTCCTTAATAATTTAAATAACCATAGTAATCATAAAAGGATGATGATTTAGAAAAGAAATTTTAGGATGCTATAGATAGAACAAGAGATCTTGTTTAAAAATATTAAAATCCATAAACAAAATAACCTTAATAACCATAATAAACACAATAATAATAGAATCCATAAACAAAATAAGAGTAGAATTCTAATCAACCATAAGTTGATGATAATTAGTTATAAGATTTAGCTCTTTAATATGAAGATGGTTATATTTATAGAGGTTAAGGTTATGAACCAGCTACTAGAGAAGGTTATGGTATTTTGACAGATTAGGAAGATAATACAGTTTATGATGGTTAATGGAAGGATAATTAATATCATGGTTAAGGCAAATTGATTAATGTTTAAGCAGAATAGATTGAAGGTCCTTTTGATTATTAAGATTTAAGTGTTATTGAAAATGGATGGCTTGGTTATGAGGGTATGTTAATTATTATTAAATTAAAGGTGATTTTTTTGAAGGAAAAATGAATGGTTTTGGTAGATTATAACTTACAAATGGTGAAATGTTTGAAGGTCAATTTTAAGATGGTATGATTGATGGTGAAGGTATTTTTACTGCTGCAAATGGTTAAACTATAAAAGGATTATGGAGAGAAGGTGTATTAACTTAAGTTTTTGCATGATTTAAACATTCAATATATAAATTAAATTTAATGTTATATGATAGTAAAAGTACCAAGATTATCTCACCTCCAAAGATATTCAATGATTTAGATAAAAAGTATCAATCTCTCTATTTATTCTTCTTTTAAGGAGGAATGATGCCATGGATATTGTTTAACATCAACATGGCGAAGTGTAAAATTATATTGAACAAGTTAATGATAAAACATTGATAGCAATTTAAATGGAAGTATATAAATTATCAAATAATTTTAGGAATAAAGATTAAATTAAAGATATTTTCATTTACTTAATTAACTTGAAAAAACTAAGTTGCAAATCATTAAATTAGAAGAAAAATTAAGATAATAAAATGAGTATTAATTATTATATTATATTGTTTAGTCTTGAAAATCATCCTTAAATAAAATAAATAATAAGTGAATTATCAAAAGTAGATTAATATCGTTTAGCATTAATAAAAAAAGTACTCCATTTATTATTTATTAGACTTAATAATTAACATAAGAATTACAATTAAACTAATTTACAATCAAAGAACTTAAAGAATAAGTTTAAAATAAGCGTCTTTAAATAAGAGATTGTGTTAGAGATTGTTGGCAAATATAATAATAAATTATTAATTCTAAATCTAATTATACATAATCTACATCTAGAACAGTAATTTATTGAAAACATAATATTAGTAAAGAATTCAATTACAAAGTCTTGATATCAGTAGTAATAGAAGCAATATCAATCTATTTATAACTAATTAAGATACAAATACTAATAGATTGAGTTTATCATAATTACCTCCCATTAAATTGAAAATGAACTCTAAAAGCAAATTATTAGAGGTTCTTCAAAAAGCAACTTTTAGGGGATAATAATAAGTAACACTAATTTAACATTTAATTTATTTAGCCTGTTAATGATATTATTGAAATATATAAATAAATTAATATTTTGAGGAGAAGAATTACTGAATAGAGGCATGAAATAAAGAAAAAGTAGAATTAATACAGTTCCATAAGAAATTTACTTGTTTATTGTGCAAATCTATCTTTAAAATAATTTAAAAATAAATAGAAAATTACAAATTATAATGGATATGCAAATTCAATTTATTTTGATTTTAGTACATCAATGAATTAATCTATTACTGAACATTCAAATAATCCTAATAAAGAAAGAAAAATTTAAAATATATTATATGATACTCTTTAACAAATAATGATTAATATGATTGATGCATAATAAAAAAATGAGTAAAACTTAACTGAAGAAACAATGTAATAAAAATATTTGATAATAATAGTATAAAAAATGCAATTTCTTTAGAATAATTTATGTAATTCTCTTCAGAATAGATTTTGGGATTATTGGCACTATAACCAAGATTGATGCAAGAATTATTAGAGAAATTCGAATTAAAATATAGATAATTAGGTATTTTATCTTAAAAGATGAAAAATTTAACATAAAATTTTTGAATTTTAATTTGATCTAATATAATAGAATCAATTAGAATAATTTCATTTATTTAAAAATAACTTACATTGCTTTCATATTTAAAATGTTAGTTTTTAAATAAAACAATTATATATAAAAGTTCATACATTAATAACTAAGGATAATGCTTTAAGTACAGATGGTATAGGTACTTATTTATCATCTATTTTTTTGGTCAAATCTTTAAATATATTCAATTCTGATTGATTTAGTTAATGCTATTCTATAAATTATTCAATTATTTTAGTAGAATTATGATTAGTAAATAAATTTTATGGTTTAATTTCTGAATAATCTTAAGAATATGATAGTTTCTTTTTAAATTCTATATTGGATTACATATCTAAAGATGATATATTTTATATTTAAATTGGATTTACTGTTTCTTTTAGATAATTTAAATTGCAGATTGTAATTTCTAACTCTCTTAATTATGTTTAATGACAATCACATGATTTAACTAAACTAAGTAATTATTAATTTATTGATTCCAAAGCAGAGATCTTTAAAATAATAAATCTATTAATTACTTTTTATTCAAATTCTAATACTTTCCGTTAAAGAATCAAATTCTCTCTTTACAATTTTTAATAATCTTCAGTTTTATGTTTAGAAGAATTATTAGTATATTCTCTGCTATTTATTGTACTTTTTTAGGTAGATTCAATTTCAGGATTATGATATACTAAGTTCTATTTATATAAATACATTATTTATTCATGTAAGATATATTATCATTTTCTTACATTTTTGCCAAAACCTATGCAATAGCTTATTATGATTAAGAAATGCTTATTTATTTATTTTTTTATAAAGTAGACAATCTAGGATTGATGGGAGATCTTCTAAATTTAAGATAATTTACTTTTCGTTTGGAGATGTTTTTCTTAATTTATCTGAACTGTCACTCAAATTTATTGTTGCTTTTCTTGCAGATAAAATGGCATTTTATTATTATAAAAATAGAGCATTTTGAATTGGTAAATTGTAAACATCACTTTTTTATTAGCTGTTACCACTTATGGCTTTATCCTTAACTTATTTAGTTCTAACTAGTCAAATTATTTAATACATTTTATCCTTTGAAACACTACTTGGATAATTTTTAGTTGGAGTCAGACTAGGAACTCTCTTTGTTGATAATATGTTTGACGCATTTAATTGATAGTAACTTCTATTAGTTTGATTCATATATAATTTTTCAATATGTTAAAATTATTAGTCAAATATTATATATAATTATAATGACAATATATTTATTGTAATTATGAATACTTTCTTTTTTTGATACAGAATCTTGATATTTGAAAAATATATAAAACCTTTTCTAATTCAATATTTATAAATAATATGAATTAATAATTAAAAAAATTAGCAGTCCTATTAGTGAGTAAGAAGAAAGACCATACTTGTCTTCCAATTATGCAATAAATTAGAAATTAATTCCCTTAGCATTCATATTTAATAGATGATGAATATAATAATGAACCTGTAGATTTAGTCGTAACCATCGGCGGAGATGGAACAATTTTGTAGAGCTCCAAAACTAGTGTAGGCATGCATCTAAGATGTTCCAATAAATATTGACTCCACCTTTTGTGACATTTGGTAAAGGAACACTAGGATTCATGTGTATATACAGCTTAAGAGATCAATATGAAGTTCTTAAAAACTTACAATCTCCATATAATATAGAGTTGAAGAAGAGAATTTAAGGCAGTTTAAATGGTCAATACGTATACACTGCTTTAAATGACTTTTTCATAACCAAAGGAAATAGTATTCATGTAGTATGTCTAGACATTTATGTTAATGATACATTTGTAACTTAAGCTAGAGGGGGTATTAATTTAGAATTGATTAATATAGATGGCTTAATTATAAGTACTCCTACTGGATCAACAGCATATTGTTTAAGTGCTGGAGGTCCTTTAATATAAAATAGAGTTCCTTGTATTGCATTAGTACCAATATGTCCATTATCATTATCATTTCGGCCTTTAATTTTGCCATTTGATGTGAAAATTAGTATAAAAATGAATGCCAATTCAAGAGGAGAAGGAGTAGTAATTTGTGATGGACAAGTGCAATATGATTTTAAAAGAAATGATTGTTTTGATATTACTCCTTCTAAAAATGATGTTCAATGTATGTTTGTTTAAGATATAGTATAGTTGTTGTACCACATGGACACTAAGATTTAGATTGGGTAATAAAATTGTAGAGAATGTTAAACTGGAATTCTAGATTTTAATAACCAAGAGATTGAATTATATATAAGAGAAGTAAAATAAAATATAAAATTAATTATTCATTTATTATATGAGTGATTCTTCATCTTATTTTGATATTTAAGGTAAAGGAATATGGGAATAATGCGAAAATACACTAAATGAAGTATTTAAGATATGTAATTTTTAGGAAGATATACTATACAAAGGTTTATTGTAATATCAAAACAAGTCAACGCAATTTTGTTTGACTTAATATGAATTGTTTCGATTTAAAAAAAATGGAGAATTAAAAAAAATAGAACTCTTAACAACTTCAATTTCCCTTTTAAATGATAATACAATTTTATTATAAAAGAACCACAAATAGGTATTCTTAAAATCAAGCCCATAAAATATCAAGGTTTGGTTTGAATTGATAAAAAATAAAAGCATATAAAATAATTTTAGATTAGACTATGATATAGGTGAGCTAATTGGTCAAGGACAATTTGCAAATGTATTTAAAGAGTTATTATATTAGGTATACAAGATAACAAGTAAGAAAAATAATCAAAATTATGCATTAAAAGTATTCTAGAAGGTGGCTTTAAAGAATTTAAACGTGGATAATGTTTCCGTAGCTAAAGAAATCAAAATAATGAGGTAACTTAAGCATCCAGGTATAATCAAAATTTATGAGGTTTATGAAGACAAAGAGTTTATTTGTATAGTTATGGAATTGATGCAATGTATTTTTTAATTTTATCACTAATTTTAGATTCAATGAAATAGTAAAAAAAAAGACATTCTGAACATTAGTGTGCATAAATCATGTTGCAATTATTCATGACATTGCAATATATACATGATCATAAAATAATCCATAGAGACATTAAAGTATCTTAATTTTTCTATTCTTTAAGCCAGACAATATATTATACAAGAATCAAGACACTATTTGTATCTGTGATTTTGGCCTTGCTGATTACTATAATCCTATGTCTGTTTATTAATATCAAAGATGTGGTACTCCTGGTTATGTTGCACCTGAAGTCTTAAGAGATTAGAAATATGATTTCAAGGTAGATGTATATTCAGCAGGAATCATATTATATACTCTCTTAGTAGGTAAGCAACCTTTTGCTGCACACTCATAAAATAAAGTTGTTTAACTCAATTATCATGGCAAAATTGATTATACATAAGTCAAAGCATCAGATTTATGTCTTTCTTTCTTAAAATCAGTATTATCTATAAATCCATAAGCAAGACCTTCAGCTTATGAAGTATTACATCATGAGTGGTTTTTCAAAACATTAGGAGAGTCAAATTATTTTTAATTGCTCAATAATAATGGATAATAAGTTTAACCCATATAACCTATTTCAAAAGGTATCATTAATCAATTATTTAATATCATTTAGAAATTTAAAACTTCCAAGCCATATAATCTATGATGGATGAAGAACAAGATGAATCAAGCAATAGCAAAATTTAAATAGAGATTCCTCAACCTACAACTTAATATCAAACTAATAATAATGGCTATTATTAGAGTTCTATTCCATAATAATAGTAGCCCTAATAATAATTGTAAATAGCTATAGATAATATATAAGAGGCTATAAACTAAATCAAAATTAAGCAGTAAGTAAGAGATTTAAATTACTTGACTTAAATGCTTCATATGTAACATAAAGAAATGTCAGGTATAGATTGAATTCAGAAGCTTTAAAAATACAAATTACATATGAATTGATTTATAAATTATTTATTAAACTTCATTTCTTTTAAACTATTCATTTCCTAAAAAATGTATTACCCTTAATGTTATTATTACTTTTATTTCCAGTGTATGTTTATTTAAATTACATTTTCATGTCATTAAATTAATAAGCATAATTTTATAATGAAATCTAATCAGATAATTTAGGTGAAATTGTCTATGTTTTTATTTCATATCTCAAAGTATGTCCACTAGATCTTCTTCCTACACCATTACCTAATTTCATTGTATTCATAAATGTATCTAAATTTTACTTTAATTTTGGAGTTGAATTTTTCTATTCATTTTTACAATTAAATAAATAAGATATTTGTCTTTACATTTCTCTTAATTTATCATCTTTAGCTTCTTATTTTGTTTTTGGATATTATTCTGGTTTTGGAGGAGATAATACTTTTAATGGAGAACTTCTTCTATCTAAAAGAGGTGGAGTATTAAACTAATTTATTGAAAAATCTCCTTAAATATTAATATATTTAGTGGGGGAATTGTTTGATTTGTAACTATTAAATAAATCTGAAAACTATTAAGCAGATCCTGATTTTTATAATGTAGATTTTTAAATGATTGAAGATTTTAGTTATTAATTTGTTTAAATATAAGATTAGACTTATTGTTTTTATTTTTAGAATTACTATCTATTTTGTTCTTATTAAATTTATTATTCAGCACTTGTCCATTATTTTTCAAATTCTTCTAATGTAATCTATCCGTTTTTTTATATGTTCAAGTATTAAAATATAGATTAGATCTAACTAAGATTAAATAATAAATATATGTATACTCTTTCTATGTAATACCATGATTATTATTGAGTTCTTCAGATAATTCATTTAATTCAATTAATCCATTTTTATTTGTATCTATTGAGTCAAATGTACTCTTAAGATCAGAGAATTTTTATTACAGTGTTGTTTTGATCTATTTCCAAAGCTATAGTGTTTAAAGCATATCCATTTTTATTGTAATTAAAATAAAATAAAAAATATTTTAATTGAAATGCTTTTTGGATTGGTGACAAGTAAGTAAAACTATTTTTTTGATTCCTAAACCAATGATTATTAAAATGAAAACACATAAGATCTAACTAAATACAATAATGCTAAAATAAGTTAAATTCAATTATAAGTTTTTAGTTGTTGCTTATCCTTTCTAATAAAATTCAATTAAATAGAAGATAGGGTAGAACCTTTAAATTTAATTTTTCAATTTAACTGATGTGCTTTAAACTAGAAATAAAAAGCTTTTTAATATGAATGATAAACAATAACCAAAAATCTAATTAGAAATAGATTTAGATAATCAAATTGTGAAGACCTATTTTAAAACAACTGAAGGTGTAGAAATAATATCAAATAAAGAATTTGAAAGAACTTTTAGTCCAACAAAAGATATTGAAGATCAATATTATCTTTTTCTTAAGAAGTATGAATTAAATAATTATCATAGAAATGTTAATCATTTACCATAATTTAAGGATGCTTTAAATTTAAATAATATTAAAGCATATACATAAGAAAATCAATAAACCATATACTCAAATATATGCAATAATTTTATTTGTGATCTTGTAATATCTAATTTGGCAACAAGTGTTATCATTATTAGCAAAGAATTTCAGAACTTTTCATCTTTAAATTTTGTTCAATATAGACCATATTTTAAGCAACTATTCAGCGATATTTCTATTAAAATAATTAATGAATAATGTCCTTTATTTAATTACATTTGATAATTATATATATATATAAAAATTATGGATGCTAAAAATATATATGTTTTATTGATTTCTATAATTGATAAAATAAAACTATTATCACAACTAATCATTGAGTTCTGTAATCTGTTTATATCTCCATTGATTTATGTAAATAGAGTTTATGATCATTGCAACAGAACATGCTATTTCTAATATTACAGTAAAATTATAAAATGAAAAAGAACATTCCATTTATCCCTAATATTATAATAAATCAAATCATTACTTTCATTTTTTCTTCAATCTAAAATTCTTCCTGTAAATTACATAAATTATAGTTATTTATTTAAGAAGTTCTAATTGAAACATAATCGAAATATGCAGATATTAACTAAATTATTAATATATTAAATACTAAAAGTATTGCAAATGATATCCCTACTTAAAAACTTAGTTCTGCATACTTTTTATTAGTCTTTCTTAATGCATAAATCCCAATGAGTGAACTACTTATTGATAATAAAATGAAGCACAATCTAATTTCTGAAATAGCAATTTCCCATGGGCATTCAATCTTTAATATAAATAATAAATTACTATAGCACTTGCTTGTAAATCTTTCTTAACCTTTAAAAATATTTCAGATCTTATTGGTCCACTAATAGTTTTACAATTCATTGTTCTTCTCATTTCAACACAAATATAATGGCCTCCTGTTAATATATAGATGATTAAGAATACTATTGTTAGCAGATTCGATTTCACAAGTCCATTTATCATCTGACCCCACAATACTGTAAAAAAGCAAAATACATAATAAACCCTTAAGATCAATTTATTTAATATACCAAAGCAACTAAATTAATAATCAAGCTTTTTTTAGTGTCCCCATCACTTTCATACAACAATTTTTTAGCTTGCCAAATTTCTTTATTAGTTTTTGCTTAGAGGTCAAGCATATTTTAATACGTGTAAATTATTATTAATAATTTTTCTATTCACAATTTTCTAAAAAACAGCTAATCAAAATAAATTTTAAATGATATATTATTTTATATTAAATGTATATCCAGCATTAATATACTTTGTATAAAATAAAAATAAATTATTTTTATCTTCTGTTTATTATAGTAAAAAATGATCTATATTCTTTTGAAGATATAAATAAGATCAAAAATGGTATATAACTAAATAATTAATATTATAAATAATTACAACTTTATTATTTTTATCATGTTTAGATATATATAAAATAAATTGGCAAAAAATATCATATATTTTTACATTAATTATTTATCAATAGGAAATATATTGAGATTATTTAATTTACAATTGGTTAAACATTTAATCTCTCTTTATTTCAATTAGAAATAGAAAATGATAACTTAATTTTAGAATTTATAAATTGATAAAGTTGGCATTAACCTTTATATATTAATTAGAATTACTTTAATATTATTAATTATAAATAGATTCTAAAAGCATCTATCAAATATTAATCTTATCTCAAGTTTTTAATATTATATTATATTATTAAAATAGTTTATAAATAATAAATATTTCTGTTGTTAATGTTTTATAAAAGCAATTTAGTATCTCCTAACAGAACTTAATCTCCTGTTGTTGTTCATAAACAATCGATTACTTAAGTAAATAATCCTCTTTTAACTTAATAATAATATCAACCATAAACTTATTATGCATCATCAAAAACTACACCAATAAAAAATTTAGAATAGAAATTTGAAGTAATTAAATAAAATATTACAATACCTACTTAAAGTTAAATGTCTCCTGAGAGAAATAAATTATCAATAGCTAATGATTTTGATTTATAAGTTTTACGCAATGACATTACATTCAGAGATTAAAAGATTATTGCCTTATAAAAAGCACTTGATTTGTCTAATGATGATAGAATTAGATTAAGATCAGCTCTAGAATAAAAGTCTAATGCTTGTGTTAATAAAGAAAGAGAAATTGCTAAATTATTAGCAACAATCCATTAAATGGAATTTAAGAAAACAGAAAGCTAAATTGTAAGAGATCTTCAACACTAAATTGAAACTCTAAAAATATTTATTTAAGAAAATGCTTTGGATAAGTCAAATTAAAAATATGAAGATTCAAATAATATGAAGACAAAAATGAGTCTCCTTTAAGAATAGTTGATATAATAAATAAATAAAAATGAGTCATTATAATAATACATAAATGAACTTATGAATTAAAATAAAGAATTATCATAAAAATATACTGAAAAGTGTATTGAAATATAAAAATTAGAAATGCAATTAGATCAAATTAAAATATTATAAAATGAAATTAAAGGTAAAGATGAAGAAATAGAAATATTAAAAGGAGAACTTAATAATGATAATACAACAAATTATAATAAAGAATAAAGTGCTTTTGATCAATAAAATGAAATATAAAAATTTCTTTCTCAAATAAAATAATAGTATTTAGAAGAATCACCTAAAAGAGATACAGATGATTAAGATTCAATGAATGTTTATAGACATATATATAGTTTTCAATCTACTGATGATTTTAATAAAGGGGAACTTTAGAAAATAAATAAATGATTTATTTATAACTATATATATATATAAATAGGATATTAAATTATAATGGTTTCAATAAATATATAAATTATTTTTTTGAATATCAATTATTTAAGTTATGATAAATAAAGTTATTGAATAGATTGATATTATTATTATTGAGATTGAAAAAGATATAAATTAAATAATAATAAAGAATATTATCTTTAAATAATGTTTTATTTTGATTACTGTTTGTAATATTTCATTCTTCTGGTTCGAAAACTCCAAATGCATCTTCAAAATTGATAGCCTCTTTTAATGAACTTGTAAATGTTGAGTAATTATTATTTATGGTGGCAGCACAATTTTCTGTTTTTTTATTAAAATAGATTGATTACTGACACATTATACATCATTTTCTGACAATTTTGTACCTTAATCAGGTTTGAATAATCTACACTTGTTTGCACATAATTTGGTCAATGATAATGTTAATCCAATAGTTATATTCTAAATAATAGAAGTAAATAAAATAAATTACAAAGGTGTAAAATGGGGTGTTAGGGAAATCCAAACTTTCAGAATCGTCACTCATAAATCTTAATTTAATTATATTTATTCTTTATATTTATATATATATATTTATATATATTTATATAAATAAATGAAATCGAGAACTGAAATACCAATTTCTAATTAATTAACACCTTATTTAGCCAATTTATAAGATAAATAAGATAGAGTATTAAGATTACTATTAAAAAAAAATAACTAATTAGAGTTCAAATAAATAAAAGTTGTATAAAAATAAACATTAAAACATAAATCACAACATCTATAATTGCCATAAATATAGACTTCAGATTTAAATGATAATAAAGAAAGAAAATATAGAAAATATAAAAATTTTTATTATTCAGATTAAAAATCACAGTAACAGGAATATAATTTAGAATCAAGAGTATAGGAAATTTTGGATAAAATATGTCATGTAAGGAAAAAATAGATCAATGATTTAAGACCTGAGTCAAATCTGATGAAGAGAAAAGGTTATTCTGTTGATTTACCAAAATAACATCCTTCTATTTTATAACAGAGATAAAAAAGTGTTTAGCAAAATTCATTTAATTATTTCTTATAGCCTACTCAATTAAATTCTGAGTCAGATTGGCTAGAATTTGTTTTTGGTTGATCATCTACACTATTTAATGATTATCTATATAATTTATACACTTATGACTAAATAAATTCTAAAAATCATCATTACAAGAAATTATGAAGTAAAATATATATATCATATAAATATAGAAAATTAAGACTTATAGAAGATTTCCATGGAAAGATCATGAATTTAATAAATGTGAAAATAGAGCATAAGAAATCTATTAAAAATATCATTCATAATAATTCAGTATTTTTAAATATTAAATTTAGAAAATGAAAAGAAACTTTTGAAAAAGGAATTAATTAAATTAGAACATATTGAAATATCTGAATCTATATCATGAACATTATAAAAATATGAACATTCAATAATATTTATATATAATATTCAAAAAAATGTAATCTTCAATTTTATATATTTTTTTTAATGATTTCTTTCCATAATTTCAAAAAATGATTAATTGGTTTTAAAAACCAAATTAAATTTTCAATTATTAATACAAAATATTTAACATATATATTACAATTTTTTCAATATTATTTTTATAAAATAACAATAATAAACATAATAAGAAGTAATTAAACATTTTATTTAATTTTATATCTATTGATAATATCATTATAACTATTTTAAATTCTAAAATATAGTATTTAAAATTGTAATACAAATATTAATTGAAATTATTACTCAAACTCATAAATTTAATTGACTAGTTTTGTTTTTTAAGATTTTAATTCATATTCATATAATGAATCAATATGATTAACTAAATTTAATTTACAATAAATATAAATCACTTTAGAAACAGTCATTTTTATAAAAAATGTTAATTTAAAAATATAACCAAAAATATGTGTATAAAAATGAAAAAAAATTATTATCTTAATTATGATTGTATAAATAAAAATCAATTATTTATTTCTTAGGAATTTACTTAATTCAATCCTACACCTAAAACTTTTTCCATTTCAAAAATTCTATGATCCAATAAATTAGTTGATTTCCTTAATTTTGCTTTTCCATTTTTTAATAGTTCCACCTAATTAATTATTTTATTAGTTTCATTATTTTATTCTTCTGCCAATTTCCTAAAATTTTTAGTAAAGTCTGCTAATTCCTCAATGAAATTAGTTGATGTTTCATCATTTATAGAAGATTGTAAGTATGATTCATGTATTATTTCTTATCTCAAAATTTGCAATTGTTTTTTATCTCTTTCTAATTCATTTAATATGTATTCTAACATAATCTAATTGTAATTACAAATACATTTAATTTATCTTCATGTTCCTTCATTGGTAAATTCATTGAATTTTTTGAGAACAGTTATAAAGCATCTTTATATGATTACATTTGAAATAATTTAATTATGAAATATTATTGTGGATAGAATTGAAAGACCTCATTTATTTATAATTAATATTTATATAGAGGTCATGAATCATTATGCAATTCATCATGTATTTCTCTAATGATGATAACTAGTTATAATAAACTTGATAATGTAGTTCTACTTGGTGATTCAATGGCAAAAATAATGTTTGAATTTTATGTTTGTTGCTATAATATTAAATAATTAAATTAATCGTTCTCTTAATTTTGAGATTCAATTTATCTGACATAATTAGACATTGCATTATCATTTAAACTTGGTTAATATAATAAAATATCTTCTTTATAATTTAATAATACCAGTTCTATTAGTAAATAGTCCCAAAGGAGATAAACGTGGTGATGAGATTGAAATGTATTCATCATAAGCCTTATTCCATCCTTAATAATGAACAAGCATTTCTTTTTGGTTCCTAATATTAATTATCTATCCAATGCACCATATATGTTCAGTATCTAAAACATCTAAAGAATCTCCTAATTTAAAATTGGTTAACTTCTTTTTCATTTTCCATTCTTTAAATTCTTTCTTTCTATTTAGTATAGTTGTATTATTTTAAAGTATTTTACTATTTTGAATAAATTAATCTATTGTCTTACAATAGATAAATTGTAAACCTTTCAAAACTGTTTGGCAACATGGGCATCTCTTAAATATAATAAAAATATACATGAGATTTAAGTAAATGTTCAAAAATGCAATAATAACAAAATGAATGACCACATTAAGCAATTGTAAATTTAATGTAATAATCTTTACATAATTTACATTTTAATTCATTATCATGAAATTCTTGGCTTAATTAAAATGCTTGGTTTTTATTTAAATATATACGATTCTTTCTAATCTAATTATAAACTTCTAGACTTTATGGTTTTCTAAATTTAGACAAGAATTTATTTTTAATTTATTTATAATCAGCAAACTTTGCTTCTCGAATTTCTTCTTCAATTTCTATATTTTTTTATTTCATATTAAAAAAGTTTTTATATAATTATTATTTTAAAATAAATTTAAGGTATATTGATTTACAACATATCTATAAATATAATATAAAAGCAATCTTTATAGTAATTAGAAAATAATTAATTATATATTCAATTAAATGCATTTTTTATCAGAAATAATAAACTCAATTTTTTTTAATTTAAAGTTGAATATTTCTTACAGATAAACAATTATTAAATTATTTAAATCATATCTAATACCTTAATATTGAAGACAATGAAATTGAATCATCATAGTAAGTCATGCCAAATAATAATAAATAAAAAAATAACAAACTTTCAAAATTTAGAAACTCAAAGGACAGCTGACACAACTCCAGATTTATAAAACAATGATGAAAAGTCAAAAATAAATTATTTTACAAATAAAATATCTTCAGATTGCAAATTAGCAAGAGAACTTCATGAAGCATCTCTATAATCACATTGGTACATTGAATAACCAAAAGAAATTGTGGATAAACGCATAGTCAAATTAAAAAAATAACAGAAAAACCATAAGGTTGTAGTATTAGACCTTGATGAAACATTAATTTATCACAAAAATGATCAAAGCATAATAAGACCATTTTGTAAATAGTTTTTAGATCGATTATCTAAGATTTGCACATTAGTATTATTTACTGCTGCAAAAATAGAACACGCTACAAATGTAATAAATTATTTAATTGTTTTTTAGATGTTGAAACTAATAGATCCAAATAAACAATATTTTAAAGCAGTTTGCACAATCGATAACATGATTGGAAAAGTTAAAGACTTAAGAATATTTTAGACTGATCTCAAAGACATTGTCATTATTGACAATTCTCCATATAATTTCATGTATTCTAATATATAATTATAGAGCTTAGATTAATAATGGACTACCTATATTACCATTTGAAGGATAAAATGACGATAACTAATTAGAAGAATTACTATCATATTTAGAAGATCTTCTTTTAGTTGACGATGTTAGAATTGAATTAGCTAAAAAATTCAAACTTTAACAATTCTATAAAGAACTCAATGGAAGATAAGCTATTAATAAGTTGTACTCATGATATTTATAATTTTAATCTATTTAAAACATATATTTTTAATTTTAATTGACATTCTTAATAAGGATTAAGAAATCTTTAATATTTCTATATCTAAAGCTTGAAAATTACATACAATAGTTAAGGTTCAGAAATAAGATTTAGATTTATAAGAAAATAAATTATATTTATTAAATAAATGTCGAATAGACCACCCACATAATAACCATGGTAACCTACCACTGCAGCTCCATAATTATAACCTTAATGGAACCCAACATTTTCACCACCAAGAGCTTATTAAGCACCAGTCTAATTGTAGAGTCCTGCTTACATTCCTTAATATTACACTCAACCAGTTGCTCAATCATATGTTGCCCCTCCTGTTGTTCAATAGCCTGTTGTATATTAACAACCTGTCATTACTCAGTCAATAGTAGCTTAACCAGTAATGACTCAACCTGTTGTTTAATAATAACCAACTATTAAGGGAGAAAGCAGAGTAGAGTATAAATTATTAAGATTATCCAATTAGATACATTCCTTACGAGAAGAGTGTAATCGAATATGAAGAAGTTAGACAAAAAATTTAGGTTCCAAGAGAGAAATATGTGACTGAATACTAAGCTATTGAATACTAAACAGAATATGTTCCACAAGTCTCTTATGATAAAGTTACAGGTATTATTTACAATTTAAATATTAGAATATGTTCCCGTTGATAGATATTAAGAAAGAGTTGAATATTATGCAGTGGAAAGATAAGTTGTTCATTAACCCTAGGTTCAAGCTGTTGCTTAACCTATAGTTTAGCAATCTTATGTTGCTTAACCTGTAGTCACTCAATCTTACGTTGCTTAACCAATGGTTTAATAATCTTATGTGACATAAACAGTTCCTGTCGTATCATAACCAATTTAATATGCCTAATACCCTCAATATGCTCAACCTGCCACTCAAACTATCTATGGTCCACCTGTTCCTATTGGAAATGGACCTATTCCTGCAAGTTAATTACCTGCTGCTGTTAAGACTGGATAATTTTAACAAACACCTTAAAAATGAGATATTATTCAAATAAAAATCATCATCCCATCATTTATTATTTTATTTTTAATATACATTAATAATCTATTTTCAATGAGAACAACCATTTAACCACAATGCTATAATTGTTAGATATAGCAAGATTGTTCCTACATTTAACAATTTGTATTAAATCATACTATTTATAATAAATTTGTTACTTTTTGAATGGGGGCTACAATATCCCATAATGATATAATAAAACTGCCACTAGATATATATACTATAAATAACTATGTTTAAAACATAGCAAAATAGCATGAAATAAACCTGTGCTCTATATATAGATATATTAGTATAGATACAATGAAAAACCAAGGTACATGCTTACTATAGACAGCTAACGGTAAAAAGATCGAAGTTATCACATGATGTGAGAAGAATGATATACTGCATGCTGATGCAAATGCTTTACCACTTCCCACTTTTATTATAATGTCAAAAAAGTAATAAAGTGGCCCATAAAAAATGAATGGTCTAATTAATTTATCTAAAGGGTTCATCGTATAATACCCTATAAAAGTGATGGAAATTGATCTACTCTTTTCACCTCTTGCCAATAAATAGGATATAGGATTTTGTAAATGATCATCACAATTTGTATTGGAATCCCAATATAGCTATATATCATCCAGACTTCATCGTTTAATTCCTTAAGGTATTCCCATTATTCTTAAGATAAATTCATTCAATTTATATTAAATAATAATATTATCATTTGTAAAATATATGAATTTGAAATTATTGATGATATATCAATAAATAGTATGAATTAATGATTTCATATGATTTTTAATCAATATTAAAATTCTTTAATATAAATCAATTAATCATCTTAGCTCTTATTTTTGTAATTGAAACACAATATATTAAATTAAAAATCAACTATAGATTACATATTGCAAATATTATTATTATATTTGAAGTTCATTATCACCTGGTATATTTTAATGATTTCATAATCATTTTATAACTTAATAATATGATTTTTAAGTTCTTTATTCTTTTTTTACTATAAAATTAATAATAATTATTATTAAAATAAGTATTATTATAATCTTAATTTAAATAAGATCATCATTATTAAATATGATTATAAGTATTTATTGTCTCTAAACTATTCTTTCTTTTTGTACAATTATCAGGTATCGATTAGGCATAGCCATTAATATCAAGATTTTCTTTTTTATTATCAAAAATAGGTTCAAATAAGTTTTTCTGATCCTCACTTAATTACTATTATCCTTCAGTAAAATTTTACAATGGGACTATTCTATTCTATTTTATTTAACTAATAATTAAAATATTTTAATAGAATAAAAATACCTGTTTATTTATAGAGTTTCGAGATTATTTTCTTAAGATGTCTTAGAGTTAATTTATAGATTTTATACTATCAATCCAAAACTTTAAATTGAATTTGTTCTTTATCCTTTAAATTTATCATAAGTATGTTTAGCCAATATAATCAAAATTAGAACGAGGGATATAATCACGACAAAAATATTGAAAGCAATCCAAATAATCATAACCACAGATAAAAAAGGGATTGAAAGGCTGGCAAAAATTATAAAAACCACACCATATAAGGATATAAAAATGAGTAACTTAAAAAAGTATTGGTAATTCTTTTTTCCTATGCAATTATTTAGCCATACACAATGATGATCAAAATCTGACACACATCTCAAATTAATATTAGATAATACCTTTCACAAACTGTACAATGGTAGGTTGTTTCTCTTTTATAAAATTTACAATCAATACAATATTCTTTTTCTTGCCCATTCTAATTTTATCCATTTCTAACTAATATTAACTGATCATCTGTTGGATCTATAGATATTGTTTAGTAGGCATAATAAACAACTAAAATTGATAAAATGTAAAATATCGATGTTGGTATTGACTATTTATTCAAAATTTATACTTGAATTAGAATATCTGTAATTTAATATATAGCAGTCGATACACAACTTAATAATTGTAAAAAAATCACCACAGTGAATATTTACTTAAATTTGATAGGCCTTCTAAATCCATTTATTTTACTATATCTATTTTGACCTGTATTCATACTAATTTAATTTTATTAGTTATTTTTATAATATATATAGATTCAGGATTTGTATTATCAATTTTATTAATAAATGATAAGATTATCAAATTCATCTTCCAGACCAAGAAGCAACTTGTTTCTTGAACATTATGATCACTTCATCAAGAATTGCATTTTCTTCTTGTCTCTTTGCTTTTGCTTCAGCATAATCAGCTCTCTTTGATTCTAAATCAGATTAAGCTTAATCGAGTGCATCTTATGATTCTTATAAGATGATCTTTGATTTAGCTTATTAAGCTAAAGCAGCTTAAATTTACTAAATTTAAATTAATTAATTACAGTAGCAGTTCTGTCAGCAAAAACTTATTTTCTTTCATATTCAACTTCTAATGATGAAATTTCAGCTTCTGACAATGAAACCCATCCAGCCAATTCCCATGAAGCATTAATTTCATTTTATTTCAAGTTTTCTAATGATGCAGATAATTCAGCTTCTAATCCTTCAAGAACTCCCAAAACCTTTTCAGCCAATGTAGATCCACCTGTTGATGGTCCTTCCTTTAAATATTTAACAATTTTACTTCTTATGAATTAGCCAAAGCCAAGAATGATTTGATTTAGTGATCTTAGAATAAATTACTGTATTATTTTAATTTTTCAGCCACAGATTATGCTTTAACTTATGTGAATTCAAATGAATCACCATTAATGATATAACCAGCAACATCTTATTTCAAAAGTCTGATAACTTCAAGTGCTTCTTAGTTATGTTTGATTGATTTAACAAAGAGTTAATTGCTAAAGCATTAATTATCTTAAAGAGCATCAATTTTTCTTGCTATTTCATCTCTTCTTGCCTCATTCCAAGCCAAATAATTTTTTGTTTATTTAAGCACTTCTTCATAGTTAGCTCTATTTTCAATGGCTTGATTGAAGAGTTTTTGATTCAAACTTTTAATCTTTGTAAATTATTCGATTGTCCTAAATCATTAATTTCATATTTACTATGCACCAACCCATTCATCTGTTTCATTCTTTTAATCTGCAGCAAATTAAGCATCAATATTCGATTATTTCAAATCATTGAGTAACCCAAAAACTGTATCAATAGCATCACTTGCTTTTGTTCCTGTCTATTATTTTTATTTATAATAATTACTTATAATAAGGCAAGGATTTAATCTTGTGTTTTTGAACCATAAGTTGTTGCTACCAAAGCTAATAACACAACAATAATGAATTTCATTTAATAATTAATCAAAAACGTACTCTAATAAAAACGATAAAAACTTATAAAAATGTATTCTTTGTGCTGCTCTTAATACAAATTTTAATAATTATAATTCAATATTCATTCCTTTAATCTTCATTAAAATTGATTATCCCTAAAAGAGCTTCCATCAACTTAGGATTTGCTCTATAAATAGAATAAATAATTTACATGACCAAGTTGTGATTTCCAATTTGCAGGTGGTACTCCTTGATTCATTTTTGAGAATAATATTCTCAATAACTTCTCCTTTTCTTCTAAATCCAAATCATTTATATCAACCTTATTAGATTCGAGACTTTAAGATTTTTATGATATTTCTGGCAAACGACTATTTTTCTAATTCTTATTTTTTTTGTTTATTTCATTTTTCACTTAATCGATGGCTTAAAGGAAAAATTACTCAATATCTGATCTTTAATCTAAAATCATTTAAGCCAAAGCCTTAACTGTTTTAAGTTCCTTAGTTCTTTAATCCAACAAATGTCTTAAATTACGTAGTTACATTTCCAACTCTTATACTTTAGAATTACTTTAATGTTTCATAATTTCTATTTCTTTAGTTTATTTTGTCACTTCCTAAGAAATTATCAAACCCACTTTTTACATTTGCTATGTATGTCTTGAGATATTCAATCTTCTCCTTTAACTATTTAATCTTTATAATTTATTAATGATTTAACATTTAATATCTAAATTAAAATAAAAACTTACTCTTTAGCTTATTCTTCTTTAATACTTAAATTTAATTTATAATTGATATTTTCTTATTAAAATGTTTCTTTTTCTTTTTAGTATATAGATAGAGTTCTTTCGTATTCCTGTAATTCACTTTTAATTTTTTCATTTTCCTTAAGTATTCCATCATATTTAGCAGCTACTTTTTCTTCTGCTAATTTATTGGCATTTCTTTGTACATCCTCAATCTTAGCATTATTAACATTTGTTAGATTTTAAGTTTATTTTAAGAAGTTTTTATTAGCTTTGCTTTATTCATCTAAATGTGCATAATCTTTTTTGTTCATTTCTTCTTTTAAATCATGGATTTCTCTAATCATATATTCTTTTTCTTCCTAATTTCTATATATTTAATACCTTAAATGAACTTAACTTTTTTAATTCTTCATTAACTCTTTACAATTCATCTTTATGTCTCATTTCTAAATCTGCTTTTTCTTTTTCCAAATCTATTATAAATATGTAACTGAATTACATCTAATTTTTTCATCTTTTCTCTAAATAGTAGATTCAATTTCTTCAGTTGTTTATTTTTTAAGGTCCTCATATTATTGTAAAAGTGCATTATAATCACTTTCTTTTCTATTTATATCTGATTCCATTTTGAGAGTTAGAGCAAGCTTTTAATATACCTTAAATTCTTTACATTTTATTCATTTATTGTTCTTATTGTCTCATTCAAATCGTATACATTTTTCTATAACTCCTCAATTCTATCCTTCAGAACCTAGATTTCAATTAATAGATTAGAATGATCTCTATAATTTAATATTAATAAATTTAATACAATTTCTCTAGTGCCTTCTTTTCTGCTTCTGTGAATTCAACTACTTCTTGTTGTTATTTTTTTTTCGGTGGCATTTTTAAAATTATTATAATTAATAAATAAAATTTAGTCCTGCTTGTATGATTTTGATGAATATTGTATGTTCCAACTTAATATACCTATTAAATAGAATCTAATATCACTTTATTCTTTCAATATTAAAATAAAAGCAAATAAATTTATAATTATGATCAACAACAATTCTTTAATATTGGAGTACCACTTATATGATACCATTTAGTTGCTTAAGAATAATAAATACAAAAAATTTATCAATTTAAGTAGAAAATTAGTTTGTAATCCTTATTTGGCAAATGATACATTTTACATTCAATTAAATATCTAGCTAATAAGGAGATTACTGTACTGTCAACTAAAAGTTATCAAGAAATATTTTTTGAACTTTAGTTCGAAACAATAAACTATTTTAGAAGTTTTAATAACTTGTATGAGTTTATGTTAAAATTATCAAATTTTGCTTAATAAATATGAGACTTCTTTTGATGATAAATAGATCAAAGAAAAACAAATATCTAGAAAACTTAAATTCTTAAATGAACCAAACAAATTAACTATTAAATAATTTGCAAATCAATTTGATAAATTAGAACCAGATAACAAATCAACAATTTGGATCAAATATTAATGGTAGTAGCTCTTTTGTTATTTTTAAAAGACTTTACTTTTTGTCTATCTATATTTCAAAATGTCTTTATTAAAAGAGGCTTCTCTTTTTTTGTTCAAACTATAAAAATTAACTCCTATATCTACATTTTAATCTAAATTTTTATATTTCTAAACTCTAACATTAAAGAATGCTGCCTAATTTGAATTATGTAACACTTCAAATAATGATGTATTAGAGTATGGATTTCAAATGTTATTAAATTCTCTAAGAGAATACCATAAACCTAAATCAGATTTAATAAATATATAAAAATAATTGATAAAAATAACAACTACATTATTGATTAATTTAGATATATAAAGTAAATCTTAAGAAATTAATGATAATCATTTAGATTGTATTTAATCTTTGAATTTGGCTCACTTTTTAGCCTCTCAAATTTTAAAACCTTTGAAAGTGAAGGCTGAATTTATTGAGTACATAACTTCAGAATTTGAATTTACAAATGAAAAATTTGAATAAATTTTATTAGAAGATTAAGATCTAACAAAATTTACTCAATTTCTTTATGGAAATCATGTTAATTAAAAATAAAATACAAAAATTATTGGAAACTCAAAACTTTAAGAAATGATTAAAACTAAACTCTAATAAAATAAAAATACATAATTTTAAAAAGGTTTTAAAACAGTTAATAGTAATTAATGTATATATGTCTCAAATAGTTAAGATAAATTAACAATGTAAGATTACTTACCTATTAAAATTAAATCGTATCATCATAAGGATTCAACTGCTTTTTCAAATCCATATTCTTAAACTTCTATAAATCATACTATTTACATCAATACACTTATTAAAGAATCTCCATCAACAAGAAGAGAGAGAATAAATCAAAATGCTCATCCTGGTAGTTTTTTAAGTTTAAATAATGTTTCAGTTGTTAAGTAAAATTAGGATAAGCCAAAAAAACGTCAAGTTTCTGTAAAATGTAAAAGAGTTAATACAAATTCAGATCATAAGAAAAGTTATTTAAGTTAATTGATTAATTTAAGATAAAAATCTAGTTTAACTTTAAGAGATGAAATGAGTGAATTAGAAAAAAATCATCAAAAACTATTAAACTAATTAAATAATTAATAAAAATCAACTAAAATATCAACAATAGATGAATTCTTTAATAAGAAAATTGAAGCAATTGCATTTGAAGAATGTTTGACTTTAGATCAAATTAAGGATACTGCAAAGAAGATCATTTAAACTGAATGGGAAATTCATAAAGAGATGCCAGTAACTAAAAGTTTAATGAAATCAATATCAGTATCTGACATATAAGTTGAATAGAAATAGGCAGCATATAATAAACTTTAAGAGTATAGAGAAATATAAAATGTGGATTATTACAATACAGAGAAGGATAGAGCATAAGATTAAATGGAATAAACAAAAGAAGTTAAGAAACTCAAAATTAATTAATAGAGATTTTCTATGAAACATAGAAGTAGCTAATAAAACTTATTAAATTCTCAATAGATAAAATCTTTAGTTATAAATGATACTAAGATTTAAGAATAATTTAGTTAGTAGATCTTATAACAATAAAATTCAACAGAGTAAAGAATTGAAATGAAAGTTTCACCTAGATTATCAAGAAAAAATAATTCAATGTTGTATAATTCAAATTTAGAGTAGGATAATCGTTAAAAGGGGTTTTCTTTAGTAAAAGGATAGTTGATAGATTTAATGATAAAAAATCTTGAATATAGAGATGATTTAAATATGTAAGAGAAAGAATTAAAATAAGTATTTTATATATAAATTTGATAGTTTGTATTACCTAGACAATTCAGAACAAAGGCAATATCTCCATAAGGTGGTGAATTTTCATTAAAATCCTAGAATATGAGTGATTTTAAGTCATTTGCTTATAGTACAAATTCTACATAGATTACATCACAAAATATGGAAAATAAAATACATAAGACATTTACACATTAAAAATAATGATTAGGCTTTTGTTTAAAAATTATATCATTTTGTAAAATAAAAATATGTTTATATATATAACATTATTTATTTTAATCAATAATATATAAAATATAGTTAATATGAGTCAAAGTATTATGAATGAGATATTTAAATTAGTATTGAATTATATTGATTAGGTATGTTTTGATGGAGCTTAACAAAAGAAATGGTCATAATGTAAAGATTTAGATAGTTAACTTTAATTTATTAGAGATGCAATTCCTTAAAAAATAAATGAGGCAACTAAAAATTATGATTATGAAGCCTTAGAAAAATAAGTATAAAAATATGAACATGAGATTCGTAAACACATAAGAGTAAAGTGTTTATTATAATTTAAATTAGATGGAATAATAAATAAAACTATATGCTGAATCGTTATAATAAAAATTAGAAGAACAAGAAGGTATTAATGAATGTTTGAACAATACTAAGTAATTAGTGAATGTAATTATTCTAAATTTCTAGTCTTTAAAAAAAGAGAATCAATAATTGATTGAATAAGTTAAAAGATTATAAAGTGAAAATTACATGTTAAAAACTAAACTAATTGATGTAAACGATAGAATTAATAGTTAACAGACTTCCCCTAATTATGATAAAACAAAAAATCAAGATTCTTATCATATCAAAGTAACAATCTAAAGTATATTAAGAATAGCTAAAGATATTAGACTATAGATTTTGTAGGTCCCAAATAAAAATTGAATTAAAGGAACATGGATGATTATAGTAAATAATATGCTGAAGTTAAAACTTAAATTAGTAATACTATTGATAGTTCCATTTTGAAAATGCTTTAAAATCGAAGGGATTCTTTAAAATTAAATGATGCTTATAAATCATCAAGAGATTCTTCAACTATAGAAAAAAATGATTCAAATAAGATTAAGTCTTGTATCAATCAACAAAGAGCAGCAAGTTAATAATAGAAAACATAGCATAAATAAATGATAGATCCAAGTATTTAATAAGTCAAAACTACAACAGAGAATGTTAAATTTGATTTAAAAAACTAAAGTGATAATTTAAGGGCATTTTTGAATACTTAAAGTTTCCTTTGTAACAAAAAGAGTAAAACTAATTCCAGACCTGATAATAGATATAATAAAAGTCATAGTGAACATTAGAATGCTAATACAAATTAATAGGAAATATAAAAGTATTAATTAAACCATATATATATAGATCTAATAAAATCCAAAAAGAGTATTTATAGTTTTCATAGAATTATTAAAAATATTTAGATAATTAGCTATGATATCAAAAGTTTTCCATTTTTTTTAAGTATATTATTTACAAAATTGTTTTTAACTATTTGTTTTGTAATATGTTCTCTTTTAGATTCCATTTTCAAATTTCTCAATTTTGATTTAGACTCAAAATTAGTTATTATTTATTTTATAACAATATATAAAATGTAGGATGATTTTCAATGTAACATTTTATCTGATAACAGTTAAGATGAGATTATATTGAAAAATGAATAAACTAATTAATTGACAATGGAAATTGAATAACAAATAATATTATCATAATTAGACTAAATAAAATAAAATGCAAAAATTTTATATGATGAATTTGAAGTTGATATAATTTCATAAGATAGTAGGAAAAGTATTTCTATTAAAGATGCAGAGATTAGTAGTATGAATAACTAATCAGAATTTTTTAATTTAAATTAAGCTTGTAATTTTAGATAAACAATTCAATAGGAAATGAAGATTTCAAATATAATAAGCAATTAACTAGAATAATTAGACGAATTTTCCAATTTTAATATTATGTCCTCCATAGAATCCAAAAAGTTTTCATAAAAAAAGATAAAATAAAATATAGAATAAAAATCACACTTCAATAATAATGTAACTATTTAATAAGTAGAATATATTGATAGTGATAACACAGATGAAGTAGATAATTATGATATTTAATAAAACAAAAATAGAAATAATGAGAATTAATTAAAAGTTGATGATATTTAAGATTAAAAAAAGGTTGATAAGGTTTAAAATGGAGTAGATAAATAAACATGGTTATTAAAAAATAAAATGAAAAGACATTAAAATTCTGTAGAAAAGAAAGATAATGAAGATTGGGATTTATTAGAAATAGTAAATAATGAATAAAAGGATCTTGATCTTTTTGAATAAGGATTATTTAAAAGAATTGATTATGGTATTTAAAATACCTTAGAATTAAATAAATAATAATAATTTAAAAAGGAATTGCAAAAATCTGAATTAGAAAGAATTTCACTTTCATATAACTTAAATAAATTAAATCAGGAATAAAAAAAAATTGAAATTTTAGATTCTACTCTTATGAAGTTCTAAGTTTAAAATAATAATAAAAATAAAGATCCAAAAGAATAATAATAGAATTTTGATGATGTTAACAAAATCTTTTAAAAAAGATTTGAAAAATAAAAAGATATTTGGGATATTTCGAAAGATATTATCAAAAGTACAGAAAATAAGATGGATTTAGTTAAAAACCCTTTTGAATTGTAACCCTCCATTATCAAAGGTAAAATAGTAAATGATTATTTTCCTGTAAAAAACTTATAAAATTAACCTCAATCTTTATTACAAAAAAATTAAGGAAGTGACATTATTTAAGTTAAATTATAATAAAAAATTATAAAATAAGAGAAATAAGTCCTTATTTAAAAATGTGATGATGGTTAGATCAAATAAAATAAAGATATTGGTAAATCGCTTAAATAATCTGGAAAGGATTAATTGTACAATAAAAAATAAATGAATCGTTAATTATCATAGACCAAATTATTATTATAATAAAAATAATAAAGGTTATAGGAAGGAATTAAAAGTAGTCTTAATTATTTAGATATATAATAATAGTTACCTAATAATAAAATTTAGAGAGAGAAGGAAAGAAAGAAGTTTGAAATGTAATTGCAAATCTTAGATAACCCATTAGTTAAATAATAAGGTTAAAGAGAAACAGAAGAGTTATTAAATGAGGATAAATATGAACTTAGATCAATTAAAATAGAAAAGAAAAAGATAGCTGAATCACAAAGATTATCTAAATTTAAAATGATGTTGGATAACAATACAGGAGAATCTTATTAAGTAGGGAAACCTATTTTTGAATTTAATAGATTGTTAAAATATTTATTCTTAAAAAATTATGAGATACCTGATATAGCAGATTAAGAATAGAAAGTAATTCCAAATTCATTTGAAAGTGAAGTAGAATATTGTAAAATTTTTGAATACTTATTCTTAAATGAGGCTAGTGCATAAATAAAATAAGAATTAATAGAATTTCTGAAAAAAATAGAAAAGACAACTAAATATAGAAAAGTGCAGATAAAAATAGATGAAAACGATCATGAATCAGAAGGATCAATTTTTATAATGAGAGGACCTTAAACTAATTAATAAAAGGGACTTTAGCCTAAGAATAAATTTTAAAAAGAATTAGAATAGAATGATATAAGTTATTTTGATGATTAACAATTTTGTTATGATAATATTAAAGATGGAGTTTGTGATTTGACAACATAAAAAAATTTTATAGTTCTAATTACAAACAAAATAAAATTAAAGGTCAGATAGATTAATTAATTTAATGGAGATAATATAAGTTTTTTTGGAATTCTTATTGATCCATAAAAAGCTTAGTATTTACAATAAATAAGAATTCAAAGTTTTGTTAATAAATAAAGTTTCAATTTAAATTAATGGTATAATGTTTTTTTATTTCCATTTTCTAAAATCACTACTTTAATTCGAGAATATTAGATGATAACAAGGTTAAATCAAAAAACTCCTTTAGCAAGATTAATTTATAATCCTAATACATAATAATAATTAATAGGATCAGATATAGGAGGAGTTTGGACAGCTTAATTTAAAAATTAAATTTAAAATAAAGAATTGTTAGACTCTTTTTTTTAGATAATTGATGAAAAATATAATTAGAGTTAAGCATAATCAATAAGAGAGATTATTTTAAAAGAGAAAGGAATTTGTTTATTATAAGGACCGGTATTTTATATTATATAGTTTTTAGCCAGGTACAGGGAAAACACATACATTGATTGGATTATTGTCAGGAGTATATGAGTATATGAAATTGACTAATAAATTTCCAAGAAAGAAAATATTAGTAAAATAATAATTAATTTTAGATTTGTGCACCTTCTAATGCAGCAATAGATGAGATTATATTAAGAATAATTTAAAAAGGAGGATTATTTGATTCAAAAGGGAATTATCGATAAGCAAATCTTATTAGAATTGGTTTACTTGATGAAGAAAATATTAATTCTGAAATAATTAAGAAGGTATCTTTGGAGGATTTGGCATAACATAAATTATTTTAATCTAAAAAATGTAATGCTGAATAAGATTAAAAAACAACTGCAGATTTAAGAATTGAATTATGTTAGATTTAGAATCATATAAAGAAATTAGAAAAGAAATTGAATTAGCATGGTTTACCTAGTGATGAAAGAAAGATAATAAAAGAGCAAATTATTTAATTTAATGATTTGAGAAAAACTAAATAAGAATACTTAGATAAAACAAAAGATAATAAAAGATTTTATAAAGAATTTTATAATTAATTTTGTGAAAAGTTATTAAATGATGCTGAAATAATATGTAGTACTCTAAGTTCTAGTGGTTCTGATAAATTATCTAAATATTTAGATTAAATAGAATTATTGATAGTAGATGAAGCAGCTTAATGTACTGAACCATCAAATATAATACCTTTAAGATTAGGAATATAAAAGATGATTTTGATAGGTGATCCTAAATAATTACCTGCTACAACATTTTCACCAATTTCTCATTAAACTTTATATAATAGAAGTCTATTTGAAAGGATTCTTGATAATAATTTTAAACCTTATTTCTTAGATATATAATATAGAATGAATTCTGAGATCAGAATGTTTCCATCAGAGTATTTCTATTAGAATAAATTAAAAGATCATTAATCAACTAATTTAAGATGTATACCAAAAAAGTTCTTTAAAAATAGAGTGTTATTCTTAGATGTAATTGATGGATAGGAATAAAAAGATGGAACATCAAATATTAATGAATAAGAAGCTTTTGTTATTGTTTAATTAATAACATCTATAAAAGAAGAATTTCCTACTTAAACAATTGGTGTTATATGTGCTTATAAATCATAAGTGAGATATATAAAAACATTACTTAAATAGAAATTCTAAGATGAAAATATTATTGATTAAACTACTATAAGTATCAATACTGTAGATTCATTTTAAGTAATTTTTAATATTAAATTATAAGGGTTAAGAAAAAGATATAATATTATTTAGTTGTGTTCGTTCTTCTTAAACAGGTGGAATTGGATTTTTAAATGATGGAAGAAGAATGAATGTTGCTTTGACAAGAGCTAAAAATGTTCTATTTATTCTTGGTAATGCTATTACTGTATAATAATATATGATTTATTTAGTTATCAAAAAGTGATTTATGGAAATCATTGTTAAAGAATATATAATAAAGGAAGCTTTATCGAAAGATAGAATCCTAACACTTTTAATTTGAATAAATTTTAAAAGACGAATGGAATGAAAATAATAAAGTTCTATCTCAAAAACTTATTGCTTATTTAAATTAAACATCTTAAGGAATTTATGAAAAATCAAAATACAATATATCAGATTTTGAGATTGAAGTCATTAAAAATTAAAAAATTAATACAAATTATAACCATTAAATAAAAAAATAAAAATTTCAAGATTTTATACATTAGAAAGAAAAAGAGAGTTTGTTTAATAATGATTATAACTATAGTTTAAATTGTAACAAAAATGATAGATGTATTTCAGAATATTAAATGTCTAAGTTAAATATTAAAAATCAAGAAATTAGCATTCTTTAAAATTAAATTATAATACATAATTAAGAAAATTCTAAAATTATAAATAATTAATTTCAAATTTCAAAAGAAAATAAAGTTTCATAAAAAAGTAAATATTAAACAGATGCTTAATTATAGAATAATGATCATCAAAATTAAGAAGATATTGATATGATTAGATGCCTATATGAAGATGACTTTTTTTGATAAATTATTTTATTTTCTTTTTTGATTATCTAACAAATATATTTCTCCATTTCAATAATAGTAAATGATTTAATTTTTATTATTTGAATACATTTATATACATAAGTCTTCATATTAACTCAATTTGTTAATGTAATATTATATTTTATAATATAAATACTTCAGGAATATTAA